ATTTGCAACACGGTAGCAGCGAGCTATTCCGTAGTTACCTTAATTCTAGTTTATTTTTCAGTGATAGCGCGCTTTTGATGCACTGTATGTGTGTTGGTTTTTTGCTTAATGCCTAAATATATATTTATACTTCGCTAATCTTTACCCCTAAGACAATTATCTGTGAAGACAGAATTACACTGTAGGAATATGAGGCAATAGATACGGCTGATACATCATTAAAGATGTGTTTTCTTACCCATGAGTTAAATGTGGTGAGGCTTGCAGTTGTCACTGGTGATTTACTAAAAGCAAAATTTAGAATGCCCCGGATGATTTTTGCAACATCGAAAGCCCTATGCAATAGAACAACTACCTTTATAAGAAAACGAGAGTTACTGTAATGAATATCTTTATACTCACAAAATTAGCAAAATATACAATACGCTTAACATACTACATACTACTAATAGGTAGCTAGCTTTTCTGTCTATCATTACATGGAATCATAGGACATAATACATGCTACGTATGTACTCTGTAACTTTCTCTTTGCCCACGCTAGCTATATAATAATGGCATTGGCAGGCGCACTTTTTTCAATCTACTACTTGTGTTTATATCTTCTTTTCTCTTATGATGTAAGAAAGATATTACATATGGACTTGGAGTCCAACAGTTAGCACTGTGATGCTGATAGCTACACAGCATGAAGTATAGCTACAGCATGAGACCTGCAAAACTGTATTTATCTGGGATGCACAATTTCTATGAAGATGGTGGTTGTTGACATTATTCAGTTTGGAGCAATTACCTTTTCAAATGGGCGTGAGGTGAAAATTCTACTTGATACATGTATATTTATATTATAAGCACGCCATCAAGAAAATAACTTTACACCATCCATCAAGAAAGAAAGCAGAAACTATAGTATCGAGCCCCATATTTAAAGAAAAAACCTGCGTAACAGTGGACAACTGAAGTAATTGAGAGTAGTTAAAAATGGTTTTTTACTGTACATCCCATAACGTAAAATACCTTTAACTCAATTCAGACGCCTTTAAATGCATTTGCAGCCCCTTAGAAAGTATTAACATGCATTCTCTAAAGGCGCTTCAAGGCTTTTTACATGTTGGGGCGTACAACTAACATCCTATAAGACAAAATATTTGTCGCTAATGCTGTAGCATTTGTAACTTTCGGAGCTTATCATAACGCGCAAAGTAGCAAGAAGCTAAGTAGAGTGACAAAAAATTCCAAGTAAGCAACAAGAAGTATTTCATCTTTTAGGATGTTTGTTATGGTATGATAGCATTCGTGAAAATTATAGAACATGCTAATAGCGGTGAAACAGTGTCTACAATACGCTCCAGCAACTGCCTGTGTAACGAGGTAACTTTGGTTGCCATGGCAACAGGATGGCGGGATCCGAGTGTTCTTGACATGATTGAAAATTGACACAGTATTACAGAAGACCGTTTAGCGACAAGTACATAGTTATTAAACCTGTATAATGCTACTAAGCCTTCAGCCGTTCTATGTCTTCACCCTTCTTATAATCGTATAATGTGCAAGGAAAGAAGCCGCCGCCTTCAAATTACCTCATTATGGCTGGCTCGCTAATGGCAAACAGTATTTTCGTGTCGCAAAACACACATGTGAAATGAGCATGAAAATCGATGTTACCGACGCCTTGGAAAGGACAGAAAATCTAATTGACACGGCAAAAAGGCTTCCACAGATTTTTTGATGCATGATTCTAGACAAGTGCTGCGTATTACTTGTTTTGGTAATTTTTGTGGTTTTTGCTTGTCATACCTTTAAGTGTTTGTGTAACTTCACTTTTCTTGCACGCAATATACTCACTGAGAAAGATTTTGGTCTGAAGGATGGTAGTATGAAACAAAAACTTATTATTATATTTGCAAGGATGGACTGGAAATGTAATACATTCTGTAGTACACCTAAACCGACATCGACTTCAATATTGTTTGATCTTTATTTGGCATTACATATGATGTTTACTCGTACATACATCAGGCATGTTATCTAATTTTTTTACGATCATCGACTTCCGTCAGTCTGACATTACTACTGCCGCTGCTACGCATTATCTTCAACAGAGACGTCAATAGAATGAAAAAAGCGGATATCTCAAAGATAGGATTAAATTAGTAAGTATTAACATGCTCATCATTATTTCCAGCTTTCTGCATTGTTTACAACGCTATTACTATTAGTGCCGCCATTGCACGTATGCACCAGTCCGGAAATTCGGCTCGACGAAAAATCATTAAGCTGAGGGCCAAATATTGTCATCGCTCAGTTGACCTCGTATTACACTTCCCGATCATTTCCACCACCCTCGCAAGCAGAATCATGGCATCTTCAATATATGCTCGCTTTACGTTCTATACATTCCCCGTAGATTATGAAGATAGATCTATGGTGGAGCGTGCTGTTCCCTCAAATATCTTTGTTTAGACTCACCGTCACCGTTTAAGCATACTCTATGAATGCAGTATAGTAATTTTCAAAATGATCAGTACAATTTCTCAATATACTTCAATTAGAGACTGTCATACATAGCTGAAAATGAAGTATCCTCCAATAGTTCTGGAGCCGGAGGAAAACTTTAACTATGTAATAAAAAGTCAGCTATCATGGAGAAAATATCATCGTACATGCTGTTGAGAATACATACGTATGTCACACTCGGTTTAGGAGAAAGAGAAAAGTTTGGTCGCTAATGGTTCTATATGTATATCAGTAGACAATCAGGTGTTGCTACACGTACATATCGATGAAGTATAATTTCGAGTTGAAGATGAATATGCTGGACAAACGACCACATAGTAACTACGCATTTCGTAATGTGTTATTTGTTATGTGCCAAGTGCATATAACTAATGAACTGAACATTGTACTAATGCCTATACATACATTTTTCAATCCCACGTTTACGGCAAACTATGCATTCCTTGAAAAAAAAAGCGCTAGACTGTCAAAGTAGTCGCATCAACCGTACTATGGTGGTTGTTAATGTGGTACAGGAAGGGGACAATAAAGCTTACCCAAACTTAAGAGCACCCCTCACGTGTCCTTCCACTTCATGTCCCTCTTCGATATTATAGATATCCAGCATTCCTCTGTAGCACAAACCACGTCTTTTAAAAATTCTAATAATGCTGTTCGTCGAGTGGTGCCGTCGCCTGGGCTGAGTCAGAGTGCAAGAGCTCGTAAGCATATTCTCGCACAACAAGCGTCTAGACGCTGCATTTACATATTATTAGGAAACTCAACATATGTAAATGTCTGCACGCCGTGGGGAGGAAGGAAGGATAAACCAAACTCGGTTGGTTTTAATACTTTAGTTAAAAACCGAAAAACGAAGGACTTACATAGCATAACGAGCAGAGCATTTGCTGGCGATGCATACTGACCAACTCGTCAAAAAAATTAAAGAGACTTGTTATTAAAGAAGCTCATCATGAACAACCCAATTGCGGTATTATCTAGCCCAAATTGATCCTTCTCTAATAAATGAATCTAGCTGTTACATAGATAATGTGTAAATATTTGGTAACTTATAGGCTTTGTATTACTCTCTGATGATCGTTGTCATGTTTTTCGTAATTTGAATGTACCTCACTCTCTCCAACCAATTCTGCTACTATGTAGCCCATAGCATAATTGACACCCAGTACATGCTTGCATAGATACACTTTTGCTCTGCTGCTTCCTCTTGTAGTGTACAAGCGGTGAAGAAACCTTGTTTACTAAATAGCATTCGTGGCTGTCATCTTCACGTTAGTAAGCTGCATTGTCTCATAGTTGGACACGACGGTGCCACAAAAAAGAAGCCGTCAACAGCAGCCTCAAAATGTGCTGGTATCAGATCATGTTCACAGCGATGAATGTGATACTTTTTCTTGGCTCCAGTTTTAGATAATAATACCATGCATACACTTGCCCTAAGGCTCTTGTGTATAATTGATGACGCGTACATATACAGTTTTATGTATTTAAGGTAGTAGATCTAGCTAGGCGATCCTATCTATAGGCTGCAGGAGTCCCTACCTTCTACCATTTTAATTGTCGCTGTGTTGACGTGCCGACAATTTGAGATGTTTAATATTTATAAAGATGGTGTGTAATTATGGCTAAGCTTGAAGTGATTCTCACTCATCTAATCTACATACACTCATAGAAAGTAATCATTGATATTCGATGTTGATACATGACACGAACAATACCAGAACATGATGTAAAAAGCAAAAGTTGGTAAGGATTCTACGTTCTTATATTTTTACACATTTTTTATGTGCGTAAGCGCACCATTTAAAAATAGTATGACTTGAAAGGTAAATATGGAAGAGGCACAGTTCCAGTGTAACTCAAGTGCTTGAATAAAAACGGAGTAAGATGATCACCCTGCCAACGTTGCAATTAAGCAAGTGAAAAAAAAGAAGAAGACAGAATATGACTATAAACACTGGGTTCACTCACAAACGCGCGGGGTCATGCTAAACCCAAAATGCATATATCCTTAAGTTTAAGTTTCCCCAGGGTCATCGGACAGGCAGCTTAAAGAAAAAGTACCCGCACAGAAAAAGGGTATAAGAGTTAAAGATACATGGAGATTAGAGTTCTTATCTATTGCTGAAAGCTAAAATTAACCATTGGTGAAAACATACACTTCTTGTGTTGTTGTTGTTCTCATCTCGCGTGTCGTTGTACGATGAGAGACTACGTATCACAAACTGTGCGGTCTATTGAGAAAGGCTGAAGGCTTCGATTTTAGTAAGAGCTATGTATCATAACGAATTTAAACGAATCAAAGGAGCTTGGGGCGGGGGGGGGGGTTGGAGAGGAAAAGGAGGGGAAGAAGGGCGGGGAGATGTTTTTCTCATGAAAAGGTTTGTGCTATGTACCATAAAGGGGCATAATCCAAAAAGTCCGTCAAGTCAATAGGCTAAAAGGCATTTAATAAAAGCGCATGATTCTCAACCGCTGCGTTTCTGGCTGCACCCTTTCTCTCTCTTTTCCTCTCTCCCTCTCTCTATAATTCATTTATACAATACTATTACTCCTAGTACTCACTAAGTGATATAATTACAGTATGCGCGTCTTACCACGAGGCAGTACATCGCTACTCAAGTTGCCACCCAAGGTGTCACCCAATACGACAATAGTCGCTAATAGTAAACAGGATGCAAGCATGTCCGCAGCTGACAAGGCAGCAGCAAGATCAGTGGTTGCGAAACTCTCAATTGAGATACTTCCGGACGAAATGATCACGCATATACTCCTCTATCTCTGCACTGATCTCAGGACACTGTGTGCTGTTGCCAAGACGTCATCACGGTTACGACGGCTTTCCATGGATGTTGTAAGGGTGTACTTTCTGCCCAACATTAAATTGATGACCGTCATCGATCAAGAAGGACGACGCAAGAACACTACGCAATACGTTTTTGATATGTTAGACGATGCTACCATGGAGGCGCGGTTCAAGCCAGTTAGAACTTCACCACAACGCTATCGTAACGACAATTATGCCGCTTCTCCTACACTGCATCGGCTTTCTTTGAGCGACGCTAACGATTATCCAACAATGGTATCGCCGCAGCCAACGTCAACATCATCATTAATCGTTGAACCTTCAGCAATTGCACTAAAACAGAACGCCCATAATGTCACGAACAATTCAAGGCGCCAACCATCTTGGCATACCCTCGATAGTATCACTAGCAATAGCAATAATGATAGCAGCAATATGACAACTACTCTCATCACCATCGAAACAGGGCGACAAAAACACTTGCAGATATCTAAACTTGGACCGTTTAGTGCATGTTCCAATAGCTCATTGTGGCAATTGGAGTACATGGTCAGCACAGATCACTCCGCCTTAATGTCAGCTGAAGATACTGGGCTTGAGCGGTTCGTAACACCATTGTTTGTCAAAGCGCATCTCTCACTCTTTAAACGGAGGCAAAGAGGACAGAACGGGGCAACGAATAGCAAGGCCTTCTTACAATGGTTCAAGAAGAAACGATTACCTTCCTTACCTGTTTAACCACTAGCTATTACACTTCTACTACTGCTGCTACTATGCAAATAATAGTAATGACCATAATAAAAAAAAGCAATCTTAGCCTAAACCCTGAAACAGCGTGTTGCCCCTCACTTTAACTTTCGCCTCCCGTCCCCGTATTTTATTTTAGCGTGTTACCAGAATCAGCGAATGGATTGCCAATGCTTCAAATGCTTTGTGACACCCAAAACCCAATTGTGCCCGTGCAACTGACTTTTTCTTTATACACGCTCGATTAAAAATTGTTTCCTTTGATTATCCTTTAATACAGGCCTTTCATACAGAAATTCGACTTCTCTCCTCCAATGAATGGTCATTTCCTCGATCATGATCAATTACCGATGCCTCCACCATCACCTGTCGTCGTCAGCAGCTCATACTCGACTCCTTTACCGAGGAGCAGTAAAAGGAAACCACCACCTACCACAATGAAACGACGGAATCAGGGGTCGTCTATTACAACCACTACGAGCAGTTCTAGCGGTCCATCGTCACCTGAATCAATGGAGCATCCCATTCCATCACTTACGCTTAATCTACAAAAGTCCCCGGAACAATCGTTAAAAGAACTCGTTGCCAGTCCCACCAACTCTTCCGTAGGAGGGAGTAGTAGCAGTAGGGTACCACGAGTGGATATACTTAGAGAACCACGACTACACCAAACGTTTCAGTATTCAGGAACACCGGGTGGCCGGCTGAAACCGCATCGTGTCGGCTTTGCAGAATATGGCGCGGTAGAAACAGGCCATCCTGCGTTCGTTATTGGAGGCCATGGATGCAGTAGACTGGTTGGTGTCATGTTTGAAGAGCTGGCACTGCGACACTCCATACGAATGATATGGCCTGAACGTCCAGGATATGGTTTGAGCGAAGAATGCACAGCACAAGAAATGAGTGCTTTGGATTGGGCAGGTAAGCTCTCACTCAATCGCGAATGGGAAAGGTGGAAGCCATCGTTTTCTTCTCTAATTTCTGAATATATCACTGATTCAATTTTTCTGGAACATGTAGAGGTGGTGGTTCAACTTGCCGATCATCTGGGGATTCGCCGGTTTAGCATCATCGCACAGTCAGTAGGAACTGTATTTGCTATGGCGATCTCGCACAAATACCCAGGCCGTGTTCTGGGTCCACTGTTTCTGATATCACCTTGGGTATCTACCCAGGCAGCTAACACGTTCAAGTGGTCGCGGAGGCTTCCTGCACCCCTTGTCACACGCACAGTATCGCTTGCAATGGATGTAATGTGGATGTTAAACAAAGGAACTGCCATCAGTACAGGCGGTGGTAGCGGAACGCCGTCAGCATCAACACCAGCGACTTCGTCAAGCGACGAAGATGGCAGCGTCTTGTCCGATCCATCACCACGAACGAGCGAAACGACGAGTCCTCAACAACGAACCTTCACTAATATCAACAGCGTTGTCAATGCCAACCCCAGTAACAATACCGTGGATCTTACCGGCATGACACTGCAGGAAGAAGACGAACTGTTAGCATCGCTGGATGAAGAAGACTTTGACCTTCCAACAGATTTCCCTCCGCATCGACCTTTACGACACGCCGTACGTCCTCGACACATATCTCTGTACTTTGCCATGAATAAGCTACGCATGTCCGAACCATACACGCAGGGCCAGGTGTTGGATGTCCTTATTGCCTTGGAAAAGTACCACAACTTTGGTTTCAGCTATTCAGAGATAAAAACGGCGGTTACTGCAGTATGGGGAGACAAGGATGGATTGATACCGTTGAAAGCAATCGACGTGCTGGCCAACGGGTTACGCGATGTGCGGTTCAAGATCCTGGACGGCGAGGGCCATGATCTTGTCTGGAAAGAAGGCGTCATGGAATGGGCTATTAGAGGCATAGCAGAACGATGGCGCGTCCGAAATCAACGATTAACACTGATGAGCAAACTCCAAACCAACTCATAATTTTTTTTCTTATGTATTAATCACACACGCATTTTTTTGTTGTAATTTACGTTTCTTACCATTTAGTTCCAGTAATAATTTTAATACAATACATACCCAACCATCACGCGTTTCACCAAACCCTGTTTTTTGTTTAATTACGCTCTCTCTCCCTCTGCTTGTAAAAAGCGCCTTACAAGTTGCCACGTACTTTCGTTACAAGTGTGGCCTTGATTGACAAGCCCTCATTATGGATTACGATGGCATAATAAGAGAATACCCGGCTATAGCTATTGATCGCTTCACACCGAGAATTGGCGTGAAATACTATTTTCTTACACATGCCCATTCTGGTAAAATCTAAATTATATTCAACGTTTCGAAAGATTGCACAAACGACTTGACCATGTCGTCAATTATAACTCAAACATACAAAAGGCTGGTTTTGGAGTACTCATTTACGATTCAGATCACACACAGGGGCTTCAAGATGTTCATTTCAGGGGCCAAGTTCACTGTTCTGAAGGAACAGCTGTTTTAATGAGACATAAAAAAGTTCGAGGCAAGCCGTATTTCCGACACCTGAAAGGACAATTGACAACACATCCTTTGTTTCAGTCGTTCGTGTTGAACACGGAAGAGCATGGTAGACTTACAGTGACGTTTTATCCATCCAACCATTGTCCCGGCGCTGTCATGTACGTTTCTATTACATCCACCACAAAACATATTCTTCATGTTATCAGCGCATTTCGCATCGTATATATGACCTTATGGTTGTCGACTCAACAGGATCTTACTTGAGGGCAAGAATGGCACAGTACTCCATACTGGTAAAAGAACGATCAAGCAGATGACTAGGTCATCATGTGATAGATATTTTAGATTGATGAGGGAAAAAAAGAAAAGGTGTGCGTGTGAGAATGCTTAATAGTATTCCTTTTGATTATCTCTAGGCGACATGCGTGCCGAAAGCGATCTCTTGCAGACACATCTGACGGAACTTCCGTTAAAGAACGTCAAGCACTTGTACCTGGATACAACATTCTGCACGGACCACCATCGTGAGTTTATCACAAAGGTAAAAAAATTCCGAGTCAGCAGTAGCACAAACAAAATGGCCACTCTACAAAATAATACTTACTGTATACTCTCTGTATAATGTGTAGAAGCAAAGCATTAGCTTGTTATTTGAACTGATCGATAGCTACCCAGGAAATCATCATTTCTTTCTTGATTTTTGGATGTACGGATACGAAGAGGCTTGGTGGAAGATTGCCTCGAGGTACAACACCAAAATTCATGTGTCGGAAGATCGGTACCAGTTGTACTTGGCATTGGATAAACACCTTTTCACAAACATATTGACCACTGATGAAACCACCACCCGCTTCCATTCGTGTCACTGGAAAAAGTCATCCTGTGCCACTCACGGAGCTGATACCATTAATGTACAGGGGCAGCCTATCGTCGGCTGCCGTGCGCGACCATTCGGACCGGATGATTACAAGATGCGGACGGATCTTCCGAAGCATGCCAATATCAAGAAGGAAGTGGTATGAAATGCAATGGGTGTGATTGGGATATCTACCCAGTGTGGTGTGTGTGTCTTTCTGTGCGTGTATCGATATATTGAGATTCTAGTCCGTCTTGGTTGCTTGTTAACATCACTATCTATCTCTTCTAGATCATTCCTTTCTCAATGCACTCTTCAATGTTGGAACTAGTAGATTTCGTCAAGTTTATCGGCCCGAAAAGAGTCACGCCAATAGTGGCACATGGCGTCAAATGGGACGCTACAGCACGTATACTAAAGACATTGAGATCGAACGGTGCATATTTTGAGATGGAGTCAAGCAGTAGTGGCTCCTCATCGTCCTCATTTTCAGTCATCAACAGTTCTGTCGAACACCATCAACTGTCACAGCAGAAAGACTCACTACGATCCAGCGCCTCACATCAACAAAGTTCATTGCAGTCAACCACTGCAGACGAGAACGAGTTACCCGAATCAGAAGGGCCGACCAGCTCGATCGAGAACCAATGTCAAAACATTGTCAACATCTTGGTACGGTCCAAGAGCAGCGATGGTGTCGAACACGATCAAAGTTTGCTCCAAGCAAATAAAACAAATGATTGCGCATCGATGAAACAGCGATTATGCTCGGTGCTTAGTGTTTCGAGCCAATCGAGTTTGGAATTCTTTTCCGGATCTATTCAGCAACTACCAGCCGCATCAGCGGAATCAGCAGCAGCAGTAGCAGCAGCAGAACCAGTAATAGCAACAACACCACCACCAACACAAGCAGAAAAACCTTCAACGAAATACGATCGAGCGGCAGCAAGCTGGCGGGCCAGCATACTCAATCGAAAACGACCACGAAACTCTACACTCGATACGCTATCATGGGACGGCAGCTTCAATTTTGAAGAAATCGATCTGACAGCAGCCTCGGATCGACATGTCCCAAAACGAACTTTATCTCCTATGAATGGAACAACAACTGCATGGCACAAAAACAACAAATTGACTGCTTGCAAACCCGTGGTTGAGCAAAATACGCGGTCTGGAACCACCATTGAAAACCCCATATGCATTGACTAGCTTTTTTACTTGCATGGGTTATAAAAAATCCAAATGGGATCAATCACCTGGCCATCAACTAACCCCTTACCCTTGTCAAGTCTCTTGTACATATCTCTTTTTCTCTCTCATATCCTTTTTACTTGCGTACAACTTTATTATAACTACACACAATAATAATAATCATAAAAGTTAACATGATTTTACGATTGATACTTACATTGACCGTTCTGGCTTCAGCTATAACGGTTGTCTCCGGTCTCGTTCATCTAAGAAAACATCGACATCCAATGAGCCCTGCAAGAGAAGAGCCAACTGTTGTGAGTGCCATGCACCAGCATCGACAACAGGCAGCACAGCAACAAGATGGTGATCATGGCAACATATCCTCCAATCGCCAAGCAGAATTACACAACTTTCGCCATGACGACGCTTGTGGCCAAGCAACGCTTTCATGTATGGCATTTGTCCACGACCAAGTTGGTATGCCAGTTCGCTGTGGCATGCTAAAGAACGCACCTGTTTGTCTTGACGCAGAACATGAATGCACCGCTTTTTGCGATGAGGATGGGTAAGTCGGTAAAATAATAATAAGTAGTAGTGAAACAAAAAACCAAACAAACTGAGGAAAACACATATTATCCCTAGTGGCTCGCGCGTATGTCAATATGCCTTTCCTGAGTGCTGTTCACATAGTCCAAATGGATGTATCACATCTAAACCAAGACATACAAAGTTTTTCCAATTACGAAAAGGACAATAAACTTTTTGTAATCTACTATATGGTCATGTGGTTGGAAGAAAGGGGAAAACCTACTACTTATAGAGAAAGCGGAGCTTGCGCTGCTGCATTACATACCTTTCGCTTACACACGTATACAATAGTTTTCTGAAGGCTGTAATATCAAATCACGGGAAATGGAGCAAGAGCTCATTGAATTGCTGCTTTTTGCTAAAAAGGCGCTTTCGCGGGGTCAAGCCATTTGTGCACAAGCAAACGAACTATCGAACGAATCGGATCAACATGCAGAAATCATTGAGCGAACGTGGCCCAAAATCTTGTTTGTACGAAACCACATTTTGATACAACTGAGCACCCTCGAGCGAATACGTGAGTTTCTCTCTGTCAAGATTGAAGAAGTGCGAAGCTGCATCAAAGTAATTGTCGAACTGTCTACCTGTCTGTTTCAACTACGCATTCAAGCTAGTATTTATTTTGGTTTCAATGTATATATCTAAACGAATCGTATACATGGATATATATAGGATCGGGAAGAAACGTTCGCCAAAGTATCGCTGGATTTACAAAACACATTTCAAGTACTGGAGAAATGTCATATTGACGAAAGCATCTTAAGATATAACAACGAACAAGGCAAGCAGACGACTCTTTTCGACTACATTGATCATCAGTCTGTGCTGGAGCTACAAAAATTGGCAGATGATGAAATTGGAGAAATAGAGGTTAGTTACCCTTTCTTTCTTCGCCCTGATATGACATGATAAGCTTTTTGAGACTGATAATATGTCTGTATGTGTACATATGTGTGTATCAAATTAGAACTTATGCTCATCGCTAATGTCAACTGCGAAAACATTATCCAATACCATATCCGAACTGGCATCATTGCAAGAAGCTGCATTGTCGATCTCATTGGACGAATCAGCTTCCGCCTTTTCGGACGAGAAGGCACAAATCCGAGAAAATATCATTTCGAAAATGGCAGAAATTCTGACAAGTTTAATGTACCATTATGACCAACTGGGTGACGCTACTCGGTAAGCGTGACTTTAGTGATTGAAAGAAGTGGATGGAACTAGAGAAGTCAAAATACGCTAATTAAAGTGTTTTTTCCCTTGGATTTAGGTTATGTCAATCGGATCCAGATGCTCAGTTGGATATTTCCGGTAAGCGCTCGCTATAATCGAGAATTAATATATTTTTTGTATTTGCCATCAGCCTGATCTCACAAACGTTTTGTAGTATTACAAAGAGATCATGATCAAGTACCGGTGATATTGGAAGAACTGGATGAGTCTTTGGATATAGTGGAATCGATCAGGTAACTGACTTGACAATAGCAACATGTTGGGGAGACTTGTTACTGACTCTATCTAAAACATATAGTGAGGAGATGCGAGTACGAATGCAAGTATACTCGTCTGTCCAGGAAGAACTCCTGAAAGTGCTACTACAGCTAGAAAAATTTAGTACACCTGGTGGACAGGCAGATACTATAAGTGAAAAAATGATAAACGCGGAGGTACGGAAAAAGTACACAAGAGAGAGAAAAAAGGAAAACGTGTGGCACTGAACTGAGTATGTCTTCTATTTTGTGGAAACGATTAGGGGGAAATGAAATCTCATGAGCAGAAATTGGCGGCTTTTTTCAAGGAACTGATGTCTCTTGCTGACTGGTAAGATTGTTTGTTTTTGTTTTGTTTTTTAATTTAAATCTTGCTCAATCCCTCGGCAATCACAAGACTGTTGGACTCAGAGTTGGGGAAATCTAGGTATCAAGTATATGCTGCTTCGTATAGTCACCTTGTCCTCGAAATCGAAAGACGAAGAAAGGCAATGGAAAAGCAGGATGAGCTCTATCGAGAACTGATCAAGTCTTTCGAAGACTCTTATGATGGTACTGCATATTCTTTGTAACATAACGATGGTTTTTATGCTTACTTGATGAATTAAAGATCTAACTATAACACAATATTACAGATGAATTACAAGAACGTAATCGATGGTTTGCACAGCATGGAGAATATTTACCTGCCGATTTATGTCAATTTATGATGGTAAAGTGCCCAAACATTGTTAGTTCTAGAAAGTATGATGGTGTAATTAAAATGTTCTGTATCTATGCATGTAATTATAGGACCCACCGTCGCGACTATCTGTACAAATAGATGAACAGCCAAGGAAGCTTCCCGAGCTATCCAAAGCAACCATAAGAAAGGTAAATTTATGTTCAAGTGCTGGGGGAATGAATTTGACATCAAACTCAACGCGAGCAATTTTATGCGCATAACAGGCACTGGCAGATATACACGAACGCGATGCTTCATGAGCATAATACAATGCGAAGAGAGAAAGGGATTCCTCTTAGATAACAATATACACGCATTTATACCCGAAAAACAAGAACAGTAACAACAGCATCGTGTATTTTGTAATGTAAAGCTATTACTGCATGAAAAAAATAGCCTGGATCTGAAATGGAAACTGAAGAGCGGGGTGTTTCCTTTCTTTCTCTTTATTATTTGTTGCACCACTGATGGAACTACCCAAAACGTTTTTATTGAAAACTTCGCGTTGCGATGACATTACCGTCACCATGGACAACGACAAGTCCTGCACACTAAGATACTTGAACCAAGTCGGAGAACTTGCCAATTGGCATGTGTTTCAACAAGACGAAGGCGATGAATGGGATGCAGCTGTCATTGTGCAAGCAATCAAGGCATTGCCTTTTGTCGACGATGTTCAAGTCAACCAAACTAAACGACGACACCAAAAGCGATCCGTTGTTTCACAGGAGGGATGAAACGCGGCAGTTCGGGATCGGATAATAAAAAGGGCTTTTGAGAGAAATGAGTGAGTTAAGACAATCCTAGAACATATATAAAAAGCAGCGAGTGGGACATCAACAGGAATATTTTATTCTCTCAATTCTCATCCACCAAAAGCACAATACATGGCTTCAACCGATATCATCACGGTTCTGTTTACAGGCGATGGTGGACGTATCTCGGCTACTTTCACATGGTGGAATGTCGCTGTAGCAGCTGCATTTATCCTCATCAATGGTAATAACAACGACAGAAACCCGCATTGCACTTTTGTTACCATTCCACGTTTCTGTATATGGTTGTTAATGACAAGCAATAATAAAAATCAAATTGCCGGCCTATATTAGTCTTTATGTCCATGTCGCTGCGGTTAAAGCTCGAAGGTCCATTACTCATCAGCTCGATACGATGTGTTATACAACTTACGCTTATGGTATCTACGACGAGCACTTGCTTGCTAAACACTACGTCCCAAGAAAGCACGCATACTAATGTACTGTGTGGTACAGGGCCTCATTTTGCAGGATGTCTTTCGAGCACAGAATCCATATTACGTTGCATTTATGACAGGTAATAAGCATGGCGAGGCACGCATACTGCAGAGCAAGCGAAGTGACACACTACTAAATCTACTACCAATTATAGCTGTTCTAATACTATTGAGTACGTATGAGACGGTATATGACAAATCGGATCGCACCTGGCATGGAATGGTAAAAGAAAACATAATAACAAACAACCCCTGATACCGCATGATATTACGGAGTAAATACATCATCGTGCTAAAGTCATTTTAAAATAATTATGATGCGCTTTTATGATCATCGCTATATTTAGTTCATGACAGTCCTTGTCAACACTGCATTTTCGACACTTTTGATTGGCATCATTGGCACACGGTGGGCCATGGAAGAAAAGAACTTTTGGGTACCAGAAATCTTTATTCCGACCATTGGTCTATTACTCGGCATTACTACTGGCTCTATGGCTGTCAGCTTAGATAATTGTCTGACCGAGCTGACTGAGAATCAAGGTCGCATTGAGACGTATCTGGCATACGGCGCTACGCGATTTGAGGCCTCGAGATCGATTGCTATTGACGCTGTACGACTAGCGATGTTGCCCACAATTAATCGCATGTCGATCGTTGGTCTCATCACCATACCAGGCACCATGAGTGGTCAAATATTAAACAACGTTCCCATCATGAATGCGGTTCGCTATCAGATAGTCATCTCTTTCATGATATCAGCGAGTTCGGGTATAGCTGTCTTGGGAGTTGTAGCAGTAAGATTTATTTACCAATTTTCTCAAAAAAAGTACAGCGGCTACTTTGTGATGTATACATTATTTTCACTGATTATCTCACTATTCTTGCTTAACATTATGGTACTGATAGATGTGTATGCATGCAATAGTTGATGGGAAACATCGCTTGCGAGCAGAGCGTGTAAACAAAGTCCATATACCTATACTCTACGATATCAAGCGTTTAATTATTGGTGTGTGGAAGAAGGCAACACGTACACTATGTGGTTGTTGTAAAAGATCCTTGAAAAGCGCAGACGACGAACGACGACCATTATTATCCAGCAATCGAGTGGATGAGGATTAGTCTTTAGCAATAACAGCATGGACGACAAAAGGTATGGTATACGAATATTAAATTAACTTACGAATTAGTGAATTTATTTGATGCGCACCAAAATATAGTTGCCCATATTCACATGTATCTATTAGCTGTCACCTGGCTACACAAGGCGAAAGCGATGCACCTCACTTTGATTCCAAGGGTCTGCTGAAAAAACGGAGACTTGAAACGGATGGGAGCAGCTTTATAAGCACCAGATTGCCTTTGTACGTACTGATGTGTGGTTCTTAATAATAACGCATTCAGCTAACAGCATGAAATAGAGTAAAAATGAGCCCATATTAAATTATGTGTAGTACTAAGATAAAATTTGGAACCATATCCTTGATGAAATAAAGATTAAAACTGTCTTGTTTATATGTCATCTAAGAGTATGTAGTACAGCGAACTATCTACCTGTGAAATATGATGCTGAGCGGAGTCGGTTGTATCTTTGGGAAAGGTCAATGAGGCTGAAACCATTTTGTCATCCTTTTGCATACAAGGTGTTGGGCTTGACAAGTGGCGATAAATATGTGTTGTATACTAGAGACCAAACGAGACCATCCACATCGTGCACTATGTTGCTGAAAAGGCCACTACTACATACATAAAAAGAACTTTGTGATAGATAGGATGCCTTATACACGCAAGGATCTTCGCAAAACAACATTATCAACAATAAGGGATTCAACACCACTACAATGGCACTCATACGGTTACTAAGAAATACCTTATTGATGTTTCTTTACAGTATTTATAGAAGCAAGATCTTTTCAAGACTTTATTACATAGACAGAGGATGTATGTAATAAGGAAAAGTAGCAATGGAAAATAGAGTAAACTGAGGAAGCTGCTGCCGAGCCCCCTAAAGCTTACAACTGTCAACGTTCAACCCTCGCTAAGTTTTGGAGCTATCAAACAAAACAAGGGTAGCAGAGAATACTAGTGAAAATTGCTCTCGCTAACTTTCAGCCCTCATTAGCTTTACTTAGATTTTGGGAATTCACACTATAAAATTAACAAGGATCTACTATCTTGGAAAGTACAGGATGACTATGTATGAAAGTATTTAAAAGTGCCAGCCAGCGCAGTAAGACAAAGTTGAAGGACTGTTCATCAGGCGGAATGAAGCCTGTACGAAGTATGTCCTGGATTCACTCTCGCATATTCATAGAACGTGTGCATATTTCATATGGAGAGATACTTTTAATCTAAGCTTGATTTGACCCGCAACTGTACATCATTGGCAGAGCTTCTTAAAATGAAATTAGTACACATACAAAAGGTCGAGTATCCTTATGTACACATTTGATTTTTTTGATAACTCGGGCGGCAATTATGCTTTTGGAAAGTTTGAACAGCTAGCTTTCGGGTTACGATTGGGACGATTATCGTGAAATTTGTCACACTGAACATGAGTCCATCATATAAATAAGTTCATACGATTAGCTCATACCAACTTTAGCTAGCCAGGGGTTAGCTGAACGAAAACGGGAATTCCAACTTTAACAGCAACAGAATAAACAGCAGCATGTGTCCCGTTTTATTGATGCATGTTGTGAATAATTGCTATTTTTCTCCACTTCTAACGATGGCCATAACAATTTCAAGTGAATCGTGTATTTGCAACAATTGCATTATTGACAGGTTAAGGTACGATTTGATATCATGACAGGTCAGATCCCGAACGGTGCATCCTTTATGAACGCAATTGGTTGTCAAAAACCATACCTTTCATGATCTCGCTGGAATTTGGTAACCGCACCCGCGTATGGTTGTAAAATGAGTGTATGTGCTGGTACTACTTTAAGTTGTGTTAACAGTTCGTGGTGGATGGTTTAAAGTGTGTAATCCCCTCTCTTGTTACCACGTATTAAACGCACAATTTATACAAGGATGTGGACGCGTGCAGAAATCGAAGGTAAGCATAGCTTAAGAGTGGAATACGCTATATAAACAGAGTAGTGCGATATGATATTCAGCACTGTGTGTTTAGAAGAATGCAACGGGTGCACCATGGGTATGTCGAGAATGGCGAACGACGATCATTACGGTATAATTGAATAGACCTGTGGATGAGGAGTAAAACAACTCTGCTATTAATGAAAAGATATTAAACCAAGGGAGGCAATGTAACAGTCATACGTTGAAAGGGTCTCTCAAATCGTCATCATGTATATACTTTTAAATTAAAGTTATGGTATCATTATATACTCCAAGCTCTCTATTATGATACTGGTACTGCGTCCCCCTAGCTGTTGCTGCTGCAAGGTAAAAGAAGTGATGACAGACGACAGATTATCTCCAGCCCCCGATCATATTTGATCGACTGGTCTACTTGGAAATCAAGATTCTGCTTATTGCTTTAAGGGATGGCGACGCGCACACGCATGTATGAGGGTTACACGTGACGGGGTAAGGGCGTCATACATTGTATGTAGTTAAAGAACATCTTATCATGTATTATAATCGATATAGTAAGATGTTACATGTTGGGAGAACAGGTCCACGGAACGAATGAAAACAAGAGGTCAATTTAAAAAAGCAAATATTAATGCACGATTGCATGCACGACAATAATCGGCCCCTGATTTCTTCTTAACAACTCTTCATGATGGTTATAATGTCTCTTTCTCTTTTCTTATTTTGAAAATAAGAAAAACACTAATTTATTCATACGTCGTGTAACCTCGATAGCCTCTGATCAATCAAAACACTACTAGTAATGTTTGAAAGGCAAAGCGCATACGATAAAAAGAAGGTGAGTAAAGGGAAGCTCAGTGTGCCAGAAAGCAAGACTCCCTTCATCATGATTGGCCTAGTCCACCTGGGAGCAGCAAATTCATTCGTCAAGTTTTTTTTGTATTCACCCCCCCAGCCGTGTTCGGGTGGTTGCCGTGACACCAGCCGTTGTTGGCCCAGCGCAACCGATGCTTGCCTCTCTCGTATGCCGTCAACTAAGCTTAACGGATCTATCCCTATAGATCACTTTTTGAAAGAAGCACTCCAAATCTTGCGACATGCCAGTGTGTCAGTAACAGCTCCTGACAATGCAGACGTTACTGACCACGACAACTATAGCAATGACGACGACGACGACTACGACGATCGACCTAGGAATAATAGCGACAAGGATCAACAAGCTGTCACCTGGAAGCTGAATTTGTCTCCTACCACAATGACACTGGACACCAACATTCAAACGATCACCGGTTTGGAAAAGGTTCTAGAGCAGCTCAGTCTGAACATACAACCAAGACCACCACCGTTAAAACAACCTCCCTTGATTTCGTCTCACGAGTACCAGATGCCGGATTACCTGCACTCAATCGCCACAGCGCTGTATCTATCCTCTGTGTTTCCACTACCAAAAGCAGACATTTTTCGGCAATTCAACTCGATGCAATTGATGCGTCAGTGCATCCAAGCATTTGTCATGTGTGATGGTGCGATCTTCTTTCATATTCCTCGCCTCCTGGCCGAAACAGAACTGGTGTTAACGCATCCTGCAGCATCCAAGGAACACCCCATCGAAACCTTATTGGTGCTCAGTATATGCTCTTTGATGATTCGGCATGTTATGATGCACAAGCAAGGTCCTCCACAAATTGCGGCTGGTTTGATGCACGCATATTACGCGCACGCACGTCTCCTGTTGCAAGATCTATTTGATACTTGTCATATATCTGTGGTTCAGGCGTTATTCATGCTATCTGTGTATCCGCAAGGACATGTGGATATGTTCTCACCTTCAAGGACGCGCTCGCCATTGTTTTCGGTAGCACTGCGGCTCGCGCTCTCCATGGATCTCCATCGGATCGATCTACACAACGATGACGACGACGACAACAACAACAACAATACTGACGAAAACGAAAATACCGCGGGATCGGAGGAAAAGGAAAAACTACGACGGTTTTCATGGATGCTGCTATGTGCGGATTACTTTGCAGATTGGAATGGCTCGGGGACAGCGGGACGAATTAATGTAGCGGATTGGCACGTCAATTTTCCACAGCCATTACCAGATGAACAACAGGCGGCAAAACGAGTTGAATATTTGGCACTCTATTCACGCGTCGTCATGATTCGCAAAATGCACCTCTTTCGATCCGCGTATTCCATCGTACATCGATCACCGAAGGGACGCGAATCATCCACGGATGAAATGCTCTTTGAAAAGTACATGAACACACCCGCCCCCTTTCAACTCAAACAAGATTTGATGGATTCTAGTACCAAGACTTGGTCACGATCCGATTTGGAGCCATTGCTTTTGCACACGTTGTACTATGACACCCTGATATCTACCCATGTACCCTTCCTTCCGAAAAGATATCTGCAAACGCTTGAACGCGAAAGATCAATACGCGAATCCCATGTCAAAGACATATTCGATCGGATTAGCCAATCATCAGCACCAGCATCACAGCCATCATCCTCACGACTACCAGACTATGCATCCTTTTCAAAAGGCTCGGATTTGTACAGTAATCGAAGATCCCTGAGTAATGGCGGTGGTGATGGCGATCTATCAGCATCATTGTTATCAGCCACTGATGCGGAATTTCATACGGTTGTGGGCTGCTTGGATGCCGCTAGTCACTTGACTCTTGTTCTGGAGCTCTTGCTCGTGGTGGATCCCATCGGCTGCTACCACAGTCCGGTGTATGGCGCATTGACCACTGCTCACGTGTACCATATGCTCGAAACCAACAGCCAAGATGCAGATGTAGTCAACGTATGCCGTATCAACCTAGTGCGGACGTTCCGAATCATCCAGCAGGCGCGTTTGATTCATGCGGATGCAGTAGTGCTATATCTACAGCGGATACTTCCTCAGTGGATGGCAATATCGACGGATGAACCGACTCTTCGGTTGCAGCAGCAAGCGTGTGGAACCATGCAAACTCTTCGGGAGAGGGCTAAATCAAAAGGAGCTTCCATTCACAATTCATCTCCGGCTGATGACAGTTTGCAGGTTGTAAAGACAGAATCCACATGATGATGATGATGATGATGATGATTATGTACATACCCCACCATTTACAATAACAACGTCAATCCCCTTTCCTTCATCCTTCTATATCCTACCATGAACAAGCGCACGCACACGTCCTCGAAACGGAGCAAAAAAAGCAATACACGACATATACATACAACCAAGAGAGCTGCACATACCCAACCATGTTGATTCGTTTTTACTTTTATATTATCCTCTTTTCATATTCGTTGTCTCTCAAATACATATTTTTTTTATTGGATGTTGAATTCACGACCCATGACCTCCATCACTGCTTGATTGCACATCTTGGCATATGGGTTTTCGCTAACCACAATCTCTCTTGCAATTGGACTTCCATGCTTGGCGCCTATTGAATTTGCAGAGTTAGTGCACAATCTTTCAGGTAGCTCACTAGGTTCCTTTGCTACTGTTCCCTTCATCAAACATACCCAGCTGGAAATCGTCCAGTGATCCATCCTTGTCACCCATCTGTTTCTTCAGGATAGCTCGTTGTGTGTATGCCTATATACACACGTTCGGTCGGAAAATCAGTAATGTGGCTGTGTGTACTACGCGCACTCCCTAAAGATCTACTTGCCTGTCTCAAAATCCAGTTTTGATCATTAGCCTTTTCAATTGCACTATCCAGGTCCTTCATGGCAGCTTCGTTGTTTTTCATCAATCGATGGACTTGGGCACTGTTGTAGTCATGACAAAAGTGTTAAAAAAATGACAGCCTTTTGTTTCACGACAGTTGCAAACTAGAAAGAAATGCTAAGCTTTGATACAATACCGATTGTTATAAGCTGCGGCGTATGCAGGTTCCCGACTTATGCATGCATCCAAGGAGTTTAATGCATCTTGTACCTTCCCGTTGTTTGCGTGTTCTATGCCTTCGTGCTCCAACTGTTTGAGCTCTTTAAGAAGTTCAGGATCGATACTGCTGGCTAAAAATATGGGATATATTGCATCATGGAAATCTCTCAGCAACAGTGCAATTGCATATAGTTACAAAGCCGAATCGAAGATCAATTACCATAGGCATCTTTATCTTGGGTATCCGGCGGAGGAAATCCTTGACCTTGTAATTCTGTATCAAGTTACATAGAAAGTTAGTATACACGCTAGTTGTGCCCTCTCAACATAACAGAGATGTAAAGACTTGCCTGGGTTGAAGATCAGTTCTAGTACTGCGTTGTCGGATGCAATCATGTTTAGTCAGAAAGAAACGAAAAGTCAAAAGACGAAAAGGAAGAGAGGAGGAAAGAAGTGTAAAGGAAATTGCGCGCGACCTGTAAGATTTTATTATGATGCATTGCAGGCGTGGGAATTTTCATGTAGTCACACGATTGGAGGAAAAGACGGGGAGATAAAATAGAGTCATTATTTATGTGTGTGTGTGTGTGTGTGTGTGTATTAAATACCAATACTATTACAGTGCTATTCCAACTTCAAGACCGCCGTTCCTTCAACTCCCGGATCTCTTGCTCCAGTCGGCTGCGTTCCACCCGCTCTATCTGGAGCAAGGATTCGAATTCGCCGCGGATTTTCTCGATTTCTCGATGCAAAAGTTTAGAGATGTTAGGATCGACCGCAATATCGTCGATACCGTCATCAGCATCATTATTCTCATCTGGTGACCGTTGTGAAAGAGAGTTGTCGTTACGGGCTGTGGATGATGGTGATGGCGGAGGCATCGGCATAGATCTTTTGGGCATCGGCGGTGGCGACAGCGGGGCATCACTATTACCACCTGTGCTGCTTTTTAAGTTCGTGGGCTCTCCAGGAAGAGATAACTCGCGCGGTGAAGCGATGGGTACAGATGGCGGGGCAGCAGCTTGGCTAGCCGGTCGTGATCCAGCAGACGATGTACGTGGAGGCGGAACAGCTATGTATATATTCGCAGAAGAGCAAGTTAGATAAGTACAATGTCTATCTACTAAAGCGACAACTTTAACGAGAAAAGCACTTACGCCCACCAGGTTGCTTTGCACCAAACATCTGTATACAAAAATGTCAATGTCAGCCAAGCGATCATGTGATTATTCTGCAAGATCCATCGATTTTGTCTTTTTTACCTTTGGAGGTTTGGCCATCGGAATGGGCGGTCTGTTGTGATCGACGTCGACACTACGACGCTCAGCGGTGGATGCGTGTGGAGATGTGACACCATCACCCGGCGTAGGGATGGGTCGAGAAGGTCGTGCAGGTGCCGCTGGCTCATGAGCAGCAGAAGCGGCAGTAGGATGCTCATGCGACTTGGAAGCAATGGGGGGAAGATCAGGCGAAACAAGAGGAATAGAAGGTGTGCGTGGTTTGTGTGTTCGTTTTGGAGGTTCGGCAGCGGCAGAGGGAGGACGTCTGGTTGGAAGTGGCGGTGATGTTACAGGTCGGGCGGGGGGAGGTGCAGGGTTGTTGCTCTGTGACGAGGATGATTCTGAGGAACGGTTGCTCAGGAGTGTGGTGGGTCGCGTAGCAACGGGCACAGGCGGTGGTCGAGCCATCGAGTTAGGCGATAATGGGTTTTCACTCGGTTGGGAGCTGGGCGTGTCTGTTTTTATAGTTGGCGGTCGCGTTCGACGGGGAGGCGGACGCTGCTCTTCGAGCACTTGTACAAAGTTGGATGGGAACACTCCAGATGCTCCAGCCTCGTTTGTTCCAGCCCACCATCCTTGGTCATCCATCTTGTCGGTAACAGTCACATATTCGCCACGCATAAGCTTGAGCTCATCTATACAGCGTTCCGTTGAAAACGGCCAATTAGAGAGATATTTAATTGAAAGGAATGTATTTTAATTTACCTGTATTTTCAGGCTCGTAATCATGTAAGACCAATCCTAAGCACAAAAACAGTAAGTTTTGATATGTCACAATCTAATTTTTTCTTTCCACCGTACCTTTTTTGGGCGATGACTGGCCGCTCGGTTTGTCAGTTGAAGTAGTGGGCTGAACATGCTGCTTTTAAAACGGAAATGAACGTTACTAATGAGCTTTTGAAAACGATACAAATGCTATATGACTTTGCTCGGGTAAGTCAAGCACTAATGTAAACTCACCGGTTGCCCCGCACCTGCTGGGGGAGGCGATGGTGCATGCTCTTCTTCAGCGATCGATGTTCTGCCCGGACCACTTTTCTTTCTTAAAGACATTCCACCTGCAAGGATACTGCCAATACCACCTTGTTTGACACCATACGCAGCAAGTTTAAATGAATCTAAGTTAAAAAGTTTAGTCTTTGCATAAATTTGTTGAATTCAGCCCCCTCCCTTCTTTTCCTTATCATATCTTTGCCCCAAACCGCAAATGATGATAACTAGCTTACTCTTGCCAGGCTTGGCATCAGCAGTAGTATCCGATGACTCGAGTTCTTCTGCAGCATCCACTGGTTTCACGTGCTATACATGCACGAAAAAGAAAAGACAATGAAACCCTTGTTTAGTTTGCTTCTAGTCATCCATCCTCACTGAGTAGGTCTATACAAATTAAAATGGCACAACATACATTTGCTGGGAACACACCAACTTTGCCGTTTAGATCGCCTTTCCACCAACCATCGGCGACAGACTGGTCGAGTACAGTAACAATTCCGTTTACCCATAGTGCTAATTCGTCCGAATTCTGGGGTTCATATTCCCTAATAACCTTTGCCAATACCGGGCCTAAGAGAGCAAGAAAACAAACACACTTCAGTTCATCGAATGACAAAAAATATAACAGATAGCATGAGAATATATACCTTCATTATTCTTGGTTGGGCTTCCATTGGACGAGGATACTGGTTGGAGGAACTAATATAGACGGGAGCAAGTGGCATGTTCAGTTGATATGTCTGAACAATAGAAAAGTTTTCGCTTTTCATTTCTTATTTGTTTTTGACAGCAGCAAACAAGCAAAGCAACAGAAAAGAGCTCGTACATTACTGGGCACCAAGCCCTTTTTCCTAGTTTCGACATTCTCGACGGTCCACCAAGAATCGTTGTCATTGTTCAAGACACGGACTTTGTCTCCAGCTTGCATATTCAACTCATCCTCTTGCTGCGCTTCGTAAACAAAAGTCGCTTGAAACACGGAATCGGCTATAATAAATCAGCAGTGAGGGTCAGCAATGTGTTCGAAATAAAGTAATGGGACTTATTGTTTCAACGTACCAGACATGGTGTTAGTGTTTAACAGTCGCTTCCTTTTTGCTTGGCAACAAGGATAAAATAGGTAAAAAAGAAACGCGAACGGTAGCTTCGGAGGGCGTTTATCCGGAACTCCGGCAACCTTTCAGCGTGAATGTGCCGTGGTTTCAATAATGGCCTGACTGGATAAAGTGATAAACTCTAAAGGCAGAACCCCAGTGGGTCACTACGGGAATACACGACTTTCCAAATTCGTTATAGTATACGCTTCTGTTGTAGTTTGACCCGATACAGTGGGGATGTCTGCGTTTTTCATAGAGGACGTTTCATACGTAATAGCAAGCTGATAACATGACGATGACGATGACGATGATGGTATAAGGCTAGTGCTGCAGGTTTAGCCGTCGGTTGAGTTGGTCTATTCTGTGATGGAAGCAGTCACTCGAATTTTGACGTTAACAATTAAAGATATTACAGCTTGGTGTTTAATCCGATTGATATAAGTTGGGGTTTGAGTGACATTGGCCGTATTATATTAGCCGATGGCTCAATTACTTTGTTAGGTTAGTCTTGCTTTGACCATAGTTCCACAAAATAACCCCATTGTTCACATATCATTTTCTTGGAGTAGCTTCGCTTCTTATTCTGTGTAAACACCATTGATATTATTTCAAAACAAAAATTTCTTAAGTATATAATTTTTGTTTCAAGTGTCCAACGGCATCTATTACGGGAGACAGAAAAAGAGCAGTGTAAATAATAAGAGCTAAACAGGTTGTCGTCTTTTTTTTTTTTGTTATACCGACCTTTTCATCGTAGTACCACATTTTAACGGTTTGATCATCACTACAACTTGCAAGCATCCCCTGCTTTGCGTTCCAAGCTGCTTCATAAACGACTCCGTTATGTCCTCGAAGCTTTTGTAAAACTTCACCAGTGTCCTGATCCCAAATATAGACTACGCCATCCTACATGGAAAAGACAAATAGTTGAGCATACGAATGTGTCTTGATTACATGTGTTAATATTACCTCTGATCCACCAACAATTAAATTATTATCAGCAAAAGTAGCGCGAATAAAGTTCTTGGACGTGTTTTGGTGACCTTTGAGCTTTTGTATGGGACGTACCTATTTGTAAAATATATTAGGAAGAGCTAGCGCAGAGGTGTAATAATGCACTATGTTATGTTACAGTTCTTACCATTCGTACATCCCATAGTCGGTTCGAGTTGTCTTTGGAACTACTTAGAAGATATGTACCACTTGAATTCATTTCTACCGAAGTCACTTCACCCAAATGGGATGATATAGTACGAATGCAGAGACCAGATACAATATCCCAAAATTTGATGGTGTTATCCTTGGAGCTATACACATATAGAATTTACAATTTTGAGCATACACGGTTGAAATTATATTGCTGTTGTTCAAGTAAGTAACATCTCATTCGGCTGCTTACCCGCTTACTACCAAGTTACCAAGAGGGTTGAAGATCGTCTTTGTTACTGCTAGCTGATGACCAGAGAAAGTTTTGACGGTTGCTCCTGTGGTTATGTCAAACAGTCGCACAGTTTTATCATAGCCACCTGTAACAATGTGGCTCTGTGTGCAAAAAATGTGTTATGATCATCCCAGGTTGAATCAAAAAGAATAGAAGTTTCTCAAAAAGAAAAACCACAATTTTACCTCATTAGGATGATATCGTGTAGAATAAACATCTCCCGAATGACCAGTTAAAGTCGTCGCACACAAAGGAAGCGTATCCTTTAGATTCCAGATCTATCGTACAATGAACCCGTTATGTATAAGATGAGATTAACGAAGAAGAACTCTAGAATCGATGTATATTATCTCTTATGTGAACATTTACCTTTACTGTCCCGTCTCCACTGGCACTAGCTAATGATCCTCCTTGCGCTGTTGTTGATACATCCCAGATTCTTGAATGATGTCCTTCAAGGATAGCATGGCATTCTCCAGTTTCTGTACCCCATATCCGTAATGTGTTGTCACTAAGATCGACATTTTGTCAACACAACATATCCTTTAAGTATATATCTTTTACCCCCCCGTCCCAAAGGACCGCAATCGTTTACCTAGATCCAGATACTAATTCTCTTCCTTCTTCGCCAATGAATTCAACACACTTGACGTTTCGGCGGTGGCCTGTCAAGGTACGTCTTGCAGCATTAGGAATGACAAAACTTGTATAATTTTCTAGTAAACTGTCGCGCTTTGCTTTAGTTCATCATTATTTGCTGTTGTTGTCATATTTTCAGCTTGCTACAACGCACGAGTTAACGGCTGGTGCTACTTTGGGATGGTAACGCGAGAACTCGATCTGATATGCTACCGCTTGTCGCAATAATGTCAATAATCGATCGGGTGGTATATAACGGTTGCCTATATAAAAGAAAGGGAAGCACGGGAAATATTAATTTAAGTATCACAAACATTGCAAAAACATCCACTGCCGCCTTGCTGCCACTGCTGCTGGAGACAGAAGCTTGTGTAGATTGAGAGTGAGAGAAGAAAGCGTACCATTACGATCTGCTGTTTCGAAATCAAGCATGCTTTGCAGCTGGTCAACTAAATTTTCTCTATAGGACATAGTCAGATTTAATTCGTTCGTGCCTAATAAAAAGGAGAAAATAGCTGGATAAGACCAGGTTCATACCTAGCACCCATGATTCCTTCCCAATTCCTAAAACTTGGTGCTTCATGGATGGATTTTGCTGTAAGCAGATAGCATAGATCTTTGAACTCATTAGGTTTCGTTTGCAGGTGCTCCAAAGGCTTTAATCGCTTATTTAGAAATGTGAATGCCTTAAAATGGAATATACATTAGTTGAATATTCATCCAAAATGACTATTTGATCAATTCCAATTCCTTGCTATACCTTCTGGATTTCGCGCCTTTCGATATATTCCAGGTATTGCTGCTTGTATATTGAGTATAAAAAGGAGCGATGATTTTTCACCACAGGCTTCGTGCATAATTTTTCCACTTCTTGCCAATCTCCGTCTACAGTTTTATTTTTCCTGCGCAATCAGTAAAACTTTTGGTATTCCTGCATTCGTTGTTTTCCGTTTGTTTTAGCTCTTTTACCGAGGATTGACTTTTTTAACCGTTTGATCTCAATTGATCGTTCCTCGCGTTCCTTCCATTTGACGTTAGTTTCATCATACAGAACAGCTTGCGAGGCATGATATCCTTCATCTGCTAGATATTGCATAACAATTCCAATGATATCCTATTAACCAGTAATATATAATTTATTATACATGTGTCGAATCGCCATGTGTTAACCATAGTACAGCTACAGTTGAATGCTACATACCTCTTTGATTCGAGGGTCGTCAGCGTTAAATATATCTTCAGTGGGTCGTACATAGGAAGAGTGCATTTCGGTATGCTGTGTATTCATGGCCAACCTATTTACACTTAAATCAACACTAATGCTATCAAGGCCGCCTGCTTTATGCTACCTTCGACGACGTCGAGCTGTTGCTGACTGAGAAACACTTCCTCTGTTGTTCCACAGTAATGATTGCACGTCGTCAGGTGAGGACTGGAAGGCTGATTCTTCGTCAGTGTTGGTTGGTTCTTTAATGTTGAGGTCGCGTAAACGATCGATCGTGCCTGTAATTTTGGATCCATCGGCGTGATTTCGACTGTGATCCATGACGGTCGTTGGAAAAATTCCGGCGTAGGCGTATGTGTGTGTGTGTGTGTGTGTGGCAAAGCTGTGTTGCGACTTGTATTTCCGGCCGAGGATGGACGGGCTTTTGAATTTTGCAGTAGCTTCAAGATGCTTTTCTGTATTATTGTTGTGGACTTTTGACTGATATACTCAAAGTAACCAATATTCATGATCAATGATATACCTCTAGTCTGTACTATGTACTTGCCATGTCACGTAGTCGCCAGGCACCTTTTTCTACAAAACCGTATTGACCGAGAACAGAAGAGCAAGTGCGATCACTGTAAACGTTCAGGCACACAACACTGCTTTTTTTATTAGATGCAAACATTAGAATGTCCATCAAAGTTTTCGAGGGTGGCCGTGAATTGGCAAGTAATGTAGCACAACTAGAAAGACACAAATGGAGCATTTTTAGCTATCCATCCAAGGATGCTACATCTTCTTCCGGGGTTTCGATATAGTGGAGTAGATCACTAGGACAGGTAATTTCACTATGCAACAATACATATAAAACGTCAGAATTTAATGTTGTTTGCATGGTAATGATCGCCATCGTTTTGAGAGTTAGAAGGAACGGCACTCACCTTGCTACAAGGATTCCTTTTTTCTGGGGAATCGTGAAACCGGGGCACATCAATGCTGCCCGCACCATACGCGGCATCAAAGTCCTGTCGATTTGAATGTTTGGTCTGCCCAAATGACCGCGCAGTACACCTGAGATAAATGGTAGACGATATGTTTAAGTTACCTATTGACCTGGTGCTATATTTTGGATTTATAAAGATATACCGCGGTCGATGCTATGAATATGTTCTTACCTGTGGCCAACTTGTAATATTCGTAAAGATGGTCGCGTTGCATTGTAGTGATGATCTCTGCTTTGTCCCACGGGAATTTGACCATCATCGATATAAAGTTTTCGAAAGGTCGCTCCGGACATTTTCGAGAAAAGTGAAGCTATCATAGAAAATAATAGTGTCATCATGTGTTTCTACTTGTTGACTGAACCTTTAGCTGTTTAGCATACCTTAAAGTTTCGACATATGCCCAACAGCGATTCATATTCGTGGCTCTCTACAAGAGGAGGTGGCACTACCGTTGCTGAAGAACTTTCTGAAGCTGACGTGATTACTGCATGCCCGTCGTTCGGATCGATACATAGTCTTCCATTGACAAAGATTCCCCGCCAGTTCGGGAATACATCCCGAAAAAACTTCTCTGCTGTACATCTCTGGATATACACTCTTCGGCCTTTTACGGCAGGGTTTTTGATCTTCTGCAGCACTTTGTTTACGTCCTGCTCGGCTTCGAATTCGACGTAGGCTTCCGACATGGTTTTACCACTAGCTTTGTCAATCATGATCTATGAATATGTGGCATCATATCTAAAGTAAGTAGCCATGTCTTGTATCTATTTTTTGAAGGGAGATAAGAGCTGATATGACTGAAAGGGTGGAAATAGGAATATCACATACGTGAATGTACTGTGCGGTATCGTGCTTGCTGGGTAATTTGACACCGAGGTCTGAATCCTTGAAGATATTTTCAATGTCGCTAATCGATGTAGTCCAGGGAATCTAAAGAAAAAAAAATAAACAGTGAGGCCGAAGGAGAGAAAGAGATCGCCCACAAGTTTAAAAGAAGTTAGTGAATACAGCATAGTAAGCTTTAAAGGAAAAGTCCAGGTTCTTATAGCTTTACATTAGAAAGCATCACCGGGAAGTATTTCTTTGCCCGTGCAGGTGGATTGTTGGTAAGCGCCATTGTGTAAGAGAGAGACTCCGAAAGCAGCTTGGTAGCATTATTGGCTTTGGGCCGCAGCTGGTGTTCTTCCTGCTTGGCTTCCTCTTCTGTGATTCTTTCAAGAGAGTGTGTCGATCCTGGTGGCTGTACAACCTGCTTCGTGCCACTTGGATGTTGCTGTTGCTGTTGCTGCTGCTGCTGCTGCTGCTGCACTGCGCGCATATCGCCGTTGCTATTGTTGGAGGAGGACGTGGAAGAAGAAGATGACGTTGAAAGCAGCACCGATGCCGCCGGCGACAATGATGATGCTGAAGTGGGGGTAGAACCAATGATCTGTGACCAGCTGCGATGAGGGCCGACAACAGGGTTGGCGCCGCCAGTGGTGGCTTGCTGAACGTAAGGAATGTTGGCGCAGCCGCTATTACTGATTTGGCGACTGGACGGCCTTGTTTGCGTCATAGAAACTGCAGCAACTGGAGGAGGAAGCGTGAATAACACACATCTCTGCGGTTGTATCTGTCTGAGATTGTCACAAGGCTCGTGAGAATTGAACACTCCGTGGCTCTGTCCTTGGCTTTCTTGATAAAACCCTCGAGAAGCACGGTGACGCTCATGCTGAGCGGCAAAGGCAAAGGACGACGCAGAATAACGGTTTAATCCTCTGTTGATGGGGCGTTGCTCGTAGCCTAAAGGAGTTGGCTGCGGAAGCTCTCCAAACCGGTCGTTGGCAGAGTACGCCAAACCACCTACTCTTTTGTCAATCGGAGCGATTACGGGAGACCGGAGTGCTGCAGAAGTTACTGCGCAAAAGAGAGAATAGCGGAAGAACAGTGAGCTGTGAGGATTTGTTTTTTGTCGCGTTTTCTCACTATACTTACGCTTTTCTGATTCAGCGGGTAAAGAGCTGCGGACAGGATAACGTTGGTGTCCGACGTCATCACTATTTGTGGTCTCTACGTTACGGTGACCTTGGAGACTAGCTCCTAGATATAAAAGGATGATTGCCGTAAGTTTGTTTGAAGGAGCAAAAAACTAAACGTTGTACTGATAGCCAAAACATATGATCAGTTGTCAAGAAACACGTACCAGGGAACAAAGTGCAGTGGCGATCCATGGCAAATTGCTCGCTTGTGTTGACCTTTTTTTCAGCAATGCCAGTACGTATTCCTTCGTATAGAGTTGTGGAAAGCAGAGTGATAGCTTCAATACAGCGCTGTTGGTAAGAGAGAGAAAAAGAATCGAAAAGAGAAAAGAGAAACGCGGGTGAAGAAATGCCATTGATATTTATGTCACTGCGGTTCAAATCGACTGGCCCCGTGACTGATTCATTAGAGGAAACAGTACAGCTTAGAGTTTTTTCTTCCAAATCAAGTAAAAACGATCTGTCAACCGATCCTCCACCAACCATTATCCCCTTGCAATGATTGGAGACAAAAGTCGCGTCCCCTCTTGGGTCCCTCTTACTCTCGAAGCATTCATAGAATGGCCTCCGACAGATAACACATGCAAAAGCACTTGAGCGCATGAAAAAGCAGTCTAATGAACAGGTAATGGAAAACACATGCACATACTTTCCACTCTTCCCATTGTTTGGAGAGAGAGAGAGAGAGAGAGCGTGTAAACAACAGCAGTGTTACACACAACTTTAAAAACCCTGAGCTTTCTCTCAGTAGGCGAAAGGGTCTCGGCACTTGGACCCCCCCCTCTTTCTTCCTCAGGTTCTTTTGGGAAAGTGTGTATACAAGTTAAAAAGTGTTGATAGCAGACAAGACGCTCTACTGTACGACTTTGGCATATAAGCTACGGTATCAGATGTGTAAGTAAGAGCAAGCTATATTACTTGTACCGAAAGCATACCAAGAATGGCAAGTAGCAGTAATAGGTCTTTCCTTGCAGCAGCATGTCGGGGAGCGAGAAAGAAAGATTTATCTGAACCTGCAAAGGCCCAAAAAAAGAAGCAGAGCCGATCAGCATTAAGAAGGATAAAGGAACACTCCCGAAAAAAAAAATCACACTGACAGGGGTAGCTATCACCCGATTTACAGCAAGAGACCTAGAACAGACCTGCAAGTTCAACTGTTGCTTAGCTGCGTTGTTGTTGATGTCGCTGTTGTGTGCTTACAGGCATCAGTACAAAACCGCATTATGGTTACCAAGCAGCGTGATAAGTCTAGATGGGAGTCTTGCTCTAAGGAAAACTACGCATAACTGCCCATGTTCAAACCTACGAGTGTGCAGGAAACCCGCCTCGATGTACACCACGGACCATGTGCTCCGACCACTCTGCAACGAACCATCAGAAAAAATAAAGAAGGTTAAGGTCGCACAAGATTTGTATGGTGGGCGCCACACTAATACACACACGCCCTACATATGAGATGCATTGAAATCATGTGATTATAGATACATACTTTAATGCTCTACGAAGAGGTAGCGATGGTAATATCTAATTTGCGGTAGAGATGGGAATGAGGTGGTAGGTCTATTATATTACAAGAAAGGGGTAGAGAAGGGAGAATAGTGAAAAGAACATCACAAAACAAAATACACAGCACAAAGAATAGTATATATAATATGTATATAGAGCATTATTTATATCCGTAACCGACTCTTCAGTTCGCAGAATCCTCGTCCGAGTACGACGTGGCCTTGCCCTTCATACTCTCGCAACCATCGTCGTACCTTATCAGGCTTGCCCATAGTATACGCCGTCCAACAAAGATACCACATTGTCCGCTCGTTCGCCTCGATGCCCAGTCGCTCAAATTGTTTGACCAGTGACCGTGCCGCCGCCAAGTCCTTGTTGAACACAGCTACCCCGCGAATCCAAATGTTCAGAGACGCGGTGGTCAGTTCCAGCTTCTTCCGAATAGCCTCATCAAGCAGTTCTCTTTGTGCTTTGACCGACGACACTGCAAGTCCTCGTTGCTGATTCCGGTGATACGCATGAATAAAGTATCCATCCATCATCATATTATACAAGATCGTCTGGTCCAGCGGCTCTTCCTCGGACGGATCTGGTAGGAAGCAACGCCTGTCATCCTCGGCAATCATCATGTCAAACAGCCTCCGGGTCTTTTCAATGTCCACGTATCGCGACTTGATAATGCCATGCAAAAGCACCGTTTGCAACGTGCCATTGGATTGTAATCCGCTGCTGCGCAACTGATGATACAGTCGAAGGATCGTATCAATGTCAATATCGTCGGATTCAGCCTTGCGAATGTAACCGTGTATCAAGGTTGTGTAGCTGACTATATCCGGCGGGGGTATCCGATGGTCGTTTCCAGAATACATGGCATCAATGACCTGATGCGCTGCTTCAAGATCGCCCTGTTGTGAAAGACCGTGAATCAAAAGGTTGTACGCGTAGGATGAAGGTGGTATTTCGTGTTGTAATGAGAATATCTTGTCGAGCAATGTCAGAGCTGCTTTTGTTCGCTTGTGTCGCAAAAAAGTGGTAATAATCGGATTCAATGTCTGTTCGTCTGGAGATATGGGAACGGCCGTGGCAACGTGTTCCAGTACCGTCACAAGCTTTGGTTCGTGTGGGTGTAAGAGCATTGCCTCTACTAATAGTCGTAGCGTAATCGAGTCGCCATCCATATCTTTGCTTTGCATCCGATCGATCCACATTTGCAAGTCATCCCACATTCGAAATTGGCACGAATAGTCAATGAAAGTATTAAAAGTTGCCATGGTTGGTTCAATGTTACAATCTTGCATTTCATTATATATCGCATTAGCGCCTTCCATAGCACGCTTGCCTTGCTTGAGTTTGGACCGAATCAGGATGTTGAATGATGCTGCGTCAAATTCCACGTTACGTTCCTGCATTTCTCGTAACACCACTTCCGCATCCTTGAGCCAGTTTTGACGTAGACTAGCATTCAATGCCATGTTAAACAGCTTGATCGTCACACTACCTTCGTCGTCTCGGGGTATCACTTGAAGCAAGCTGTTTATATCCTTTGTGCGTCGGTAATACGCAAGCAGTCGGCTAAACAGATGTATCTGCAGTCGCTCGTCGTGCTCGCTACCGGAACAATACCGTACCATCTCGACCAATTTTTCACGGCTCCAAAATTCAGAAGTATCCTTGATAATGCGCCAAGCTCGGATATTCTCGTTGGTATGCTGAACAGCCCAGGGCCGAATAAGCTGAACAATGTCCGGGGGCTCGAGTTGTGCAATTTGCTGATAGAGTTCATGGCGTATACTGGATGGATAATACGATACCCGAGAAGTTCGACAGAGCGCTTCCAATGCCTTTGCAAATTGTTGTGTGTTCACAAACGTTTCCAAATCCGCGACGCTGCAATGCGGCTCGTCCTTGACGTTCCTTCGGCGCGTATTCGTCCGTCGTTGGTCATTGATGCTTTTTTGCTGTTGTTCCTGTTGTTGCTGCTGCTGCTGCTGCTGTTGCTTTTGTTTTGCTGCTCCTGCACTCTCAATGAGAGCTAAAATGTCAACCGGACTGTCGATTTTTTGCAACATATCGTCATTGGCCAGATCTTCCTCCTCTTCGACTACTGGCGCAGCCGATCGCGTTGCAATCGATGCTGTAGCTCGGCATGTGGAGAATTCTCGGTGCAGTAGCGGTGTACATGGTGTCGTCCAATGCGGCGATGGGTATTTGTTAGGGTCTGAATATTTATAAGAGAGCTGTCGACGTAAGGTTGTTGCGGATGGTGGAGGTGTGGTGGCGTTGGTGGCGGTTGGTTTCGCTTTTAAATAGTGTACAGAGAGTAAAAGTGAGCGCGCTTTTCTCGAGACATGGCGTTGAGTGGGACACAAACAAGAGCTAAGTAGCATCCCGTTTTCATAATGTTATCGCAATACGTGCGTTGTTGGGTTTATATGTAATATATGGGCGGGAGAAAAGCAGGGTAAAAGTGGAACTTCAGCAGGGTGAGCACGGCTCAAGCCACCCATGACGTTTCTCGTTGTTAGTGCCAGCCCTGACTGAAGCTTACATCCTCAGCAACCCCGACAATTATAGTGTCGTGGTACCATGGCGACGATTTTGACAAGCACCACCACTACTCTATGCCAATGACGCTCGTCATCACGATTAATAGCTTAAAGGACCATACTACCCTCTTTCTACTAGGGTAGATACACAATATAACAGTTTCAACCCAGATGATGTCATATCTTGTTTATCCCCCACATTTCTGGATATTCACTTTGTCTCTCGACAACGCAGTCTATAAACTAAGTCTCCATGATTATACGTATAAATTACTAGTTATGTTGAGATGTGAGCATTAATGTTAGCGGGGACCTCTTCGTTGAGCCACCTCACCAAGGGCTAATACCCCAATTCATTACCAAGTCACCTCAACTACACACTTGTCAATCAACCATACCATTTTGAAGCCATCCCACCTTCTGCGTTTCAGTTGAGATTATGTCTTTATATGCCAAATATGTACGATTTACTATAATACATTACTATCCTTATCCTAGGATCTCTGAGATTGCTTCTAGTGTCTATTGTTTATCCGCCCAAGGATGAATGAGGTTAATAAATTTACGGCTTCCATAATAAATCCGTGTATATATAATTACCATTTTAATGTGTGCACGAATCTTGTCTGCTTCCTCTGAGTACTTATCAGCCGTGCTATACAGAGCAAGATTGTAATAGTTTGTTTAAAAATGCACAATTGCATTTCGTCCCTTCCCACCAACAACACAAAAGACGTATAGATTACCTTTGCAATTGTTTTTCCTTTTTATCGATAAACTTCTTTGCTTCATCCAGTGTAAACTGCACGTGGAATCCGAATCCAACATTGACATAGATATATTTTGTATCGGGTCTACATTGGTCAAAGCTAAAGTGAGCAAAGAAAGGGAAAAAATCTGGACCGCTAATGAAGGCTTTTGCGAATATGCATAGCTTACATGTGAGCCTGCACATAAAACTGGGTACCCAGATCCACCATAGTTTTTAATTCGTCCAGCTCATTTTGTTGGATTAACTCGATCTGTGATTTTAATTTCTGGCTGTTTAAAGATTTTTGTTGTTGAGTAAGTGATTGGATTCATCGATAGTAATTGTGTATACAGATAACAAAAGGTCAGGTATAAATCGTACTATTCTGAAATTGTGTCAAAAACCACGTCTCGGGCATCGAGTGTTGCTTTCAAACTGGGCTTCAGCTTCAAGTTGATGAACTCTTCATATTTGTTTATCAAAGCGATTCGATCTCGATCGTTCTTGCTAGGCGAGGGCGTTGTCATTTCCTCCAAAGGAAAGAAAGAGGAAGCGGATTGCAAAGTCAGTTGACTGGAAAATTATGCATCTTTCCGCGTTACTATTGTCGTTACACTCGGCTTGTCATTATTATTTAGTTGCCCGTGACAGTGTACGACATGCTTTTCTGAATGCTCATATGTTCTACTAGCAACCGCTCCTCGCTTCGCTCCGCGTCATTCACACAGTCGCGTCGCCATTGGGGGTATCTCATGGACCTTCGAACCCCACTCTGGAGCGAGGCTGTATCAGTACTTTCAGTATTAAGCGCTTGTACACTCGTCACATTCAGAATCAAAAGGGATAGCACGCAAGATATGTCTATGCGTATTTAACAGCAAAAAAGTGTATCCTTTATAACGTAGATATATTCAATAATTAAAGCACACTCAAATGTATATCATATACGCATACGCCATGACTATATGTTAGTGAATTAAAAAAACAGCGTATATAGTAGATGAGCGTAACTACGTATAATACAATGGCACGGTAAATAAGCAGGAGGCGTGTAGAAGAATATTAACCTTACGTGTCAAGTGGAAAGAACGATGTAGGGAGTCATTCAGTGCTGTAGCACTTCCTAAATGGATAACACATTGATATATGACAAATGAAATATTATATATATATCTGCTCCTTTCGATTGCAGATATATGTAACTTGTCTTCACCACTCTAGGAGGAAATAAGACGCTATTGATGTACTGCGCAACTGTGCATTATATCACAATGCATATCTTCGTAATTTCTTTATAAACTTGTACTTTTTAAAGCTTTGTTCATCCATCATTTGTCTCGGTTATAAATCAAGTTACTGCAGTCAGTACTGTTGTATGTTTGCGCTCTTTCTGTGTTCGATACATACTCGCATGATCGTAGGAATATCAATGGCATGCAATTCTTTAATCGTAAAACCAACATGAGGGCGGCGACCCAGATCGCAATGCACCGCAAATAACCATTTTTAAAACATAGCGCCAGTCTCTGTCGTCATTCTACTTTTGAAGCAGCAAGAGCGACAAAGATAGCCCGCAGGACTGGCAATGGCGTCGTCTCGAAAGTAGCCCATAAAGAGGCCATGTGTTTTCATAGCATGATACGTTACTGCGCTATTGTAAGAAAGCTGACAAGCGGCATGTGTATACCTCAAAGCAGTCTGGTGAATGCGAAATGGTGTCGCGTTTGGTCCGTCTTGGTTGAAAAAGGTACAGCGCAGCGTCTTATTCTGACAAAGTACATGCTTCTTTTGCTGTCTCATTGATCCGTTGCCCACCTACAAACACCATCTTGCCACGTCTGCAACTTACATGGATACGGGATTTGGTGGGATCGTCCAATCATCAAGCATATCACACTCAATGTTTAAGCTACCATCTTTTACTTAATAGCAGGTCTGACGAGATGCAACTTGCGACTCGCCTCGTCAACAACCCCAAAAGTGACCCTTGTGAAGACACCTTCGTTCATCGATACCTCGATGCACTTTTCGATGGGGTGCTTTGCTCAGATCCATTGATCGAGACGGAATGGTAAACCAAGAAAAAAATTCAAGAAAAAAATGAGCTGCACTCTTACTTTCTCTTTGTTGGTCTAGGGCGAACGCGTGGATGAATAGCTCGAAGGAAGATCGTGTTTTGGTGTACAAGCCTGATTACATCGTGTTTGTCAAGCCGCACAACGTGAGGTTCGATATCGCTGCTTGTGAAGTCAAGGCACCCAAGAAAACTGCTGCGCCGCCGGTATCCGACTATGTCAAGCTCTGCATAGAAATGAAACGTATACTGCTGAGCTTGGGCAAGGATTTGATCGACGCGCCCTACGTGCTTGGTATATTGGTGACAGGTGGATTGCACACTCCTTCATGTAAACGAGAAAAGCGAACTCATATGATCATATTCAATTAGGACATACGTTGACAACCTACCGGATGGATTTCATGGGAAACAATGCTTTTCGAGCCGTTCAGCTTGCCAAGGCTCCCATCATTACGACGATGGCATCCTTTGGCTCTTTTCCTATCCTTTTGCGAGCCATTATACAAGTGAAGAATCTCGCCCGTCGCCTTGCACTTGATATCGAAAAGAAGCAATTAGCAATGGCAAGCACTGGCTTTAAGCGCTCCATCTCCGCCCCACAATCCTCCATGCCCAAATGGAAAAAGAACAAGAAGCGCTAACGTTCTAAAATAAAGTTTCAGATTAAGAGCGACAAAAATGATGTCAAACCATTTAGTAGCAGTAACAGTACTTAAAATATGTAATTACACTTTAATGTCCTACACTTTCGAGATTATATTGTAGGGCCTGTTTCATCAGCTTCTGAATAAGCATCCAACTGAGGCAATGTATAGGTTTATTTTATACGCGACAACATCAGCACTCTAATAGTATACATGGAGGACACCAAACGAGATATTAATCAGAATTCCTGCAACAATTCCTGCAAAAAGTATGAAATTGATTAATTATTTGTCAAGTTTCCATGGTATCAGTCGACACTGCTTTTCCATACCCATTTGATGCCGTCGCGTAAAAACAGATTCTCGAAACCAGAACAAGCAGATAATGCCCACAAAGAATCCCAATATTAAACCCCACATCATTTCTTTGTATGTTCCTTGTACAGCTGCAAACACAAGATGTTTAATTCGAGCACTGAAGTGACATCCTTTGCATTTAATCACACAGAGTATAGTGTACTTACTTCCATCTGCAAGTGTTTCAGTAGTATTGTCTATCCACTGCTCCTCCAAATTCCGTGCTTCTTCTGAATTATCTATATAAAGTATCACCCGGTTTAGTCACAACACTCCACGTGACATTTCCTATCATTTACCATCGCCACCAGTGCCATGCATTCGATGAAACCTTGCTCGAATGCCTTGTATATCTTCTTCGGAAAATCCAGATTCTCGTAGTCGATCGAATCCAGTGGGTGGTGACATTTGTGGTTCGTTCTAACCATCCATACTTATAAGTATATAACGCACTATCTTCTTTCCTGCATAATAGTCGTAAACATGTATAGTTGTGCTTACATTATTGGGTGAAGTAGTAGCAGTAGAGGTAGAAGAAGAGGACGATTGCTGTGGGCGTGGTTGTGGTGTAGGAGGGATATAGTCGGATACAGAGCAGTGGATATAGACAGGTGGTGGTGGTGGTACTTTGGCTTTTGAGTTGGTGTCGCGAACAAGTTGGCCAATCCCGTAACCACACAACCGTCGAGCATCGTCTAGAACACGTCCATTTCGAATAAGGCGGATATGTTTGTCTTGTGCTTGTGGTGCCGAATGTCGAATCTACTTGGTCAACAGTGTGTTGTATTAGGTCTTTTTTATATGCGTAGTGGTGAATCCGCAGAAAAATAAAGCAAACAGATTGTAAAAAGACAAACCTTTTGCTTAATGTCGGCTATAGAGTCAAGTGGAGAAGCTCGTATTACGAGATCTTGACCTTCGTTCCAGCGAATGTGCAGGTCTACAGATTCATAGTGTTCATCTTGTTCCTGATGCATATTGTGCACGTTTTGGGGTGTATGCTCTTCTCTTTTCTTTTTTCGGTAAAAGCAAAAGGTATTCACCGCTCAAATAATTATAGAGGGCTCACACATAGAAAATAAAACCTTGCTTCGGTGTTGCCAATTGATATAATGGCAAGCGCCCTACTTTGTATAGACATGTATGATAAAGCAAAAGACATCCATTATTGCTTTTACCATTAGGAGAACCACGAAAGGGGAGGCGGGTTGTTCTTTATTTTCAAGCGCTAGCGAGTCGCCAGTTTTGAGAATATTAAAAAGTCAGGAACAATGCTTAAGCAGTGAACGCAGTATATACACCGTCATCACAAAGAGCAGTGCTTAAAGAGTTTAGGGGATACGATGGCAAAGGATTAAGATTTAAGCGATTCTGTGGGTTTATCGTAAACATAAAAAGCATGCTGGTTGGTCCTCCTCTACTTTTTCCACTAAAGAGTATGTGCAAATATCAATGTTCGACGCTATGAGGCATCAACACGCTAACAGATAGCTAGCGGTACCAAAGGATACGACAAGATACTCAGTCTGTGATCTGTATCTCTCGAAGCATTGCTTTTTGGGAGGGGGGGGACCTGTCAACAGCTACCACCACCTTCCTTCGCTTTTCCAAATTTGGGACCATGTGACGCGGCGATTTGGTCTACAACCTAAACAAAAAAAAAACAAACGCTCGCGGGTCTTTTTTTTTTCTCATATCAACACATAGCATGTCACTTCGATCGTTAAAATCAGCTCGCGAGATTGTCGCTCAACTTGGCTCAGGCGTGGGTGCCCAAAAGCTTTTACCTGACGTATCAAAGATTGCCTTGACTTATGCATTCAAGGGCAAGACCGAATGTGCTGGTGCAAAGTAAGTGTACAAACCTTTCCAAACTTGACAGCTTTTTATTATTTCTCTCTACCCGAGAAAAAAGAAAACTAACTGCAATTCTAGGCACTTTTTGCAAGAGAGTCTTCCACGCATGCAATACAACAACCCTAATGTCGAATTTGTTGTCGAAAGTTCAGCCGATCCTGCCACGAAGCCTACTGTCACTGTTCATTTTGGTAAGCAACTAAGGCCAGCTCAGGAGCATACATACACAATGCTTTTCGAGCATCTGTATTGATTATTCTTGTGTAGGTGAACGAGGCTCCAAAGTATTTGCCGTTCCAAGCACGCATTCGGATAGCATATGCCAACAAGTTTTTGAAGCAAAACCATAAGACACAGTTTACACCCATAATATATCGAAAACATGCACCACTCTCATTACCACCATCCACACCATCACCACCACCACCACCACGACTACTACTACTACTACTCTCATGACAAACACACGTTTTCCTTTTTGTACAGACCATTTCCAAGAGAATTAACATAAAAAAAAGACCAATCAACCTGTATAGAAAATTTATATATATCTTCTTTGTGTGTGTTATGCCAAAAAAAAAAAAAACAGAAAAAGCAATCCGGGAATCATCTTTAGTTTGTTATGATCCAGCAACCGTTGTCGAAAGTATCTGAGCGAATCCGATGATAAAGACCAAGACAAAGCAATCCTTGATCAACGCTGATACAATGATCCAGTAACGAAGTAGCACATTTGCTGCGTTGGCCATTTGGGGTGGTAAATATTGGATGAGTGTCGACAGTAGTAATGAACTGCTACTCGTGTTGCCCTACACACCATGATTAGTTTCTAAACCAACTAAAATAGACACTTTTATCAAAAAAAAAAAAAAAACTTACTTGTTGGTATAACATACGCGCCGATTGTAACATCAGCTCCAATGTTACGAAATACCAAAACAATGGCTATAAAGAAAGTCAATCAATGAACCATACTTTTTGTTGGGGCGCTGAGATGAGAGAAAGAGAGTCAGCAGATCACAAAAGAAAAAAAAACACATACGAAATGAATTCCAGAGTATCCTTCAGGGCTTGATGCAGACAGTAGACCAGCAAACCGCTCTGCGCCCACGGTAGACCATTCTGTATACACCGCGTACGCTCCCAACCAAATCATACTGATGAAATGAAGCAAATTCCAATATTTGGCAGAAGTATCTGTCGGTCCATCCATCTGTTGCTGTTGTTGTTGCTGCTGTTGTTGTTGCAACGTGGCAAGTAATGCTGGATTGAAAGGAAATTGTCCGCCAAGCAAGTCGTTCAGATTCGGTGGTGGCACTCCTGCCTCGCCTGCAGCAAACATGGCTTCTAACGAAGGTGTGGTTCCGTCACTTGTTGAAAAGCTAAGTGAAGGAATGGGTTGTGGTGCACCAAGCGATTCACATGGATCGGCATCCGCAGGTCTCGGTTGCGATGTTTGCTGCGATGCTGCTGCTGCTGCTGGTGGTAATGGTGGTACTGAAGACGTTGTTGTCGTCGAAGCCTTTCTGGATCGCAATGTATCCGTTGACGTGCTTGCAAATATTGCGGGCGAAGGCGAACGTGACCTTGGTCGTTCTCGTTGTGGTGTTTCCGATCGCGCAAGTGAAGACGTTGATGTAGAAGGTGATGGTGTAGGTGAAGGTCGATTGGCTATATATTTCCAATCGGCGTGTGCGGGTGGGGAGGGGTGGGTGTATAATCACGTTTAATGAAAATGTCGCTAGTTAGTTTCAATACTTTATAAAAAAGTTAAAGCAGACAGAATGACGAGTTGGAAAACACACATACGGAATGCAGTGCCCGTAATGCGATTCAGTCTGTTTTCTGCAGACGCAAGAATCTTTTGTTTGCGCTTTTCTCGTCGACGCTCAAGTTTTTCTTGTTCGGATAGTTCTGGCATAACACAAGCAACACGTCAGGAAAGAAAGAACAGCAGCAACAGCGGAAGGTGGTGTGGTGTAGAGGCGGCAAAAGAAAAATAGGGTGTTGGTCGATGACCTGGGGTGGGCGCGCGTGTTTTGATTTTTTAGCGTAATCCTACAGTGCCAAAAACGAACAGTGCCAAAAACGGCGCTGTGGAACACAAAGGCATCAATATAAGGATTTCTTTGTTGACACAACACCATCAATGACGCTGCCCACCATTCCAGGCAACATGATTGCTACATACATGGATATTGTGAGTAATTCTGTTCTTTCAAAGTATTAACAGAAATACTACTTGCTATCTTGGTCGTTTGTGTTTCCTATGTCGTCATAGTTAGTAGTCAAAGAACACCTTTTAATATGATCAGACCACACTCCTGGCTCGTTCGACAAAAGGGTGTAGCTAAACCTCTGATGTACGGTTCTCGTTAAGAGTTATGGCAAGAAAGTGCTCGTTTACCTATGACAGTATTGAAATGTATTACATGGATGATCAATATCTATCTGTGCTTGCTACTAGCTCTATTGCTATATTGTAGACTGGTTCATTAATGGAGCACAGAAGAAAGAAGAACAATGGGAACAACCCATCAGTTAGTAGTATATAGGCCACTAGAAAGTCAAGTATGTTGCTGTAGCTAGCTGCTATATCATTTGATGTCAGTTGATATACAAGTTAGGATATCTATGGCCTCGATGCCTCTGCTTAATAACATGTGTGTTTGTAGTCTGTCACACTCATCAGAAGGAAGGACAAGAAACGAAAGCTGGCAGTATAACCAAGTATGGAATTTTGTGAAGGTTCTTTTCATTTTCAGAAAGAAACCCTTCTGGCGAAACTTAATTTCCCTCTTCCCACAGTCAAATGAAAGCGTAATAACAAAGGGTTTATCTCCTCTGGCTTCACTTGACACTAGTTGCCCTAGTCACACTTGGCATCAGAACGAAGCAGCAGCAAAGGCGCGTAGAATGTCACTTTAGGCGTTTCGTACTTTCTGGGCTACGGATAGCGTTCGTAGAGTCTTTATGGTATTACCAATACCATGAATCCTCTGCTAAGGCCAGCAATAACGAGGGTGTGCCAAGGCGGCTTTTGTCGCTGTTTTCATTTCGGATAAACCGAATAAAGTAAAAAAAAAATAAAACCCGCTTTCTCTTGCTATTGTAGACCCTTTCTGCTCTTCTTTTTTTCTTTTTCTTTTTACGCATATACACCTCTTTTTTCCTCTTTTGCTTGTGATCTGGCATTCATAAACATCGCAATGGAAGATGTCCAGTCTTCCATGCTGCTGGCTACACAGCTTGCAGAAAAAGGTCAAATCAAGGTAAGACTGCGGGGTGCTTGTGAATGAGTTGCCAAGTCCTTGTCTTTAGGTTGTGCGATTAGGCAGGATATATTTAGGAGGAGGAGAATTGAGCAACACTCAAAAAAAGAATGCCCTTCTCCCCCCCCCTCATTCCATTCCCCGGAGAGTTTACGCTTGACGCTCATTTGTGCTGCTTTATATTATATATTAGGATGCATACATGACATTTCTCTCGACGACACAACACTCATTGGATTCACTTTACGAAATTAAGTTTGTTCATTCCTGTGAGTAAAACACATACGCAGCCACAGCCCTCCATTAGATAGATAACAGACACACAAAGCTTACTTAAGAATATTAATTCTCACGAGCTGCATTATCTGTATTTCTCTCTATCTAACGAACCACGCTCATACATCCAATATAAAACAGCCATTGTATCCCAGCCAAAGCAGTACGCTGCATTGATCTCCGCCATGCGAACATGTTTATCGCATATTGAAAACATATTAGAAACGCATTCACCAATGTCACCCACGAATCGCATATTTCCTAATAGCGACGCATCATCGTCAGCAGCAGCAGCAGCAGCAGCAGCACACAGTAAAGCACCTCCTCCACCTCTGCCACCCAAACCATCGCGAATTCAAAAGCCAAGTATCCCGCCAAAACCGGCAATTACCACCACAAAAACATCACGCCCTACCTCTCCCACTTCCGACACTCACAATATCCACCAAGGTATTTAATTATTAATAAATTGAACTGGATATATATTTTACTATCAGCAGCAACCCGCATCGAGTCTAATTGCACGTGCTTATTGAAAAAATATAATAATAGACAATGCTGCACCTACTAGCACTAACCATCACCGCCCTTCGACCACAACGACGACGCCTGTGGAGACGACTATAAAGCCATCAGCGCTTCAAAAACACTTACAGCCACCTATACCACGACCACCACCACAACAACAACAAAACAATAGTGACTCCTCATCTGTTTTAAGGCCACTCAGTGCGCCTCAGCCGTACAATGCCCCAACAGACAACCCCCAACGCCCCTATTCCGAGTACCCGTCATCGCCGTCATCGTCATCAGCGATAAACAGAATTGCAGCCGAAGAAGGCGAACTCGACCCTACCCATCTTGTTCCAGCACAAACCAATGCGGGTGACAGTCTTAGCCCACCATCGGTCACCACCATGAACACCGATCATGTCCCCTATATTCCTGCACCGCCACTTTTGACAACGCACCGAGTCCTGCAGGCCAGGCTGGATGAGCTTGAGACGACGGTCAAAGAGTACAAGACGAAAAAGCAACAGTTGGGCAACAGCCATGGACACCGGGATGCAGCTTCAGAAGAAGAACTGGATAGAGTCATATTGCAATACACGGGGATGGCTGCTGATATCAAACAGACACTGAATCGAGTGCGGACGCTTTACATGAGTGCTGCAACCATTCCGACGGTCCTGCAATTCCCGACGCATTTGATTGCTTATCAGATCACTTTGATTGAGTCGGCTGTGTTTTGTGCCATCCCACCTCAAGCGTTACTAGAACATTCGGCACGCCATCCAAATCCACGGATCGTCGCATCGACCGACTTTTTCAACTACTTGACGCGTGTGATTGAGCACGCCATTCTGTTACCACAAGAGGCATCGACGCGCGCACAGCATATCAATCATTGGATCAAGGTCGCCTCTAAATGTCTTGACTTGAACAACTACCAGACCCTGAAGGCCATTGTTTCTGCACTGGGAACGCCACCTGTACAGCGCCTGCGTCGTACATGGGCCTATATACCAAAAAAGAGCCTGACCAAGCTGGAAACACTGAGCGAACTGATGAGCGAGAGCGACAACTATGGCAAATACCGCGAACACATGGGCATGGTGAACGCAAGTATTGTGAACGGCAAAAGCGTTGCGGGCATACGAACAGAACACTTCTCCAAGCCGACCGTTCCTTTCCTCGGCACGTTCATTCATGACATCACCTACCTCTTGGCAGCAGCCGTCAAGTCTGGCAAGGCGCCTACTGACGATCCACGGGTGATGGAGGTGTTGCAGATGATGGAAGCTTTCCAGCGGGGACCTCAGTACACGTCAGCGCCGCCCAATTGGTTTGTCAAGGCATCACAAAAGCACCATCTGCGGCCAGCCTTGTCGAATGCATTGCATAGGAGCGCATCTGGCATTGGGCGGTTTAGTGGTGGCATGTTTGGCATATCCGGAAACAGCAGCAATAACAACGACGATGACGACAGCAGTAGCACCAAGGGAGAGAGTAGCAACGGTATGATGGAAGAAGACAGTGTGGAAGAGCAACAACAGATGATCACACAGTACTTTTTGATGCGATCTTGGGTGAGTCAAAACACGGTGGATGAGCTGAGCATGTTACGTGAGCCGCCAAGACAGCAGACAGGAAGATCGACGACGGGTGGAGGGCCGTACAGTCAGCATCGAAGCACAAGTGGCAGTAATAATCACACAAGTTCCATGATTAGCAACACGAGCTCGTTGATGCGGTTCAGTACGGGAAGTGTGTCGATGGGCACGTCTAGTGGTGGTGGAGGGTTCGATAGTCGTGGAACAAGCATGGAAGAATACTCTCCCGATAGCTATGCCCCTACGAGTCGGAGCAGTAGTAGTGCCCGTAATAGTGCCGACGATCAAGATGCATCAGCAGCAGCAGCAGCAGCAGCTAAAAATGGAGGGTTGTGGCCGTTCCGACGCAGCACAGACAGTCATCGTCCGGGTAGTGCTGGTGATCAAGTCATGGCAACGACAACGACAACAACAAGTAGTAGCACTGGTAATGCGCGTTCTACTCGGAAGAGCGTGCCGAGTTCGAATCTAGACATTGTTTTGACAGCCAGTCAAGATGAGCCGCCACATATACCACCACGTCCTCCTCCACGGAAGGATGATAACAACAATAATGATGAACAGTTCAAGAATGCTTTGGCGCAACGACTTCAGGCACAAGTCGCTGCGCGATATCCTTGAAGAAAACTTACTCGTAGTCATCAGTAATGGAAATACCCCATCCTCTTTGTTTCTTTTTGTTCGTGTCTTTCTCCCCTCCTCCGTTAGTGCCTCCTTCTCCTCCGTCTGCATCACCCTTTCTACCCTGTCTATTTTTGGAAGCTGTATTACATACGACATATCTCACCTTCTTTTATTTGCCAACCACACACACATACGCACTTACAAACACTTGTCACACGCACTTACAAACACTTGTCACACACGCATCGATCCATCACACTCACACTCCATCACAAACCCCAAAAAAGAGATGTATTTTTATCCAAATCTGTAGCATAAACAAAGGGGCCGCCAAGAAGCAAAGCTCTAACTATATAAAAAAAAGGGCTAGAAATAGATGTATGTAACGTAGTAGGTCATACCACCACAGACAAGATCGCCATTATAGATATGTTTTGATGGTGTTTATATGCACATGCAAAATTAGGTTTTTTTTAGATCGTCGTTCTGCCAACTCAAAAGAGAGAGATATTGGGTGTATCATGTACTGTATCATAGTATGTACACAACATACGACAACCACGACAGCAACAATTATATTCTGCAAAGTGTAAATGAGAAAGAGAAAGAGGAGAGAGTGCATGCATGCATGCATTTAGAATATTATTCTAGTTTAGCTTGACCGTTGGGCTGAAGCCATTATCTACACCTTCCCCTCTGTGGGGTATACGCCCGGCGATCCATATTTTTCCACTTGCTTGCTTTGAGAAAAAAAAAACCCTAATGAAACAAACTAATATTCATCCCGTAATACAGGAAGAAACCCGGGGGGGTGGGGGCTTGACTTTCTAATGATAGACCTTGATGTGCGTAGTATTGACCATGTATCATACAGTATGTAAGCGCAAGATGTAGGTAACACTACGACTGTAATCGCGTTTACTTGTAACATCTCCACTAAAGAAAAGAGGGCGTACATGTCTTTTCTAGATGTACACTAACACTAGCAGATGGATGTACATAGCAGAAACGTTAATAATAGTGTACCTAATTATTACACCTCCTTGTTCCATATTATCACACAGATAGCGCTTTAAAACCATTGGGCGATCCTCTTTATCTTTCTTCTTACGTGTGGCACGTCGTCGATCCTATAATTTCTTTTTTCTGCTCATGCATGGGAGTGAGTATGTTTGTTTCACACTGCTTTAGGTTTAGATCACAAACAAAGGCAATCGACGACATCCAACCCCCTATGGCGCAAATGTCGGATGTATGAGAGAGAGAAACTCTATGGGTTCACCGATCTACGAGCTACTATGTACCAAGTGTATTACAGAGACATTTTCTTTGGGGGGATGAGGTTGTTTAGGAGAAGAGATTGAGCGGGGAAAGAGGGGTTACTGAAGGGCGCCAAAAAAAAGAACCAAAGAGTCTCTAGCTTATAAAAGCGAGAGTCGCGTTTCTATTACCTTTTCTTCTTACTTTGTTTTCATTTACTGACCTCGCCTTTTAAAAAAACTTGTATTGCTATACCTCTTTACCTTTTAAAATAACAACAACATGAAATCTGCTCCTCTTGTATTGTCTGCCTTGGCACTTCTTGCCGGATCCGCACACACATCTCCTGTGCCTGGTGCTGCTGGCGTCTCGAGACGCGATCTGAAACAAGTCCGTGCTGAGCCTATCCAAGTTATGAACCATGCAGTAGCATACGGTGACATCCATGAATTCGTCAAGCGCCATGGCCATCATCATTCGTCGTCGTCCTCGTTTTCCTCTTCATCTGACGACAATGGTGACAGTGCCAGCACCAGCAGCAGTGGTGAGGATTCTTCTTCTTCTGGTGGCAACGTTGAAGGCACGGAAAGTGGTGATCATCCGTCTTCAACGGCCAACAATGACGGTGCTTCTGGTTCCTCCTCAAGCAACGGTGGCGAACATGACGGTTCCTCCCCCTCTTCGGATGCTGAAACTTCCAGTAATGCTGATGTTAACTCTTCAAGCAACCCTGCAGACGCTTCTGGCGATGTCTCTTCTGATGGTGTCCATGATGCCTCTTCTAGTGGTGGTGAATCTTCTGCTGACAGCAATGGCAATGATGACTCTTCTAATCCTTCCGCAGAAACTGAAAGCAGCAGCAGCAGCGATGATAGTGGTGACCACAGCTCTGAAGCTTCCACGGCTGCACCTGGTGACCATGGCTCTTCCTCAGCCAGTGACTCTGGCGATAGCTCTTCTGCTGACGCTGACGCTGCAGATGCTGCTTCTGCTGAAGATGGCAGTAGTGGCGCCACTAGTGGTGCCGATGACAGCTCATCCTCACCATCTGACCAAGAAACCAGCAGCAGCAGCGGCAACAACGGTGATACTCAAGATGAGAATTCCAAGGATGGTGTTGTAGCTGCTACCGTTCCTTCCACTGAAGAAAACAGTTATTCTTCTGAGGACCCAACTGGCCAGGACGATCCCATTTCTGCTGATGCCACTTCTGCCGACGACGCATCCACGGCTGACGCTACTTCTGCCGACGACGCATCCACGGCTGACGCCACTTCTGCAGACGATTCGACTACCGCGGACGCTTCGTCAGCAGATGGCCAGTCTACAGCAACCGATGATGCTACTTCTGCTGCTGGTGGCGAGGACCAGTCGACAGATGGAGCAGCTGTTGGCGGTATGGCTTCTGATGGCACCACCTCTGCAGATGACGCCTCCGCATCTGACGCTACCAGCAGCAGCGACCCTGCAGCATCCGGAGACGCAACGGCCAGTGATGCAGCAGCAGCTAGCGACGACTCCTTGGCCAGTGATGCCGCCTCTGTGACAGACTCATTCGCTTCACCATCAGGTGCTCTGTCATCCTCATACCCTATGGCAAGCAGTAGCAGCAACGGCTTTCCCCTTGCATCTTCATCTGTAGACGGTCTTTCTCCTTCTTCTTCGTTCCCCAGCGGCATGCAGCCCTCAACTGAAGCGATTCCTGCTTCTGCAGTGGCACTTGATCCTGCTCATCTTTTGGTTGCCCCAGTCTTTGTTTTGATCGCCTTGGTCTTCTAAAAACCCCCACGCCGCCCTATTTATTTTTGCTCTTTTATCCATTTCTTTAGTGTATATGTTCCCATCTTAGTTTGTTTTATGTCTTGTAGAAGTCTATTAACTTTGTTCTTTTTCTGTGGATAAACCTCTTTTTTTGTTTTATCCTGTCAAAATGAAATAAATTTCAGCTTATCATAACCAGAGAAAATATTTATAAATGTCACTCAAGAACATTTTATCGTTGTTTTTGCGTCATACAAGAGGAGGAGGACCTTATGCTGATCTCTCAAGGAAACAATTAGAACATCGTTTGGCTCAATTTGAATTCGACCGTCTTGGCAACAACAACAACAACGACCAAAGCCCAGTTACCACAGCAACAGCAGCAGCAGAAACAACACGACAACAACGACAACGTAGAGCTCAATTTGATCAGCACCGCATCGCGTTGCAAGTGTCTTACCTAGGGTGGAATTACTATGGATTCACATCATCAAACGCCCACACTGAAAAAACCAATCCGACTGTTCAAGGGCAGTTGATGAAAGCTCTTTTACAAGCCAAACTCATTCAAGATCCTGACAGCTGTGAATTTACGCTTAGCGGAAGAACCGACACTGGCGTAAGCGGTATGGGCCAAGTCATTGCACTCAACGTGCGCAAAACATCCGGTAGCGATTTACCGTACCTACGCATGCTCAACAGCGCATTACCGCCTGATATCCGAGTATTAGGATGGACACCGGTCCCTGACAGTTTCAATGCGCGTTTCGACTGTCGATCCCGGACCTATCACTACTATTTTCCAGCCAACAATGACATATGTATTGATCGAATCAGAAAAGCAGCCACGTATTTACTCGGCGAGCACGATTTCCGCAACTTTTGCAAGTTCAATCCGTCCAAAAACCTTGCGCATTATCGTCGTACCATTCTTTCTGTCAATGTAACTACTACTACTAGTGCTGATAAGCACAGACCCTCTTTTGCTCGACTCGAAATCAAAGGCACCGCGTTCTTGTGGCATCAAGTACGCTGCATTGTATCCATCCTGTTACTCGTTGGCCAACGTCTTGAAGAACCTGAGGTCGTGCAATGGTTGTTGGATGTCGATAGAGTGCCTGGCAAACCTGAGTATCCTTTGGCAAGCAGTTTACCTTTGGTGTTGTATGAATGTGACATGATCAACAAACAAGAAGACAATAATGGCGACTTGATATGGCATCGAGAGTCCACCGAACGCACACGGAATCATTTACGGTTATTGTGGGGTGAACAAATGACCAAAGCCCTGCTTTACGAAAGTTTCTTGAAGGCAACAGAAGAAATGGGAAAAGTATCAACGAGATCCAGTGTGAAACGCATTCAACTCGGTGCAAGCAAGGAGATATTGACCTCGAGCTACAAGCCGCTCATGGACCGGAGGCGAAGCGATCCTTATTCACTAAAACAGCAAAAGTATAATACCTCGCATACTAAAGTTTAAACCTAAACAAATATCGGTAATAATAAAGCACGTATTAGTTCGTATCATGAAGGAGAGGAGATGTAATTAATGGTAATTTTTTCTGTATATGTATGCATGTTGTAATAATATGTACAATTTATGTTTAGGATTCTAATAGAAAAAAGAAGAATAAGAAGAACAGTATTATGTAGTTTGGGGGAGAGGGAAAAGGTAAAACGGGCATGAACCAACAGAGTGTCTATCAAACAACCAAAAAACATTAATGGTACCATCCTAGCTGATTCCCAAAGACCGTTTGCTGAACTCGTACACAGCATAACTGATACTGACGGATGGGACGACCTGTTTTTGTTGCATGAAAGGATCTGTCAGTAAAACTGTTGTTGAAAAGGGTTTGGTATAGATATATATCTACCTTGAATAATGTTGGTCCCAGGCCTTTGTAAAAGCCTCGAACACCGTCAGCTTGAAATGTTTTTCTGGCAGCGTCCCAAGCAGAGGAATAGCGATGTGGGTGGCCTGGTGTACCTTGCGCCTGTAATCTACATACGGTAATATATGGAGATAGGAGTTACTACCATACATTTGCAAGATGGACAATGCTATGAGCCATGATCGTTACCTCGTCCGGACAAGATTGAGCGGATAAACAGTGGTGGCGCCAATTGAGCCACTCACCATACCACATGCCCACAACACCAGTACATTGGGAAGAAGCAAATCGTTGCTTTTCCGTTTTTCCTCCTGACCATTCATGTAACGCAAGTAGGTAACTTTGAGTGTCTCGTAAATGCCTAGCATCATCATCATTTCCATATCAGCTCGTTGTTCTCTCCTAACTATTGAGTTAATTGAAATACTTACCCATATCTAGGGCTTGGTATGGAAACACGCCCAACAAACCAAGCGTCAAACCAGGCCAGAACGCACGGATGCCCTGGGCTTTATACATGTTGATTGCAGTGTTGACAACAAACGACCGACCATTCGGAGCAACACCACTACCGGCACTAAGCACAGGGTTCTTGGCTTGATCGCCCACCTTGGTCGACATGATGCGTGTTTTAAGGGTTTCTACGGGGTAAATGCAAAATTGGGAGCACAGACCAGCCATGCCGCCAGCAACAAATCGGGCACCCACCGGAATAGCGTTCTTATCCTCGACACCAGTGAATTGGGCCAACAATGTCTTGGCAGTTTCAAACACATAGAACTTGATGGCGGATTCTGGGATAATCTTCATGACGTTCAATCCATTGCCAACAAAGAAGCCGCGGAAACCACCTTGACCATAAATTTTGCGGACGGCACCAACGATGGATGATGAGGATTCTGCTGCTGCTGTTGATGATGCTGGTCCTCCTTTTACAGAGGAGGCTATATTTTGGATCGGTCTGGGCGAAGTTTGTGTAATCAGGTACACTTTGAGTCGGTCAAAGGGTGCTGTACATGTTCGTGAAACAGCACCCGCAATGCCGCCTGCAGCAAGGTACTTGTAGGCATTCTGTGCAGCTTCGTCGGTATGCGAGAAGGAGACCTCGGCGTCCTGGGTCAGTTGTGTCGATGTTTGATAATACTGGTAGATTTCTGAAATGGTTGTTTCCTGTGGCAACAACTGTGTACAATGACTAGATGTCAGAGGCACTACAAATCACTCTTTGGATGCTTTTAAGTTCTCTTATAAATGATCTGCTTACCAACAAGAAATCGCGCCAATCCTGAAAATCAATGTATCCGTTTCCCTCTAAAAATATGTATTACACGGTCATAAGTATACTTTCTCTCTGGAAGAAAAATAAACAGCCCTTTATCTTTACCAGTATCAATCACTTGGATGAATTCGTCCAGTTCATCCTTGGTGACGCGTATCCCTGCTGCCTTGAGTGCATTCTCGAGATCGTCAGCGCGTAACCGATTGTCGCCGGACTGGTCGATTTCCGAAAACAAATCCCACAACTCCTTTTCTTTTTCAAGCACATAGGTTCTAAATTCAGAATAGTCTATTGCGCCGTCCCGAGCCGTGTCGCATTTTGCCAGGAGATCGGTGGCATAGCGTGTGTGGGCAGGCAAATGGGTGAGTTTATGGAATCCACGAAGAATAGCAGCTGCATCAAGGTATCCGTTTCCGTTACTGTCCAGTGAATCAAACAAGCTTCGAATACGGTTTTCACGCTCGGCAGCCTTTTCGTCGTAATATGGGTGTCGAGCTTGTTGTTGTGTGTTGTTCAAAGATGTTGGCGGTGGTGGTGATGCCATGGGATACTATTTTAGCAAACGCAAAAAAAAAAAAAAAACAGGCAAGAAGCGGAAGGCCAACAAAAAGTTTTGGATCAGCAAAACTCTTTCTTTCTCGAAAAAAGAAAAACGGAAAGCGTTTTGGAAAAAACGAAAGAGAAAGAGAGAGAGAGTGGGGAGGTTATTTGTTCGTTGTGCTGTCGACAACCGAGAGAGAGACAGAGAGCCTAAAGGGACAGGCAAGAAAGAGAGAAGAAAAAAGCAAGGCCAAAACTCACACCGCCCACCCCACCAACCCCTTTCCGTCTTCACAGGACCGCGCGTAGACCGGATCCGACGAAGATGCTCACAGCTCACAGCAGTACAAATTTTTCGTTTCGCGCTAGCAAATGGGAACACGTTATTCCTGTTACGGCAGAATTGTTTATAATGCATATCCAATCGGCACCACCATGGATATCACGTACTTTATTTTTTGCATCGCCAGGCACACATATCGACCATGAAGCTGATGCCTCTCTCAATATGGTGAACAGTGCTCAGTAAGCTGTCACGACCGGCTGTATTGTATTGAGATCCAAATGAACAGACGTCACACTATTGCCAATATACAAATTAATCTTCAGATACAGTTGTGGGGATAATAGGTACTAATATGAAAGAAACCGGTACATACCAGTAAGACACTGAACGACGATACAAAAGCAAATTTAAGACGATAAAACAATTAAGTGGGGAAGAGAGGTTTGTGAAAAACTATAATATATCCATGATCCGTTAATATCCTTTACATCCTTGATATTCCATATAGATTCCGTTGGACTTCTGTCTGCTTCACATACAAGAGTTATCCGTTTCTTGTGTCTTGAACCAAAACCTTGTTCAAACGTAGCCCAAAAAGAAAGAAGGGAAGAAAGAAGCCAATGTTTATTTATGATGATAATTATATTCAAATACTAAGAGTGCAAAGGGGTTGTGTGGGCGTATTGTCGCAATAGGGGAATGCTTCACACTTTCACGTCACACACTTCGCTGTTACAACAGCTGACACGACGGCTGATGGACTGTGCTCAGACATATCCAATCCAACGTGATGAACAAGATTTTGATTCAGGATGTGATCAGAAGATACATAATATCGAGTATATCAGGCACTACGGTAGCATGTTTTGCTACTTTGTCAATCGATGTCTTCCAGCCAAACTGTAACTCGTAATGAAGTAGGTTCTGGCTCTAGTACCGAACCAGAATTATATAAGCCGAGCGCTCTGACATTACTCGAGATGTATATGTATCAACAGTAATGATTGGGGGCGACACAGTGAAAGACGTGCCCCGAAAAAAAGCTGGCGGGCGGTGACGGGCTGTGCATACTGCAAAACGATCACGCACAGAGTTAAAAAATAGTACCCGACGAGCCCTTCCGTTGAGAACCTTTTAAAACACCCTCTCTCTCTCTTCCACCATTTCTAACCTTTGTAATTTTCTTTGATTCCCCACCTCCCAATCCTAACTCATGGAGTCCTATTAAACTTAGTGTACAGTCCCGATCTGTCGCTGCTGCTTCTTTTTATATAATCACACTATCATAAAAAAAAAGAGCAGATTTGTTTTTCTACAGAAAAGAAGGTCTCCAGAACTCTCAATAAAAGCGCACGCGACGAAAAAGAAAGAAAGAAACCACGTTTACAGAAAACAACAACAGCAACAACATACGTGTATAAGGCCCCACCTCGACCAAAAACGACGACGACGACGACTTGCCTTTAATTTCGTGCGGAATCAACGATGGATCTCGGGGAATTACGCGAAATACAAGAAAATGAAATTGAAGCACTCAAAGCAATTTTTATGGACGATTATGTCCAAGTGGCAAATAAGACGCCGTGGAAGGTTAGCTAGCCTCTCTATACTCTGTGTGTGCGTGTCTGTGTTTTTCGTCATATTATAAAAAGAGAGACAAATTAAAAACAGACCATACTTTACAGGTAGCCAATTCTACGCCCGAGTTTATCTTACATTTGGCTCCTTTGGGAGTTGAAAAGGAGGAAGCCCATGTTTCGATTGATCTCAAAGTGAGGTACAAAAACCGCTTTAGAACTTGGAAGGCGACAGATGACGACGCTCATATTTTTTTTTCGTGTTTTTCATGCAAAAAAAAAGCTAAAACTTTAAAAAAATAATAATAACAGATTTCCAAAAGCCTATCCAAACAAACCGCCCGATCTGCATCTTGCTTCAGCCCGAAACCTATCCCCAACCGTCGTTCGTCTTCTTCATGACACGCTCCAGGCCGCTGCAAAGGATATGCTTGGTCGAGAAATGATGTACGATCTTGCAGATCTGGCCCAATCGTTCCTTGCTAACCATAACAACCCGCCTCCCGAAGGTAGCAAGATGAGTTTCCATGAACAAATGGTCAAGCGTATGGAAAATGATCTCAAGGTAAAAGTCAATATATGTAACAAATGATGGTGTAGGCATATATACATATACAAAGGCAGAGCTTACAATTATTAAACACACCCGCGTGCATACCGCTATTATATTTTTAAAGGTTGAAAAGGAGCGGGAATTGAGGGAACAGACGCGAAAAGCAGAGGAAGAAGAAGCCGAGCGACGGATTCAGTCTGAAATGATCAATGCGAAAATCCAACAGGAGATCGAACGAAAACGTCAGCATGCACAAGCAGCTCGTAAATTTCAACAAGAACAGCTCGGATACATGGATGACGAAGCCGATAACGATATCCACAGTGGACAGGAAGAAGATGACATGGAGGCATCACGACGTACAATGGCCGACGAAAGCGACATTACCAAAGTTATCTTTGAAAATCTAGTATCGGTTCCCATCGAGGACAAACAAGTTTGTTTCCACGCTGTCGCTTTGGGATCACGTATCGGTCGTGGCCTGATCAGCGAAACATTCGCAGCCCAACCACTCAAACACAAAGCCGTCAATCAAAATGGACAAGTGGATGAAGAGCTCATGGATTCACAAGCGCTTCCGTCCTTAATCGCCGTGAAACGCGTCAAGGTATCCGGATCGTACTACATGACACCCTCAGGCAAGCGCAAGCTCCAAGAAGTAGAGTGGGAGCTTGATCGGCTGCGATCTCTCCAGCATCCGAATATTCTGGCGATTTACGATGCCAAATTGGAACGCTCCAAGCTTGAAAACAATCGGTGGATCTTGCATGTCTTGATGGAGCACGAGCAAGGGTCGACTTTACGCGATTTGCTACAAACATGCGGAGGAGGTCTTCGGCTCGGTATTGTGCAGAAATACATGAAACAATTGCTTTGGGCAGTCAATCACGTTCATCTCAGTGGATTCATATGTCGCGAAATCAGTGCAACAGACGTGTTTTGCAACAAGGCACAAGTGATCAAGCTCGCCAATGTCAGCTACAGCCGTCGTTTACGCGACCTCAATCGATCCAACTCCCTCGACGACTCTTTACAAGACGGATCGGCCGACTTGATACCTTCGTGGATATCCCCGGAACTGCGCGAGCGACCGGGCGTGTATAATCGAAAGAACGATATCTGGTGTCTTGGCGTCGTTTTTCTAGAGATGCTCTGGGGCACAGACATCACCAAAGAGTTTGGCGATTTCGACGCATTTCTTCGTTCAGAATCCAACGAACTACCCTCAGTTGCCCGTGAACTGGCAAAGAAAATGCTACATCGCGATCCAAGGAAGCGTTTGACAGCGATTGATCTTTTAAAAGACCGGTTCTTTGCTGACAGCAACAACAAGTCTTTAGCAGTAGAAGAAATGACCAGTATTCTTCCTACCGATAACCATACTGTCAAGCCCATGCAAGAGGAACTGATACAGCGGGACGGTGGAGGTGGCGTCGTCACTGGAGGGTGGGGTGCAATACCATTTGAACCGTCTGTAGCTCCGCATCATCAACATCATCCTCAACAACAAAGAGTGATACCATCTCCATTGCTTGCACCTGCTGCAGCATCGCATCAGCCAGGACCAATGTCGCGGTACAAATCCGATTTTGAAGAAATCGAGTTCTTGGGCAAAGGAGGTTTTGGTGAAGTTGTCAAGGCCAGAAACAGATTGGATGGCCGTTTGTATGCTATCAAGAAAATTCGACTAGATCCCCGGGATAGTGAAGACTTGCGAAAAATTCTGCGTGAGGTCCAGACACTATCGAGTTTGCATCATCAATATGTGGTCCGATACTACGCTACTTGGTTCGAAGGTACGAAAATCGGTTGAGTTTTCATTACCGAGCAATCGAATTAGGCTTAATTATTCTATTTTAGACGCGGATGGAACTAGCTCGAGATACAGTGATGATGAAGATTATACAGAAGACGAAACGGATTCGGAATACGATGAAGACGAGGACGAAGATGTTAGCGTGTTACAGAAGCGATATGATTTTTTGTCTCTCGACCATTCAAAAAGTCGTAGCTACTCTGCAATGAAATACGCCGTTGATGATGATGATGATGACGAAGACACTTCGACTGTCGATACAGCAGATTATTCGTACGATGACGACGACGACGACGACCAAGACAAGACAGGATCAGACGATGACTTTATCAACTTTGGGCACGATGGTACGGAGTCTTCAACAATGAGCGCACGCAAAGCCCAAAAATCGATCCATAAAGCACGTAAAGTGGGTGGCCATCCAGCCGGTAGCGTTAGTAGCAGCGACACGGGCAAGTCCCTGATGCAACAACGCACACGTGTCCTCTACATCCAGATGGAATACTGTGAGAAAAAGACCTTACGAGACGTTATTGATGACGGCATCGATGAAGACGAAGCCTGGCGGTTGTTTCGACAAATTTTGGAAGGTCTGGTGCACATCCATTCGCAAGGTATGATCCATCGTGATCTCAAACCATCCAATATCTTTTTGGATTCGAATAACGATGTCAAAATTGGTGATTTTGGTCTTGCAACGACCAATCAAACGTTTGTGGACGCTGCGAATGCCTTTGCCCGTTCTTCACATTTGTTCACTAAACAGCATCCTGGTGCTGTTGAGCGGAGCATCACCGGTAGTGGTCATAATGGTCATGCCTCGACGGATGGAAGCTATGTTGGTTACTCGGCTACCAGTGCGCATATTGGACGTGATGAAAGCATGACGACCGGTGTTGGTACGACGTTCTATGTTTCTCCTGAAGTCCTTCCTAATCCAGCGACTGGAGCGTCTCCGGGCATGCGATACAATCAAAAAGGTACCGTCCTTAAAGCCAGCTTGTGTTTCTTTCGTTGATTGATGATGGTATTCAATTTTGTTTAACTATTATTTTAGTCGATATGTTTTCGCTCGGTGTGATCTTTTTTGAAATGTGCTATACCTTCTCCACGGGAATGCAGCGAGCTATTGTATGAATCCTGCGATTTATCTATGCTGTTTATGGAAAGTACAAAAAGATGGTGCCGAGCAACTAATCGATGATATGTGTTATCTAGGTTCTTCAAGAGCTGAGGAACGGTAGATTCCCTGAAGATTTTCCAAAAGAATACGGCAATCAACGAAAAATTATTGAGCGCCTGCTGTCACCACAACCAAAGGACAGACCCAACAGCTTTGAGCTCCTTCGTAGCGACTTGTTACCTCCTAAACTGGTATGTTTTGCTAAATTACTTGTAGTTATTAGTACTTATCATTGTAATAGGAAGATGAATATATCAAAGAATGCGTTCGCACCATCGGTAAGTGACCTTTTCCACAGCACTTGTTTTCTTTTTTCGTCACTATGCCATCACAAAGCTAACAAATGTGATATTCCTATCTATCAGCAAATCCGAATACGCCATACTATCACAAGTTGATGAGTGCCATGTTCTCGCAATCATCAGATCGACACAAGGATTTTACTTATGATTACCAAAGTGTAAGTACAACTTGAAGGGGGGGTAGCTTGGGTTTGACACTTGGATATCTTGTTAAACATACCATGTAACATATTTACCATCCAAATAGCAGATCGAAACAGCTTTCGATCCATTCAGTCATATTTTCTTTGAACGTATTCGAGAACAAATGAGCAAGGTGTTTCGCAGACATGGTGCTATCGATATATCACCTCCATTGCTGATACCCAAGAATAGCTTGTATGAATGGAACTCAAAAAACCCTGTATACTTGATGGATCCACAAGGCTCGCTGAACCAGCTTCCATTTGACCAGACAGTTCCATTTGCACGCTATGTTTCTCGCAAGAAAGGATTTCCGCAATTAAAGCGCTATACTTTTGAAAAGGTGTACAGGTAAAAACAGCGATGACGAGTTTCAACTACGGTATCATGGTTCTGAGGTTTCTAAACTGATGACAATAAATTCTTAGAGAAAATCCAAGTGGAGGCCAACCTGAAGCAGTGCTTGAAGCTGACTTTGATATTGTTCACAAAGACACTGCATCGATGGTCCCTGATGCAGAAGTGCTGAAAGTCGTTGAAGAAGTGCTCGAAGAACTACCACCCTTGAAATCCTCTGGGTTCTACTTTATCATCAATCATGCCGGCATTGCTGATTTGATTCTGGACAGTTGCCGTGTCCCTACAGACGTCCGAAATGGTGTCATGGTGACCTTATCAAGTCTTGGTCGAGGAACCTCGTTTGCTACTATCAGAAATGTATTGAAACTCAAATTCCATCTGCAACGAAGCGTGTTGGACGAGCTATCAATCTTTAATGTTCAAGGTAAAAACAAAAGGCTCTGAATTATGATCGACCATTCGTATAACTAATACAGCTTTTTGGGACATAGGCGAACTGGAAACAACGTTCAAAAAAGTCGAGAGTTTACTCGTTGGACCGCACAAGGCCAAGTTTAGAGAGTTGATCACCGAATTAAGAACACTTGTTTCGATAGCAGCCGGCATTGGTATCCATCACAAAATCGTATTCCATCCATTGTTAATGTAAGTTGATCTTTTTCAACTGTATATGAAGTTATTTCGCTAAACGGATCAACTCTGGATTTTTTCTTATCTTAGGTACAATAATCATTTCTACAAGGATGGCATGCTTTTTGAAACTGTTGTTGATACAATGGATTCGCGGAAAAAGGATGTGTTAGCGGTGGGAGGCCGTTATGATGTGTTGATTCAGCACTTTGCACATCCAAATGCATCTGCTAATCGAAAACTTCGTGCTGTTGGTGTCAATATTGCGGTGCAAAAACTTGTCCGACGTATGGATATCTATCAGTCTGAGCAAGTCAAACATTTGGTTAAGGCAAAGAACGAGAAACTTCGAGGATTTGGCGTGTGGGCACCGAAACAGGTAGTTATAGATGCAAAATTAGGCCCCGCGGGGGGGGGGAAGATTGCGATATAAAAAAGAAGAGAGAAAATGTACGCTAAACCCAAATACCCCCTCTCTCTCTCTCTCAGTTTGACGTATATGTAGCAAGTTTTGGAAAAGTGGCTCTACAGGAACGTCTTGAAATAGTGCGCGACTTGTGGAACCATAATATCCGAGCTGATTTCCAGTACGACGATGGAAATCAACTGACACCAGAAGAGCTGATTGTGCGTTGCAAAAAAGCAAGTATTAACTGGGTAGTCTTGGTCAAGCACAAGACATCTGAGGGTAAAGGTGGCCATCAGAGTAGTGTGGAAACTGTCAAAATAAAGGATGTCCTGCGGAAGACGGAAACCGAAATGAGCAAGGCAGATCTATCAGTATGGCTGTCAAGCGAGATTAGCGAGCAGTTGCGTGTGGATCATATCCAAGCATCAGGAAAAGTACGAAATAAGCATGATCTCAAAGCAAAAGATGTGGCCGAACCAGGTATGCTTTTGTATATACATATGGAATTGATTTATTTTACCGTCATCATTCTAACTCGAGTATTTGTATGTGTAGTTCGTCACGATGATGTACCGAAATTTAATGATGGCTATGAGCTCAAAAAAGATGACTTTGACGTGCACATCATCCACAACGAAGGCCGCGGTGGAAAGGATAGAACCAAAATGAAACATAAGCATAAAACCATGCTCATCGATAAAGGTAAACTTAACCGCTGTCGATAATTTGAGCTTTTCTAATCATCCAATTTTTTGTATTTGATAGCCATTTACCATATTTCACCAATTATGGAGAGTTTAATGAAAGGAGACGTACAGGTGGTCGCATTTGACCTGTCCAGGGAACTGACAAAGCGTATGAGCGAATGTAACGCGTGGTTGGACGAGCACAGCTTCCGAAAACTGCAAGACTCTGCTGCCATCGGACAAAAGGATACCCTCAATCGAGCACGGAGTGTGCTTCAAAAAATGGTTGAACGCAAACATAAAAGCGTGTGGCTTTATTCATACAAGGATGAATTTGCCGTTCTGTGTAATTTGCCAGGTAGTAGCAACTGCTTGTAAGATAATAATTGTAATATATATCTGTTTTTTTTAAAGTATAATGTCATGTACAAGTAATCAGGGCAAGTCTAGAAAGTGGGTTAGAAGAAGTGGCCAGCTGTAACACAGTATGTACGAGATATGATACAGTGTCAAAATCTGTTATATACTACACGAGTGGTCAATATTATTCCAAAATGTGATGTTTTCTTAAATGATATATACTAGCTATGTTGACTTTAATTATAATAATACGTGAGTATGTGCATAGTAAAATTAATCTAAGTTGAGTATATAGTAAGCGACTTGCACAGCACCGAAAATAAGCTATCATTAAACAACATGAAAATGTCAGTTTAAACTTTCAACTTTCCTCTCTTTTAACTTTTGAAGTTTTGAAAAATAACATTACCGGCTGCCATACTACAAGGTACCGAACACCATCCAAGATGTTGAGATACAGCTGCTGTTGAGTATCCCATCTAGACATTGATAATGTTTTATAACGTCAGCATGTGAATAAAAAAGCAAAGAGGAAGAAGAAAGAATAACAAATACATACGGATTCTTCTTGAACTGCTTGAGATCAACCTTCTCTTTACTGTAAAGGGAGTCGTTAGTCATATTTTGTCTATATAAACCAAACAAGTCTATCGCTATGATTACTTACCAATATGGACACGTGTCCTTTTTGCCAATGAGAACCCATCCTCGAATACACTTTTCATGGAACTTGTGTGTACATGCGAGTTGATGAACTTCGTCATCGGTGAATGCTGCCTGCTGCGGTTCTGCCAATGTGCCCGGCGAGTTTGACGTTGTCAGGCCGCACACAGCACATATATCAGCCGTCAAATGTTTCTGTGGGAAACCGTCTTTTGAATAATATCCGATCGTTGACGCCATCCGATCCGAGCAGATCTCAACAAAATCACGTCCTAACACACTATTTGAAGAAATATATTGTAAATCCATCCCATCCATTCACAGAAAAAAAAAGAGAGAGAGAGAGAAACATACCCGAAATAAAGGCCGTAACAAAGCAATAGAATACCTGCTTGCATTAATCCAGGCTCAGCCGAGAATATCGATGCCAATCCGAAAAAGACAAGGAGGATCATAGCATAACCAAGCACGCCAATGACAAAAGACACATTATATACAACTGTATACCATTTGTAAACCATTCTAGGTGTCATTGCTTCGAGGGGTTTGCGGGTTGCTTTGTGAATAACTATCACATATGATAACAAGATTTTCGTTATATTTTTAGCCATCAGCAAAGTTTCAAAAGCATTGGTAGGTCTATTATGCATGAGTACGAGCTTACCAAAACCATTCACCATCGAAAATAGAGTCCATACGGTAAGAAAACGGTACCATCCGTTATGTAACCCAAAAAGTGCAGGGAAAAAGTACAGTCCGCCGAGACTAACGGCTTGATACGATCGGTAGTGCTTTTTCTTCCAGTATAAAATGATAAATTGCGAAAAGAACAATGCAAAGAGGAGAATAAATGCCATCAACTCGTGTCGCTTCTCATGGCCTGATAAAAAAATAATCAACAGAAAAAATGAGTATCGTGACTTTGTACAAATCACACTTTTATTTACCTTGATGATCAACAAGATATTGTTGATGTTGCTGATATCTATTTAAACCGCACTGGATGTTTGGTAAACCGTTGTTCGATGCAAGTTCTCCCTATGTATAAGAGTTCCGGACGCTTACTTTTCTAGTTGATCGCTGTTGAGAAGGCTCTGTTGTTCATCGGTCAATTGGCCCTTGTGCCATGCTGCATTGAACGTTGGATCGTTATGAAACTCTTCCATAACAGGGTTGTGCAGTTGATGTAAGTTCACAGTCGTAACCCCTTTGGCCCCCCACCTACAATTAATCGGTCATTCGGCTCATTGCTGCCGCTGAGTACGAATGGGATTCATTATATGGTTCTAGGCCACTATACATAAGTTAACTCACAAGCTTCGATTATATTAAAGCATCTTCCCGAGAACTACAAGCACTTTATGGTTTCATACCAGTCATCAATACGATATCACTTATAAGGAAGTTTGCTGCATTATTCATCACGTTTTTTATTGCTTTGATTTTGATGTAGCTGTCGATCCAGGTTTGCTATAGATGTCAAATAAACATCTAATAAGAGTGCATATCCAGGAAGCGGATATTGCCCGTAAACGTCTAGTGGGCAATCCTTTTGATCCTTCAGAAAAGATTCCAAACGAGTGGAAGATAACGGGACTTGATGATCTTCCGGGAGACGCTTCCTGATTGTTTGATAGCATTCTTGAAGAAGACTCCTCAGCTCCATCGGAAACTTTATTTGTGCGCAGGATGCAAGCTTATCTAGTACGTAAAGAGAGTGTGACATGGCCTCAAAAGATACTACATGGGTAGAGAGGGAAAAATTTAACAATGGTGCATCGGCTCTTGGTACACAAAAAAAAGACAGAGAGAGCACATCAAGTATATAGTTTGTTTGATAAATTCTACTTACTGGATGGGAGGATTAAGTCTTGTTCTAGATTGACACGCATCACACAAAGTAGCACCTTACAAGACGTGATCGCGAGTGACGATGCCTTATTACGGATGAGCTGCATAACATCCATTGTCACAACACTATTGCTACCGGATAAAGTTGAAGAAGGCGAGAATCGAGGTTGTAGCACGGAGGATGTGACAAACGCAGTAATCATATGTAAGGTTGAAAATGGAAGAAAATTCGTTACAGAAGTATTGTTTTCGATCAACGTGTGGACGTTTGGTGCAAAAGGATCTTTGCAGATACGAAATTCTGGTGGGAGACCATCAAACCATTCGCGAGCTAAAGGCTCAAAGTGCAATATATCATCCAAGCGCAAGCTACAGGATTGTCCGTAGATAAGACGATTGATACGTTTCTTTTGAATGATAATAGAGAGAGAGAGAGAACCATTAATGAAAAATTCAATACTCAGAACCAAAACATTCAAGCACATACCAATACATTCGCGACAAAAGGAGTACCAACAAATTCAAGTATGTGGTTAGACACAGCCACATACTGCTTTAGCGTTTCGGGTTCGTCGTCCAAGGTATTGAGCTTGATAGTCGCTGAAGCCGTGAGATCGATTCTATCTTCTAGGACTACATCAATTGTACGATTGAACATGGCCAGAGTAAGTCGGTGTCGCTGATATAAGACTCGTTCGACTGGATTCATTTCATCTTTGGCATAAGCTACGTCCAGTTCTGAACATATCAACAGTGCGATCGTCACCAAACGCCGTGCTTCAGCAAAGTCGATCACCATATCCATGAGGAACATTTGTAAGAAAGTGGTAATGGTTACAGATTCAAATTTGAGGGTAGGATCGTCAAACATGTCAAGCAGCATGTTTTTGCATTTGGTATAGAAATAATCTGCAAGATGACGTTTTTCCACAGGAGTATAGTGGAGATTGTGACGTAGCGCAGCCACCGCGTCGACACACACAGCCAACACGAGTGGATCGTCGAGTGGGTCATCAAGTTCGTGATAGTGTTTTAGAAACGTTGGTGCATGTAGGAACCCTGTCATGACATTGTACTTTTCCAGATACAGTGGGATAAGCTCCTTATCAGCGATAGCTCGATAGTCGTATGTCGTAGAATCGTCGTACCCAATTGTCAAAAACTTTTTGCGTGGTTTCTTGATAATGCTGCGTTGCATGAAGCTGATCGAAGCGAGTGGTATGCTGATAGACGGGCTGTCGAAATAGATCTGCTCCGTACTAAAGATTGCTTTAAATGGTGAGAGGTATCGCAGTGAAGCTCGTGTATACATTTCCAGTTCGTCTAGTGTTTGGATTGCCGAATCAAGTCGGATATGGCCATCGACAATGGTCAGTTGCCACACAGGTTCGATTTGATTCAACTTGTTGGCAGCACTACTGTTGTTATCATCATATCCTCCAACACTGTTTTCGTCGCCACTGTCGTCGATGCTGGTGATGCTGCTGGTGGAGGTCCCGCCTATGCTGCTGCTAATGATGCTGCTGCTGCTACTGCTACTGGTACTCCTGCTATAGCTGAGAGTAAGGGCTGGTTTGATCTGGCCAGAAAAGCTTGGATAAATCGTACTAGGAGGTAACGAGCTGCTGCTACTGCTTGTTATCGTGGGTATTACTGACTTGGCGAGGGCAGACTCCATTTCTTCAATTGCATCTTGCAATTTCGACACATCGTCTTCCCATTCTTTTAATTCTTGTTCGCCGTCTTGCGCTACAGGCTCACCACTATCGCTTCCTTGATAGACGTCGATCGGTATACACTCAGAGCCATTCTGTGCACATCGAGTGCATACGTCAGAATTTTCGGTCCAGATGCATCGTTTCCTAAGGATTCGACACACTAAAGATGGTGGCTGGTCAACCTAAAGAAAATTCGAAAGCTTATTTATACTTGAATTGCTGTACCTGAACAAGGTTTTTCATTTCGCATGGAAAAGGATCAAATACAAAGCAGCAGGTTGTGCCAAGTTCAGAAGGTCGCTTGTGCGACAAGAGATTCATTTTATTTTTATACGTGGTAAAGCAAAGACTTGTGTCATTATACTGATAAGAAGCAAACAACAGGATTCACAGACTGAAATGATGGATCTACTACTTGTGGCTGCCATCCAGCTTGTCCCCACTTGTTGTAAGCAGCAGTGATCGGATGTTGATGCTTCTAACAATAACGGTTATCGGCAAGTGGTCAATAGATCACAAAGGGTGTTCATTTTATTTGTCAAAATCTGCAAGTCCATTAATATGGACCAAATAAAACGGTCATGATGTTATCTACCCTGGCCGTGTTTGTAAGACCATGTATGATATTTGAACTTTACCAAATCGACGGTATAAATCCATGGGGAAAGCTTCCGCGGTATAAGAACATGGAACACAAATATAGCCAAAAGAAGGACGAGATCCAACTCTACATGCATGTCACCTGCATAACAATCCGTTGCTGCCGCTGCCGCTGATGATGGTTACGATGATGGCAGCGATGATTATGAAGGCACGCAAGTTTCTGAAGCAGCGGGAAATATTGCAAGACGTTGATGCAGATGCTGGGAGACTATAGGTAACCTACGGACCAGGAACCTAAAGGACATCAAAGAAAAAGGTTGGAGAATCGGTTTGATGTTACAGCAAAGATGCGAGACTGCGGCTCATGCAGTTGTAATTGTTCAGGTGACACTAAAGCCAAACTCGATTTGGACGGAAACAAGCAAATGGCTTGGCATTCCGAAAACAGGGCTTGAATGTCGCATCCAACACGTTACTCACATAGCAATCGTACACAGCGGGAAATAAATCGATCAATTCTCGCGCTTCCGTTGGCGTGTGTGTGAGAAGTCCTTCTCAAACAAGCGTTGCTTTTCTTCTTTCTCCCCAACTCTCTCACTTTTGTTTCTGACAATGACCCTCGCTCCTGCTACATTCCAGACTGCTGTGGCCCGCATTAACATTTCTTACAAATTTCGGAATGGGCCTGAACACCTTATCGAGCTCAAAGATATTGTCCTGCGCCCGGGCCAACCGTTCACGAACGACGCGGTGGAAATCACCACGGATATTGCACCAGCAGCCGAAAACAAGTCAAAGCAAATCCTTAACATTCGAATCAAAGCCCTTAAAGCACTGGAGCTTAAACATTTTGAATCCAAGTATTTGGTAGAGCTTGGTGGTCAGCGCATGCTTGCCAACGGCTTCCAAAGCTGGAGCCAGGCTCGTGAACTTGACGCGGAGGATCGAATTTCGCCCATCCGATCAACCGTGGCCTATTTAACGAAATACAACCTTCAAGGGTATGGGGATAATGATTGATAGACGAAACTCTGTGTGTGTATACGTGCTTCTGGCTCATTAGTTATCGTTATACAAAACACAGAGACTATGATTTCTTTGAGCATTCGGGCGAAAAAGGCCATATCCACTCCAGCAGCTATACCCATTTCCGCGATGTCACGAATCTCATTAACTTTTTTGGATCGCTCTCCGAGGACCTTGGATATACCTATTTCAAGGCAGACTTCAACAACAACACAATGAGTGTGTACAAGGACGTGTTGGGCAAGCACTTGGACCAAGACCAATCCATCAACCTTGTCAAGATTTTTCTTGCGCAGGGCAAAGATGCAGAAAAGGAAATCTGGGACGCATACGCGTCCTACTTTCCCGACCGCCGCTCGCTGAAGGGCGACATGCATCGCGTTCGACACGTCAACGGATGGACCTCGTGGTACAACTACTATGGCGATGTGAGCGAAGAAATCGTGCTTTCCAATCTCAAGGCGCTCCAGGAACACAAATACCCCATCAACATATTCCAGATCGATGACGGTTTCCAGACTGCTATCGGCGACTGGCTTTCCATCAATGACAAATTCCCAAATAAGCTGAAGCCTGTCGTTGAGAAAATCTCTGCTGCAGGTTTCACTGCTGGTCTCTGGCTTGCTCCTTATGCTGTGGGCTTCACTAGCAAACTGGCCACTGAGCACCCTGACTGGCTCATTACTGACCCTGAAACCAACAAGCCCGTTGTCGCTGGTCCAAACTGGGGCGGCTTCTATGCCCTCGACATCTACAACAAGGATGCTCGCGCATATCTGAAAGTGGTCTTTGACACCGTGCTTCGCGATTGGGGCTTTGGCATGGTCAAGCTCGATTTCCTCTTTGCTGCAGCAATGATTCCTCGCTCAGGTAAGTCTCCTCACGCAGGTTCAACTAAGCCATTTGTGCGCTCGTTATATCGACGTCGTATAAACTCACTCAACATACTTTCTAAATATAGGAAAATCTCGCGGCGAGATTATGTGGGATGCCATGGAGCTTGCCCGTGAGCTGACAGGCTCCGACAAGTTACTACTGGGGTGTGGTGTTCCATTGGCGTGTGCATGGAGAAGTGCTGATTATTGCCGTATTGGCTCTGACGTGGCACCTTGGTGGGAAGGTAAACAATCGAGACCACTCAAAATATACAAAGCATCACTTTGTACTCACAAGCTCGATTAGATAAAAAGTTAAAGTATTTGCATGTGCGTGAACGCGTGTCGACAGCCAACTCGCTCGTGTCTACGTTGAGTCGCTGGACCATGTCCGACCGTATGTTTGGAAACGATCCTGACGTCATGATTTTGCGCGACAACAAAAACAAGCTCAATTCTGAGGAACGTTACACCCTCTGCGTCCTCAACAACATCCTTGGTGCACTTGTCTTTAGCTCGGACAATGTCGGCGAGTACGGCCCAGACGAGCATTTGCTCTATTCAGCCACGTTCCCCAAGGTGATTGCTCTCGTTGACAGCGTCATCGAGTTCCGCCCGGATGTCTTTGTGGTCAAGTTCAAGGCCAATGACCTTGGAGGTGTTGCTCGCGAATACACTACTTATGCAAACCTTTCTGGAGACGACCAATCCATTTATTTACCAGGATCATCTCCCTCGACCGATTTGCTGTTCGTCAGCGATAACGAAATGCACATGACGCCCCAATTCTCTTTCTCGTCATGGTTCTCCAAGCAAGATCCCTTGTTTTACCATCCATCCTCGAAAGTCACCATTAAGAGTCATGAGACCAAGACATTCATGCATGTCCCTCCAGCTGACAAGGAAAAGGTGCTCTTCCTCGGATCGACCAGCCATATCGTTCCTGGAGCAGAAGTCAAAAGCCTCTCAGCAGATGCAAAGGCACAAAATATTGAACTGGAGTTCCACAAGGACAACACAAGAGCACACAAACTCTATCTCGCTGTTGGCGAGTATCTTGCTTCTAGTAAATCGGCAACTCCCTCATCATGCAGCATCAATGGGCAGCAAGTCAAGTTTGAATATTTCCCTGTAAAGGGAACGGGTGAAGGCAAAGAAGCGGGCTTTGTACGAACTGCGGTCTACACGGACGAGAAAAAATAAAATACGAAGGACTATTGGAATACCTAGTTAAATCTCACGCAGCGTAATCTTTTGCTATGTAATATTTGTTAAATGGATTTCTATACTATTGCGGTTCCTTTTTTACCTTATAACACAGTACTGTGCTTGATCTTTGGAGTATTTGAAGGGTTTATAGCTCAAGTATATGTCATACCATCGAGTAGTTCTAATATTTTGTCACATCAAATACAAATGACAAGTCTTTATTCACCGTTTGTATCCACCATCTCAATGAACAGGGCATTGATTTAAATTTTCCACAGTGTACGGTGGAAGACTACTATCATCAAACAGCAATTATTGGCACATGGGCACAATTACTGACTTCTACGTCGCCTTCTACTTGCCTACCATAGTAGTACATCACGAATGAAGAGGAGAGAATATGCTCACATTTGGGATGGTATTTAATAACTCATCATGGATAAACTATCTGCATCATTCAAAGCTGCATAAAAGACTGGTTTCCTGATATATAGCTTTTTCGTTGTAACAATGTTAAGGAAGTGGATTGCTACAACACTCACTTTTTCCGGTTCGTGGAGAGAATGGACACCATCTGCAGCTCATATGTATATTGTGTTTCCTCGTAAGGAGCCCGCCAACAGCTCGAATTGAGCGTGGGGGGGGGGCATGCCGAACCGTAGCAGAATCCACGAGGCTGCAGATGGCTCTCCAAGAAGGCAGCTTCTCATACCTAGTGTATTTGAGCATATAACTAACATACAGCAACATAAAAGACGCTTACTGCGATCCTTTGATGTTTTCTTGCAAATGCTTTATATTAGTAGGCTTCAGCTTTCTTTCTTTTTCCGTATGATAAACACAAAATCTTGAGTCGCCTATATCATCACGCTTAACACTGTTGAACATTGACCAGGAATAATATTACTTTCTACTTTATCCTTCTTTCTCTTTTCTCTATATGTCGAACGTTCGTTTTGGAAACCACCTTTCATTGGGTGCTTCCTCCAATACCTCTCTTATTGTTTGGCAGACCATCTAAATTACTCGCTTTGCGCACCAAGAAATCTACAACGCGCTTCGCACCTTGCGGTGTATGAGTTGGCGGAGTTGGCTGACATCCTTGTAAGGTATAACTAAATTCTCCAAAAAGCTACAAGGTGATGTAACAATCTCATCATGGTTATTATTTTAGGGCGCTACGCTACTATACGCTAAACCATCATTCCATACGTATGCAAGTAATAGAAAACAAGAGAACCAAACAGATATTACATTTTTGCTTACTGCTTAGCTGGATAAGAATGACGTTACAAGTACGTGTACAGAACACGCTGGAATGATGATCGTTCGGAGTCAGCACATGATTTCTCTGCATAAACGACCAGATCAAGGGATTCCATAATCCCATGTCAAAAGTTTATATAAACCCAGAGGGCACGCATCTACTTTTTTTTCGACTCATATCATCTGTAATATATCTCTCTTTCCTGTTCTACATATTCAACACATAACAGCATGTCAATGATCAATTGGGGCCAAGATAACAACCGCATGGGCAACATGCTTGACCGTCTCTTTGACTCGTCGCCGCGCGCACGCATGCTTGCCGAACGATTCGACACGGGGGTCAATCCTGCCGTCGAAGTCACTGAGACTGACAATCAATTCAATGTTCACGCCGAGCTGCCGGGCATGAAGAAGGAAGACATCAACGTCGACATCAATAACAACTCTTTGACATTCAGTGGCGAGCACAAGGCATCGAGCGAACATAGCGATCAGAACGTCCGCTATTCAGAACGCCATTATGGTAAATTCTCGCGTACTGTGCCCGTACCCGAGAACGTCGACAAGGATCACATCAAGGCCACGTTCAAGGATGGTATTTTGGACCTTGAAATGCCAAAGTCATCTCACTCCTCTTCCAAGTCCAAGAAGATTACTGTCGATTAAAGAAAGGCTGTTATTTTCTCTTCTCAAAATAAATATAAAAATTTGATTTTTATTCTAAAGTGTCATTATCATTGAATTAAGAAAGAAAGAGGACGGGAATGTGTTTTATAAATACTTACAAAAAAAATACAAGTGTGTGCGAGTTGGCGTTGGGTAAGCTGATAGAATGGATGGGGATAAAAGAAAAAAAGGAAGGGCGGAGGAGGGGGCTGGGGCTATATGAGATGAAGGAGTACAATAATAAAAAGTGAGAGAGGGAGGGACTACGAGAAATTATGCAATAATTTTCTCCACAATTTCACTAGCAAGCTTTGCATTTTGGAGGACATTTGTAGCTGCAGCACCAAATGTTGGATCACCTAGCGCAGTAAATCCTAACTCTTCCAGTAGCATCTTCTGGCTTCGTCTATTCTTGGAGTCGCCGAACACTGGATCGGAACAGGCGGTGACCAGGATAGACTTGACAGACTCAATGATGGGCTGCGTCTGGCTACTGACGACAATCTGGTTCATCTTTGGCAACAACGTGTCGTAGACGAGAGCAAACACTTCGGGCATGGCCACTGCTGCTTCAGCGAGCAGACCGTAAATAAACAAGCGTTCGGATTCGTTGTCGGCAGAATTGAGCTGGGTTGCGAGTAATGATATCAACAGCAGGGCAGTCGTATTATCGGGTATATCCAAGCGGTCAAAGATGCCATAGTAGAAACTGCTGCTAGCTGCTTTGCTGGGTCCCCCGGTATATTTGGGATCAAAGAACATGGCATCCATTTCGTCGTCATAGATACCGTCCAGACCCGCCAGTCGCAGTAGCTCCTTAAGTGCTTCGTTCTTGGCAGCAATGGGTAATAAGCCAGCAACGTAGCCCAATGTCCGTGACTCGATCATGTCGTCGCCGCTACCTGTGGGTGTTTGTTTGCATTCAATGTCCAAGAATGTCGTCAGGCCAGTATAGATCATGTCCTTGGCGTTGCTGTGCCGTAACCCTTTCATAAAGGTACCAGCAATGGCAAACGAGAAATGACTTTCAAAGTTGACGCCACACAAGAGGTCGAGTTGGCGAGCCACTTCAGCCATAGGTTCTCGTGCTGCGAGCAATACGTCCGACACGGTGTCGCCGACAAAGAACTCGCTTGCATCGAGCGCGCGCAGGACTGCTTGCAACAATTCGATCGCCATGACAAAGATAGGGCTGTGATTGACTTGGACTAAAGCAACGGCTACCCAGAACAACTGCAAAAGGTATCGCGAATCACCTGGCAAGCTTTCGACAATGTTCTTCAAACACATCATGATACTCAAAACCAAGTTGGGATCAGACTCGTTAAAGATAGCCAATGCGCCTCGGAGTGCGACCAGAATTTGATATAGCAAGTCGTCATCGATTTCTTCACGACCAAGACAGCCCAGTACAACAAAAGCGCGTGGTTGGATTGCAGGGTTGAACTGGAACGCAGTGCTAGCGACCAAACTCATCCATCGGGCTCGCCAAGTGTTCGCCACATCTATGGATGGTGCGCCACAGTGTAATACTTCGAGCAATTGGTTTACGATCGTCTCGAGTGACCCAAGCTGGATGGGTTCGGTGATATCAGTAAGCGTTTCCGCGTTGATGGTGAATGCATTGGCGTGTGGTTTGAACAGGCCAAACAACAAACGGGACTTTGAATCAGACAATTCGGTAAGCATCAATTGGAGTTTCTTCACGTTGGTTTCTGTGAGTGGCATCGAGGTACACAGAGACTGGATCATGTTGACTACCAGACCATGAACGGATGCACGGACCATGGTGGGACCCACACCCACCACAAGCGATACAATATGGAAGATTTCGGGAACATAGCTCTTGACTGGCCCGCGATTGTTGAACGAAAGCATCAGAATGAACCGGATAAGGACGGCAATCTCGATCCATGTTGGATGATCTGTCAACATACGCGTGGGCTTGAAGGATGTCTTTTGCAGGACCTTGCGCAGGCGTGAAATGACCTTGCCGCGAACAGCCACGTTGGATAGTGTGACAAATGTATCGGCCATGGCTTCGGCTTGTAGGGAACCGACACCGTGTTGGTTGGAAAACAGAATGAACGAGTCGAGGACAGTGTTTAATATATCGTCTACCTTGCCAATCGTTTTCCAAATCTTGGCTTGGACGAGTTTGTACATCTGTTACAAAGGAACGAAATGAGCAACACTGGCACATAAGCATAAACAAAAGAAAAAGGAACGGATATACTCACATCAGTACGCGCCACAGTAAGATCGATCAACAAGCGCAACACTTCCTTGGTCTTGGCCACATCTTCAGGTGATCCTCGACAGAACTGGGCAAGGTTGGGCAACCAAGGCGTCATGTAGTCCAAGCACAGGTACCGCAAAGGCTCACTCGACTTGTTAAAACCGACAAAACACTCGCTCAAAAACTCCAATGTAAATCCTTGTTCTGTAGCTGCCAGCTTTTCGCTAATATTGACAATGAACGAGCTGCTGTTTGCCGGCAAACACAAATCCTTTGCATCCAACAACTGTTTGCCTACATCAAAGTTGAACGTCATGCTAAGCGAATACAGCAGATTATAGGCAGCCAATCGCAAGTTGGGGTCGTCGCTACCGATATTCAACAAGGCCATGTTGAGCAATCGACCGGGGACATCATTGGGCCGGATCGTGCGTTCAGATAGGTTCGTAGGCTTGGTCATTTCATGGCGTCGCTTGCTATGTCGGATCGCACCAGCCAAAGTATCGCGCTTGGGTGAAGAGAATGTGATTTGCGACTTGCCCTTGTTGTACTTGAAGCTAAATTCTGTGATACTACTAATGCTGTTGTCATCACGTGCTGCTGCTGCTGCTGCTGACGAAGAAGAGTGCTGGCCGCCCAATGCAATATCCTCGATCTCAGATACGTGGAATACATCATTGGTCACCGCACTAATGTTGTACAACAACTCTTGCTTGCGCACTGTCATAACTTGCACGTATTCGGCGCCGACCTTGACAGTGACAGGTACTTGGGCCTTAAACTGGGATATCCGATTGACGGGGAAAAAGACGGCACTGGGTTCAGTTTCCAAGCCAGTGGTGGATTTGGGTAGACGGATCTCGGAGGCATTGATGTGTTCTTGCAGTTCGACCAGCGTCACTGCAAATGAAATGCGCTTGCTGATCTTGTGGGTAACAGGGCGCGGAAGCTTCTTGACGTATTTGCGGAGGAACGAGTTGGGGTTGTAAATATGGATCATGGCCACATTGTCGTACATGTCAAACGGTAGTAGCTGCAATAGCTGGCTGATCCATTGGCTTGGGATTTCATTGGAAGGGCCAAACTGTGTCAGATCCAATACCAATTCACACGACTTGTTTGCCACTCTTTCCAAGGTCTATATTTTACACACTTGAGTTTGAAAACTTGCTGCTGCTTGTGCTGCTCTTCCAATCCAATGCCAAACATACCTGAAGAATAAAATAGATCAACAGTTCAAAGTCGATACTGTCGGCTACAACATTGCGTAAGATGAAGTAAAAGACAGGCCGTCCACTCTTGGATGTGCCGCCTTCATAGAAAATATTTTTCGACACGATGCTCTCGACGCCTCGATGACCATTGCGACGCATGAATTCCGCATACAGCTGGTTCGCAGCTGCAAATTTGTAGCTACGCATGCCGCTAAATTCTTGTTTGGGTATATCGGGCGGTCGTCCCAACTGTGCAAGCAAATTGGCAAACTTATCGAATGTTCGTTTCCAGACAGCCATCGAGTCCTGATCATTAAACTGTCGTAATCGTCGTGTCGCCAAATCACGCGATATACGTTCCATGTTATCTGCCAAAACACGATGTAACAAAGCATAATCCTTGTCGTCCATGTGTCGCATTTCCACCGTGGCAGAGCTATTGTCATCGCCGTTTGCTGAAGCAGCAGGTAGCGCAGGCACCTTGGAAATCTCGCGCAAGAAGCTTGTGACTTTATAAATGTTGCTCGTCAAAAAGTCGTTCAGCACAATCATGTACGTTTCCTTGGCACCAAATAAGACATTGTTGGCCAGATTCTGAATGACCTTGGTGACGATCAGATGGCCACGTCGCATCTCACGTGACACAGACACGCTGTTCTTGACAAGACCTTCGGATTCAGGGGCCACAATGGCAGGACAGAAGAAACGCAGAAACACAAAGGCGCCCAATGCGGTATGCATGGCTTCAGGGAATCGTTTTAGTACAGAGTTGAGGATGCATTGACACACTTCGCGGAAGATGCGTGGTGCTTCACTGGCGGATGCGCAAATTGAGTTTAAGAATAACTCGGTCGCACTGACCACATTTTGCTTGTTCTTGTTGACATCTTCACCTGGTCCTGCTTTGGAGGGGTCTAGTTCAAACGTCTTTTCTTCTGCTGGTTTTTCGCCAAGTTTTGTGAAAACGGGCTGTAGTGTTGACCGTACATATTCAGCACCATAGTTCTTGGCAAATACCGATAACAGACGTGTAGCAATACTCGTTTTACGGAATAAATCCGTTTCGCTCGCTAAAAATTACATTTAGCTATCAAGCTCGTTCTGTGTATACACGTCAGCTACAGTATGTTACTTACTCGTATTAATGACTTCTTTTTCAATGACAGCTTCAAGCAAAACAAGCGTCTTGCCGCGTGATGCAAAACAAGCAAGAAGCACATTGGCGACTTCATCGATATCGGAGGATGGACAGACATCACACAGTGACAATGCAATGTTGAGATCAAATTCGACAAGCATCTAGAAATAAAGTGGTCTGAGTATATGTCCTTGACTCACACAAACAAAATACACTACTACTTACGTCAACAAGCTTCTCGTATCGATCCGTCATGACCGTTTCAGCCAACGTCTCGAATTCCGTGCCTTGGTTTAAAATATTGGTCAGAACCTGCATGAAGGCTGTTCGTGTACGCGTATCTTCATGATAGCCCATGGAAAGCGAATACTTGAGACCAGCATCCACGTTAGCACTCAGTAAATTGGATAGGGCCAGAATTGTATAATTCTTGAGTGGTGCCAATATTGTCGCACTCTCCTTGTTCTGTAGAATGTTCTAATCAGTTATTACTGCCACCCCATTCTCCTGTGCGTCCGTAAACATATAACAAAACAAACAAACAAACCTTGTTAACAAGCATGATCTCTTGTCGTGGCAAATTCGTCGGGGTCGACTCAATTTCCGAGATTCTGCAGCGATTCAACAGCTTTAAAAAGAACGTAAAGTAACGATAAAAGATCCTGCTCTTGACCTGCGTCGAGTCTGTTTCGTGAACGGGTTCGGATGGCTGCAATGGCAACTGATGCAACAAAACTTCAATCGTTTTCAAGCACGCCAAATCCAAATCCCGTTGCAACTTTTCAGTTTGTGTTGTTGTCTCATTGTTCATTGGCGAGCTCTCTGGCTTGAGCGCAAAGTCACTGGTCCATTCGACAATGATTTCCAACAATTTGTTGCGCAGACGGAACTCTTGACGCAGCGTAATACGGTCCTTGCGAATCATCAACACTTCACATAGCTGACACATTTTAATTTTGATTTTCATCGATTGCTGGTTGCTGCCTAATTTGTTCAGGTATTGAGCGTATTGGCTGATCAGGCCGCTGAAATCGACTGTGAACAAGTTGTCGACCGCGTCGTCCATACGGTCCAATACAAGTTTAAGGACTGAGATGGCTTGTTCGACAAACAGTGTGTATCGAGGACTACAGATTGGATCGTGGTCGGCGGCAAAGCATTTTGCTAAGGTGTTTTCCAAGTGTCGGAACATGATTGGGTACAGCGTAGGTGAGAGGTCCGTGCCCAATATTTCACGTACCCATTCACGAACAATGACGTTGTCGCAAATCAATAGCTCGACCATTTCCATCACAAACTTGTCAACCATGGCAGCGGATTCGGTTGGTGCAGAGATACGACGATAAGGCGATTCACCTGCTGCTGTTGCTGTAGTCGATGATGAAGAGTTGCTGTTGTTGGGACCACCGCTGCGTGCGTTGTTGTTCTTAGGTATGGCGGGAGATGTGGGCGACGATGGTGTAGCAGTTGATGAATCGGCCATGAGACACACACCACCTAACGAGGCCAAAAAGCCAGCATAGTTTTGCCATTCTGAAGACCGATCATCATCAATACCGTCCATACGCGTGGTGCTGCCCATGGTTGCGGAAGAGGCCCCTGTCGATGAGGACATGTTGCTGCTGTTCGTGCTGTTGGTGCGCATGGCGTTGTTGCGCAACTTGTCATGCCATGGTGCACTCTTTTTGTTACTACTGTTGTTGTTCAAGTCGTTGACTTCTTCCCTCGGCTCTTCGTAAGATCGGATCATGGACGGTGTCATGTACTTCCACCGTTTCCATGCTTCTTCCCAAGCAGCCAAATTGCCTGGCGCATAGTGCGACATCATGCGCAATAACCGTCTGATACGTTTCTGTTGAGATTTGCGGCCAGCAATGATACCCGTGCTTGATGTCAGTTCAATATAAACGGGTAAGTTGTCGACGATCGTCAGTGCTTGTTGTTGTGGATCTTCAGTGCTGTCAGTGATATGCGCCTCCAAACAAATGTGTCCAAAGCAAGCCATGGCACCAGAGCAAATATCTGGGTCTGCCGAACATAACAATACCAACAATGCTACTTCTAATCCAATCGATGCTTGTAACCGTTCTCGTACATCAGAACCATGCATGGCAATATCCTATTTTTATATAAAAAAAAAAGAACAGTTTATATAAGTAAAAAAAAAGTTGACTTGAGAAGAAAAACTCCATGGTATTACTTACTTGATGCAAACGTAAAAAATCATTTCGCAAAGTTAGGATTCTGGCTAGCAAGTCGAGCAATTTCTTTAGGCCGTCATCACGTTCCCTGGTGTCCAGCAGTTGCTTTGCGAGCGTAAAGACGACCTGCGATGAAATTTTCCAAAAGGACTCTATAAATCTACTCGAAGATCCCCATGCTACGATATAATCCGGTGCGTGCAGTTTCGACAAGCATTCTGCGGCAGCATCACGGACAATAGGTCTCTGATCTCGTAAACAGTTTGTGATGGCAACCATCACGGATGCGTTTTGTTCGTACCGGTCATCATTATCGCCCTGTAGAAAGGGAGAAGGGAAAAATAAACGATAGTTTTAGTTTAATTGCTTTTGCTTCCAATAAACACCTAATGAAGATGAGGCTTACCAAGATTGCCAGCTTGGGATCCGTTTGATACAGACGTAATACGTCTAAAATAAGTTCACATCGTTCGGTGACTATCAGGTTGCGCACATCACGTTTCTTTTTGTCTATAGAGGATGGATTAATGATAGTCTTGCGGCCTGAGGATTGGGTTGTGTTCTGACTACTCGTTTCGGATTTTGCAGGATCACGACTGGTGAAATCCAAAAACAATCTGCGCAAGGGACCACAGAGCGAATCATATAGGGCAGACACAGGCGGGTTCCAAGGGAGGCGGTTCTCTTCTGCAGCCAGTGCAAGACACGCTTTGACGAGGGACATTTTGAAAAGTGTCGGAGCACGGTCGTCAAGACAAGTCGGAAACAAGCTGTGAATGACGCCACGTGGGTTGAGTCGGAACATGGCAACCAGACAGTCGGCTAGGAGACAGCGATGATCGATAATGATGCCAAGGTTACCCATCAGGCTGTCGGGAATCAAGGGTCGTTGGATATCAAATAATTTCTCCTTGAGCTCGTTTTCAATGTCCGGGACAATATGGCGCAGTGCAGACACGTCGGATTTCGACACATATGTTGCAGCCTTGCAAATGTCGACATAGCAGATGGCTGCTAGTTCGGCCATCCGTGTGCCCTTGAGTGACTTTTTCAATGCGCTAAGGAATATTGTCTATAGCAACACAGGAATCATTTGGTTTAGTTTGACATTACGTCTGATAGAACCAACCACCCTCTTAGCACTTTCTATACCTTTTTGTTTTGCACTCCTCTGCTTTCAGACAATGCGGATGCTAGCAATACATCAGGACACAAGATCAACAGCATGGTTTGTAGCGGCCACAGCACTGCTTTCTTTCTCGTCGTATCGGCAAGCGAATTACAAATATCAAACAGAATTTCGGGACCACCATCCAACCGTTTCTGACTGTGGCATAACCGCATAAACTCGGACGGATATGTTTCAATCCAATTCCAGATAGCACGACGTAATGTCACCGCGACAAATAATTGTGCTGATTTCTTTAAATGCATAAACGTAGAGCAGAGTTCTTTGCGTCATAGCGAAGTTTAGTGGTCTGTGTGTAGTACACTGTCTCTTGCCCTTTATATTCTATCTTAGGATGTATAAATACCTGTAAGAATCATGCTCAATCGCTTTGCATTCAATGCCGAGCATTCCAGTAATCGCATATCAGCTGTTTCTGGGTTCTCATCCATGGTCGTTGAAAGATACAGTATCCGTGCCTTGATCTTACCGAACATGATCGGCCAATTACTCGCACTGACATAAAACACCACACGACTTGCAGCCTTGTAAATATCTAGCATGATATCCGATGGTGTTCCAGTCGTGCCAGTAGCATTATATTCTGTCCGCGTCATAATATTGGCTACACCCGAACCGACATCCCGTTCTTCCGCCGTAGCCATTTGGTGCATGAATCGTGACATGATGGCGACAATGTATTTGGCCAAATTGTCCTCGAGCGGTGGAGGATCTTCCAACTCGCCTGGTAGCAGGTTGGTGTTGCTGTTGCTGCTGTTGCTATTGTTGCTATTATTACTTATACTGTCGTGATGGCCGTGGTGAATGTTGTTGTGGCTAGGATGATGATGATGGATGTTGTTGCTAGTACTACTGCTGTGATGACTATGCGTGGAAAGCATCGTTTCTGAGGCACTATGCATAGATCCTTCTCGACTCATGCCGGATACGGGCGATTGTGGAGCTAATGATTCGGAGCTGTGGACTGACATTGTCTTTCGCGACTGGCGATAAAATTGCCAATGGTGTTGCATACATGCTGACAACATGCGTAATAAAAACAGCTGTGATTGCAGCACATCGTGCGGTATAAATTCGTCGGATAAAGCGATGGGTGAAGACTAAATTTCCATTCAGGATTAATAAGTTTAGTTCTCAAGCACCCACACGCAGACATCTATGACATATATACCTTTGATATATTTTCCAACACGGTCACCAAGGTGCTTGCAATGGTAGGTAATCGAAACTTTGAGAGTTCAATCAGGGCGGCCACTAAATAAACGATTTATAAAAGATGTCAACATAAAGATTAGTAGTTTTCATTTGAAAAAAGGAAGCTTAATTCATTTTGTTTACCTCTGTAGTTAGCAAAATTATTAGAGCGAGCAAAATCAATAAAGCGTGCAAAATAAAAGCAACATATCAACGAGAGGGCGAAAGGGTTAATTAGTATATTCAAACTACTCTCTCGCGCTAACAAACACTTTTCTTACATACGTTTGTTGAATCAAAGGATCGCTTTCCAGATTATCCAGCTGTCGTCCATTATTGCTCGGTAGCTAATGCATTGAACACAAATGAGTTAACGAGCCCCACTTTTCGTTCTTTAACCTCAAAAGCTTTAAGGAAAAGAAAAAATGAGAAAACATACCCGAACAGCGATTCGATTAACAAGACTTAGAATAAGCTTGGTGTCAGCACTCATTTTGTGTCTACGAAGTTAGAATCTCGGGTCGAGTGATGTTGTATATATGTATTGTTTCGAGATTATGTGTTTTTTAAAAAGAAAGAGAGAGAAGGGTTTTTGTTGATGTTCGTGTAGGTGATGGCGAAGTGAGAATTTAAGGAACGAGAGGAGGAGGAGCAGTAGAAGAAAAGAGATGCCGCTTGCGCGGGTTGGTGAGAGAAAGAGAGAAGGTTGTTGTGTACTAAGGGAATCGCCTATATAAGAAAAAAGAGGAGAAAAAGAGTAAGTACGTTGAGTATGCTTTGTGAATTTAATATTAAGGAGCTGTCATTAAAAAAGATCATTGAGACAAGATGATGAATGGGGAAATCCCTTGAAAATGTACCTTAAGTTATGTTCGTTTAAAGAGGAGAGAGAGGAAAAGTGAGGAGTGGTAGTGGAAAAGGAGAACGGCCTGCCGTCGTCGTCGTCGTCGAATTGTATATTGACCTTTTCTTTTCGGGTGTTGTGAAAAGTGATCCCACGTTTCTACGAGAACCGCGAAAAAGAGAGAGAAGCGACGTACTCTTTTAAATGAATCGGCGCGCACACACTCCACTGCGAAAGAGCGATATTATAGTTCTCGTGGATCAAGTTCGGCTAAACTCTATAGCCGTGGTACGGTTCCGGACATGTATCAATAAAGTGATGGTGTCTTTTTCCACTATTCGACTGATAAAAGTTTAAACGCTAATCTCGAGAAAATAGATCGATGAATTTAAAAGACGAGCAATGAGGCGTAATGTTACTTGGCTGTTATTGGAGCACTGATTTTTCATCTTACTGGGCTTGCGCTACCATATTGCGTTGTTTCAGTACTCGGTATTACGTTTTCAGATCACGCAACTGCGTTTGCTGCGTGCTATCTCTTTGCTCCACACTTTATTATATCCGTATTTTTGTTCACTTACACCAAAATCGAAGGTTGGCACATCCACAGATGTCACCAAAAATATTCATTGTTGTCAAATAATTTCATCCAGAACGAGTTTACACTGCTTGATGCTCTTTTAAGGATCTCTAGCTTTGACAGTTTGCACTGCTTCTCTTGGATGCCTATTAGCTTTGCGGTTGGCATTGCTTGGTATACTCTTCTCACCATGTTCGATAACCTAAAACAGATCATGATTTGCAGCAAGGAGCATAGTATTACAATTCAAGAAGGCACGACAAAAAAAGAGAAACGGTAGCCTCGACAAAGCAGAACTTGACAGGATTGTCAAAACCAAAAAACAAATAAGTTTATCACCATCTTTGTCTTTTAAAATAAATGTATATGCTCATTCATCTTATCAAAATAATTAACGTATATAAAAAAAATGTATATAAGGGCGAGCCAGAGGCTGGTTTGATATGTTGTCATTTACACATCCGAGAGTGGTGCTCTTCAAGTCGGCGACTGTTCGTTATGTTCGGTATAATAAACGAACAGCAGCACCTACAATTATAATTACATGGCCCATTGATGTATCCTTCTGAAGCGTAATAATGGCAATGCTTCAACTTGACATGATATGCTGCACGCCAATGAATTGGAAAAAAGCAAGTCGGGCTGCATAGAAAGGGGCAACGCAATAATGGACCCATGCCATTTTGGGAGGGGTGTCAATTTCTAAGCGTATCAATGACAGATGAAGTGCACACGATGGCCAAAGCGTGCGTTATTAACTTTGTTACTATCTTATTATTGTGAAAGTTAGCCAGTTGCTTGAGGCTTGTATACATTAAAGACGTAGGAGCAAGTCGGTACAAATTGTGATTCACGATGCCTATTTTTACGGTTGCGCAAGTTAAACTATACATATGACAAAGTAGAAGACGTACTGACGCCCACATACTATATTGAACAACAACGTACAAAGTATTACTTTTCATTCATTTCTAGATTTAGATGTATACATGTATATGATACGTACTGTAACACCGTATACTTACAGAAACGTGTTCCCAGCCATGTTTTGTTTTCGAGAAATCTACCATCCACATACATCGGCCAGTGATAGCAATCATTTCCATCTTGCGGCATTAATAGATAAATGCTTTACAATGTCAGGGCCCACCGTTTTTACATGCCGTTTAATTGACAATCCTGATACTAGACACATTAATAAGAAAACAGAAACGATGATAACTTTTTATTATGATTACTTTTATGGAAGGGGTGGGACGGGTAGATGGGAATGTGGAATGATGATAAAACATTATTTGAAAGGGGCGTCGAGAGGATTGATGACAGTGCCCAGTTTTGTAAGCACTCTTGGTTTGGTAAGCTTCTGGAACGTATCGCGCGTATTCCATTCCTTGCCCACAGGAGCACGGAGCGACCGTTCATACTGCTCCATTGTTTGGAACGGATAGGGTACTTGAGTAATTTCATATTTCTCAACCTATTACAAAAAAAAAGCATTGGGTCAGATAAAACGAAGAATTCTCCAATCAACGATGACTTTTACCTTTTTGTTTCGCTTTTCATTGATAATGACATTCTTGAGCTTGGCATCCTTTCGTTTTAATGGATCCACTCCCTTGGTGGTCTTGACAATCTTGTTCTTTTTGTTCTTCTTCATGCCTTTACCACTCCAAGCACCCCAGCCAGGTAATGTCAAATCTTCGGTCTGGTCTCCTTGTTCCTTAACCACTGCTGCCTTTTCTTCTTCAAACTCTTGCACCACATTATCATTCGCAAATGCACGGGCTACAAGTTCCTTTTGGGCAAACGCCACTTTCTTGTTGGATGCGTGTACCATCCCAGCATCATTGTCATCTGAGGAATAGTCTTCACCATCATCGGAATCATTCAGTTGGGTTGCTGTTACTGTGGCTTGCTTCTTTTTGCTTGCTGCTGCTGGTTGTTGCTGCTGTTGTTGCGATGGTTTTGATGCTGTGTCTTCTTTGATGGTGGTTGTATCAGAGGGCGCAGCTATGGTGGCCTCTGTCTTTTTGCTGCTGTTTTTCTTTTTCTTGTCCATAGACAATGTTTGTGTAAGATCAAGTTCAATATCTTCAGTTTCTTGTGCACCCTTGCGCGACTTCTTGATCTTTTCGATATTCAGCTCTGCTTTATCGTCAATCTTGCCCTTGGCTGTATTGTGCTTCTTTGAAGCCTTCTTGCCCTTGACACGTGATTCGACTTGCTGTAACCATGGACTGACGTTTGCATCAGAGTTATTGTCGAGCTCTGCGTCTAATGCGCTCTTTTGTTTGCTACTGCTGGTTTCTACGGCGCCTGATGTGCGTGTGTTGTGTGCTGCTGTATGGGATACCTTTTTGATCTGGCCTGCATCGTTTAATTCGACGTTGGCATTGTCATTGGAGCTTAATTCAGCAGTCTAAATTTTGACATGTCAGTTTACTACCATCCTGGTAAGAAATATCCACAATAGCACGAATATCTTACCTTGCCCTTGACATTACTGCCAAATGCTAATCGACCAGGATTGTTTTGTACAAGTTTACCAGCCGCTTTCTCTGCTTCTGCCTCCTCACTATCTTCATCGAGCCATTTGTTTTGGAAATCGTCCACCATGGCCTTGGTAGCTGCCATTTTGCGCTTCTCTGCATCCTGCATGAACTTCATGTTAAGAAGGCCCTTCTTAGGTTGGGTATCTTGGGCTTCTTGGTCAATCTCTTGTTGCAGTTTCACTAGGTCATTGGCAATTGCGTCCTGATGGCCTTCATCGTCGCCGTCTGAATCATCGTCATCACTATTATAATCTGAATCTGACCCGTCTGCGCCACCGTGCACCTTTTTCCGCAGCTCATCGCCTCGACGAAGCTGATCTAAGATAGCTTCTCGAGTGCCTTCGTCTTGTTGTCCACGCGCCAATGCCCGTTTAGCCCACTGACTTGTGTTCTTGTGCTTGAGCGACATGCGTTCCTCGGCGCGGGCCATGGCGGCCTCCATCTGCTGGTCGGCCGTCATTTCATGATCCACCTCATTACCAAGACCAGCTGCCTGCAATTCCTGTCGCGCCCTTTCTTTGCGCTGGAGCTTACGATAACTCTTACTCTTGATCTTTTTCAATCGCTTGGCTTTGATTTCGCTACGGAACATGAGTTCGCGCATCATCTGCAGTTCCTGACGACGACGCTGGACTTCTTCCACAGACAATTTGTTCAACTGAAGTGCCTCGAATTCTTCCAATTCTTCTTCCTTCATGCCTGCTTCGGCCAATGCGGCCTCAATCTGCTGTTCCATGGTCGTTTGGGCTGCGAACTTGCTTGCCAATGTAGCACTGGTCGTCGTTTGTCTCTTCTTTGGTGCCTGGAGCGGGAAATGCAAATGCTCGGCCTGACGGTTTTCATTCACAGTTGCATCCCAACGGGACACTTCCTTGTTGGTTTCTTTGTATGCTGCTTGACGATCGGCTCGGTCCTGGAGACGCTTGGCTACAGGTGCTTCGAGTGCCGATTTCACCACGTTCTTGCCTTTACCGTCTAACTCCAAAAGCGATTTACGCATCGTCGTAAACGTTCCCTCGTTATCCATGGTGCCCATCAAGTCGTTCAGGTCGAGTTTCTTGTTGCCACCAGTCGCTGTCGACCGTGCTAGCAAATTAAATTCGTTTTCTTCGTATACTTCGGTCCGTTCTTGTTGTCGCTGTCGCTTTTTAGCCAGCTCGGCTTCGTCTCGTTTACGCTTTTTGGTTTCAAGTGAATCAATAAACTTGACGTCATCTTCCATGGCCTCGTCTTCTTCTTCATCATCATCGTCTGATGGAAGCATTGCTTCTTCATCTTCCTCGCTGTCGCTGTCACCTTGTTGCATCAATGCTTTGACAGCATCCCTGTGGGAAGATTTGTTCTCGTCGGCATCATCGTCAAGCATTGTTGACAAATCCATGAATCCTTCACCATCCTCCTCGTCATCTTCTCCATCGTCGTAGTCATTATCGTCTTCACTTTCGTTCATGTTAATTTCTTGTTCGGAAACCTCCTGGTCGTCGCCGTTCTCTTCAACCTTTTTTGGTTTTTTATCCTACATATTATCCACTCTTCAAAGTCAATACAGCAAATTCTACTGTTGAACTGATTCTACGGAAAACAACACAAAAAACCAAAGAATACCTTGTTCGAACCCGAGAATTTGAAATGTTCAAAACGTTCATCGTCAGACTCGTTAAAAGCATCATCGGATTCAATCTCTTCGTCGTCTTCGGAAGCAATGGCATCACCATTGTTGTATTCATAGTCGTCAACGTCGTCTAAATCATGTCCCTTTCGTTTTAACGATCGCTCGTTGTCATCGGCTTCAAAGACGTCATTAACACTGAACGACTTTTTGTTTTTCTTAATTTTGCTGTTGGAACCAGCTGTAGCAGAGCCGTTGTTGTTGTTTCCACGATTGCCCTTTCTGCCCTTGCGTTGAGGAGGCATAATTTAGAGTTGTATAAAAAAAGGTTTACTGCCCTACTAAAAAAAAGTGCTTTAATTCAACACAAGCCACGCTTTCCTCCCCCGATGTCGTGTTCAACATGGAATTTTTGATTGTGGGTCCGCTGCTGCGCTCACGAAGAACAAGCCAATCCATGTCCAGCTTTTCCTCCAACAAAGTGATTATATTGACTTGAAGTAGTGGTAGTATTAATTAAAGATGATAAGAACTTGTGAATGAAATAAAAAGTAAAGAAAAAACAATTACAGTTGCAATTATCTGCCTGGCTTAATAAAATCCAGGATGTCTTCTTAGGAAGAGAGCGGGGACTTGGGATGTTAGGAAGAATGAAAAATATACAAAGGAAATATTAAGACTGTTTTTGACTTGAAACTAGCAATGAAAGGTAACATTATGTAGACCTACTATTACTAGGTACTACAAGCTACTATGAAATGCTACCAATTGGTACTCTTCCTTCTGCACTGGAGCCTGTATTTCTTCATCTTTTTCGACGTTGACGACGACGACGGTGTAGTAGGGCTCTTCTCTACTGCTCGGGCAGCATCTGCTGCTGCTGCTTCCTGTTGTGCCTGCTGTTCTCGTACGACTTGTTTGCGAGGTAGAACACGACCTTTCAAGAAATTACCAATGGCAGTAAAATAACCTGTTTGCATACAAGTGTCGTTATGCATGCCGTTGGGAAATTGGACCCAGTCTTTGCTGATCTGACTCTGGCATTGATCGAATAAGCGACGCATATGCGTCGGTGGCACGAGCTCATCACATGCACCGGATAGAAAAAGCACAGGTGTCTTTTGGATCCGTTTGACGCTGCTGTCGGATTGCCAGTGTTGGTGACAAAGAAATTTGAAATGTTTCAAGACAGGAAGCACGTGTGGAATCAGCTTGGGCTATATTATTAACAAAAGGTTATTATTCAGTTTCTTGATTCTCTTTTTGATTATTAGGTACCTCTACTTTCTTTATCGCTTATGCAAAAGGAAAAAAATGAAAAAATACCGTACGACGCTTAGAAAGGTATTTTCGACAATGAGGCCGGCAAAGTAATCTTCGTTCCGTGACACAAGGTCAATCGCCACAGCACCACCGATGGATTGACCGTATGCGATAAGCAGCGTCTTTTTTAGTACAGGATGTGCACGAACGTAATCTAGTAACGTCTAGCATAATATTGGCAGCATTGTTGTAGTAAGGAGTACATAGAGAGTTAGAGAGAGGTGTAAAAACCAATAGAGTCAGCTTGGTGCAGCAAGAAAGGGAGACGGGGAGGATGTGCAAGTTCCCTCCTATCTTTCTGACAATGATACAATAGGATGATATTCCAAATGAGTCAATAGAGATAACCCTTACTTGCGCATCGATACGTAAACCTTTCTCGTTTGGTTTGCCTTCGCTGAAGCCATAACTAATTTGGAAAGAACAATGAAAGTACTGCTTGTCAATATCAAATTCATTGTCAATATCCTCCTGTCCTGTAGAAATCGATGACGTTGCCAAATATTATGTAAAATTTACCCTCGATACGAAAGCATCACAACATTACAACGATGGCGTTCATGAAATACTTTGGCAATTGGCAGGCGATGACCCTTTTTTGCACGTCATGTCAGTTATAGGAGAAAACGATAAAATAGCATTAGAAGCACCGACACATCAAGGTATAAACCAGCGCAAAGCCATTCCCTCTCTTCTTCCACTAGTTAAAACACGTATAATACGTACCATATTACCAGCATTGGCCTATTAATCACCCCATCAAAAGCGTTAAAGAAAAGAAAAAGTGATAAATACAATTAATTTTTTAAGTATTGTCCTCACTGCAGAACAAGGAATGATTGTTTGATTTTGAATCACTTGCATGAAAGTAAAGAATGGTTGGTGCCTCGGTTGCTTCTTCTGGATTTTCGCTGACCATCATTACATATGTGTGTAGTCGCACATGGTCTCGAGTTTTGAGCCGTTCCTCAGTGTACTGTTCGATGCCGTAGTCTGATGGCTTAGCAACCTGTTTTCCATATGTAATTAAACATTCAATTACAATTTATCAAATTTTGTGAGCGTACAACGTATTTGCTGTTTGCTGATGATGCCGTGTCGTTTAACATGAGCGAAAATATAAGCTGGATAACGAACATACATGAATTCTTGAGCCTTCCGGAAACGAACTAGGGTAAATGAGCTCGCACTGATACAAGTACAATAAAGCAGCGCCGGTCAGACCGGCCAAACTGTTTCCTAGCGAGGACAGGTTGGGTATAACGACGAAGGATGATGGTGTGCTGGGTGATGATTGAGATGACGACGAAAGTGATGACGGTGGAGATGAGGAGGATGAAATGGATGACGCTTCTTCTTCCTCTACGAGTAGTCGCTCTTTTTTGGACATAAGTGGTGAAATTATTGTACTTGCTTTGCGCTATCTTCTGATAATGATAGGTTTTTACGCTGGTCCGTTGAACTGATGTTATACTTTTACAGAAAGAAAAGTGCTTGAGTAAGAAAAAGGAAGAGAAAATAGATAGAGAGAGAGTTAAGACACAGCAAAGTAGAAGAAGAAAAGGCTGTAGGGAGAAGATCAAAAAGAGTAGTTGTGCTGAGGGCAACGACAAGAGAGAAAAAAAGACAAAAACACACGAGAAGAGAAGGGCAAATCAGCACTGGGTCTCGTTAAATATATTGTCCACGCGTAGCACAGTTGAAATAGGTAATAGACATGCCTTGCTCTTCAACGCAAAATGCTACTATTATATGGACAATAAGAGCCCCTGAGAGGAGCAAAAAGGGATTTATGATAGTCGTTGTCGTCGGTACTGGAAAAACTTGCCAATACTTCTTGCTCCCAACTTTGTTTTTCTTCAGTGCATATTACGGATGTTCTCCGGCATATGCTAGTAGCGTTGTACATTTCATCATGTTGATGGCAATAAGACGACGACATGCTTCCATTCTAGTATATATGATTCCAAATTTTCGGAAACATTTTGTACTACCTATTCCCACCAGCCCATGGTAGATTTTAAAGTTGGAGGCAACAGTAAATTGCTCATATCTCTGCCACCAAGAACAAGTTATATAGTAGTACTGCTACTAGCCTCATTAATCTTTTGTACGATAAGTATAGGTATAGCAGATACGTGCCACTAAACGCTAGTGTTGACCTGAGCTGGCATTCAAGTTTTACAGTATATATTTCAGTCTAGGCAAAAACAGAAAGTGGTAGCAGTAGTAGTACTTTGTTAAATGATGATACTGCTTATTACTCGTCCGCAGAACCATATAAATATAAAGTTGTTCAATGCATATCGTAAATTAATCATGTAAACATGCAGCAATATAATGATTGGGGGTGCATGCATATCTAATCCATTGATTAAAGAAATAAATGTGCGTCACAACAGTAGTACTCCTCATATATACTACAAAGTATTTACATATGTGTGCTTCTACATACATGGTGGTTCTTTTCTTTTGACCCGTTTCATACAGATAGTAGCATATACATCACATAGAACTTTTCAGTCCAACATTTTGCAGTGATATATAGCACCTGACTGATGGGTAGTAGTAGCCGCGTGTGTGTGTTATACTTCGAATAAAAAAGCAGCCATCGTCTGCTGCCACCGCCACATAGCTCTACCATGTTCTTGTACAAAGGGGATTAAGAATGATATGCTTCAATGAATAACGGACCAAGTAACTCTTTGAAAAGGCGATCGTGAACAGTTTATGCAGTAGTTTCTTACATCATCATTGTCGTTGTTGCGCTAGAATTTTAGCTTTGTGTAACCGAATGTCATGAAGATCTTTTCTCTTTCTGCGTATAGAATATTGCGTTTTTGTCTTTGCTTGCACATTACAGTATCACGCATTTCTAAAACTCAGCAACAATAAAATGTAGCGTGACGTATAATGCGAGAAATCTAGTATAGCATCGCGACAGGTTATACGTCGATCATGACAATAAACAGTCGTTTCTTGGACTAGCACAAATTGATATCGTCGATCAGTTGTCTTTTCAAAGGAAAGTTGTAACTTGTGGATCATGCCACCATCACAGCTTCCAAAGCATTCGAGAGACGAAAAACGAGATAGGATAGAAATATATGATGAGATGACTGCTTTAAATGTTTTAATAAATAAAGAAACAAACTGAATGCTGAAGTCTCATTAATGCCATGGACAACGAAAACGATTTTTGCAGTACCTGAAAACAGCAACACTATTCCTATCATTGTCGTAAAAATGGGTAATACAGCCAACTACTACTGAGCCAACGAGCAAGGCTATTGCTTCTCTTTATACGAGAGACGATAGGTATTTATAAAAGTAGCTGACAGCGAATGTTGGAGAATGTCGGTTTTGAATATCATCATCCTGCTCTTAGAAGAATAAAGGCTACCATATGCTTGGTTATCAGTCTGAATCATGAACATGAATCAATTGTATGGACACCTTCATTTATATTGATGCGAAGCTCCCTTTCTCCTTTTCAATTTAGAACCAATAAGGAACTGAAAGTGCATACGATTACGATTAATGATGCTCAGATAGACTCATTGGTTTTTTGAAATGATGATGATGATGCTGTCCATGAATACACCAGAACGTAACTACGAACTTCGATTAAAAAAACTAGATCGGTTCCCTTTTTTTTTTAAAAAAAAGGGCTTATATACAACTGAATATCGTGTTATATATTTAGTATCATACTTCAAGACCGCTCAGAAATGCTCTTGTACACCCCCTCTTCCCTTTGATTCTTCTGAGTATAATATATACGTAGCGGAAGGGATTAAGGGTGGCTCTGGCCCTTTTACACCGGGTGAAACCATTGTGTGATTGTTTCTCGCCATGTTTGATTTGCCGCGGCGCACACACGATGCTATTGAGAAGAGAGTTTTTATATATAGTTCATTGTTGTTGTTGTTGTTCTTGTAAAGTCATGGTTCGTTTTTAGGCTCATGCATGAATTTCTTGTGATACCCAAGATGAAAAACACATACCCTTTGGATTTCTTCTAATGTACCGGCCTGCATCTGGTATTCTGTGATGGAGTCCCTCAATTGTATACCTAGTTGCTCATGGATCGATTGCAATGGAAATTCGCGTCGATGGCGATTGAGTTGACGCTTTCCCACTTGAACGTGGGCAGGACTGGCTCGTGAGATGCGCCACTACACTAGGTACATGAATAGAAACCCAGTTTGGTGGTTTGATCGACGAGCTTAGTACAGTAAAGATTTCTAAAAATAGAGCGAAGTCTTGATCGGAAACCGAACTTGTTTCGCTTCGCTCATGCCCTTGAAATACTCCCGGGCTTGGCTCACAAAAAAAGCAGAGGTTATCCATAAGCGGAATGAGCTAAACTGCGCCAAGCATAATAGGTCGGCTATACAACTGGCTACGCACTTTACTAAATGCTAATACAGCCACTACTGCTTACTATGTTTACTGCTTTTTCTAAAATAGAAGCTCTCTCGCTCTCTGCACAACTTCCCCCTACTATTGTTACATGGATATATAAAAGCTAAAACCTCTTGCCTATTTACGCTAAATCTTTTCCTTGTTTCTATTCTTTTTTCTCTCTCTCTTGCTCTTTTTCTCTCTTACATACCAAGCAAATCAATACATCACCATGGGTTGTTGCATGTCAGCTGAAAAGGTAACAGCCGTTTTATCAGATACATGAATTGAACGGTCAACGACGATAGAAACGATTTGATAACTCACACATACTATTACAGTCTAAAGTCTACGAAGTAGTTCTCGATCACAATGGCGTAGCTCGCCGAGTTCCGTCAGGACAAGGCACACATTTGATCTACGAGTCTCAGTTCAAAGAAACACGCATGGAACAGAAATCCGATGTACGTACTATTAGCAGACATACTGCCGTATTACTTGTTTTTGATTAGAAGGCTCAATGTCGACTAATGACTTGGCATGTACATGTATTTTAGTATACTTTACCATCCACACTATCTTCTCTTCCACGACCACCGGATACGGTATATCGCAAAGCCCAAAAGATGGCCTGGAGCCCGACCCCACCTCGTCGGGTAGGTGTCAGCCCTGTCACTGACGAAAAGGAACCGCTAGAAAACAAGCCCTAAGAATAGGTAGTACTTCGTTTTGGTCGTTTCTTTTTCATCCGTCATACTTTCACGTGTTGTATCCATACCATTATTTCTTTTGCAGGACGGTAAATGTTTTTACTGTCTTCTTTTGATGTCGCCTCTCAGCGTATATTCTCCTCTACACACACATAAATATCGCGATATATGTATATATTCTCTCCCCTTTCTTCTTATTCATTCTCTGTTTCCATACAACAGCACCATTCTTTTTTGTAATTGACCTTTCCTTTAAAAGAACCTCACACATGAAAACAACGCGAGGTTTTTGTTTCCAAATCAATAAATATAGATATCAACATTGATGAGATCTCTGTAAATAAACAAACCAAGGTGCTGTGTTTTTCTAGCACGCGATAATCAAGCTTTTCTTGTAACGAATTGAACCTGTTTTTGTTTAGGTTTAATGTTTCTGTTAAACAAATAGTAGGTGCTATGGGTAAAATAATCACACGCGGTGAGCAAGGGGGGAGGAGATGTACAGGCCACTTGTATGTACATCATCAGTCCTCAAGCTTGCTGGAATTGTGCATGGGTATCATCTGATACTGTGCATTATCCGTTTGCTTGGCTTTCGTCATCTTGTAGTAGTTATACCATATAATTCCAATGATAGACACCAGTAAGCTAGTATGATAACAAAGTAAGTTAGCAACACATGTTTTACGCTGCAAAATAACTTGGACAGTTCTATTTACCCGAGCAAGTTCTTTTGTGTCAGCACATCGCCGAAGAATATGACTGAGAGTGTAATGATGACTATCTCCTTGCTAATCCCGGCCACGCTGAGCGTAACTGTATTTGTACTCTTGATGAGATAGAGCTCTGCCAAAGTCATTGCCAAAGCTGCATAGATAGCAAATAGAATATATTAGTCACGGCAATATATACAAAACTGGGAACTTGGGCCCTGCAAGCTTGTTGGTGAACACTACTTACCCAAAAAACCACCAATGGCCATCAAACCAAACGACTCCAAGATATGGAATATATTATCAAAATGCTTGGATTCCCGGAACTGGTCAATAGGATTCTCAAAGACGAGACTCAGAAACAGCATCGTAACAAACATGATTGGGCTGAGATGGTACAGGGTAGCGATAGGATTATCCATACCAAGGCGATCCTGCTGTAACAAAAGCTGAGTCAAGTTCCACCGCAGACCCGATACGACGGCAGCTACCAGCACCAGCACGAATCCCATCATGTCGAACTTTGTTTCACCCTCGACGGTCAAGATGACGCCTGCGACCATCAGCCCAATAATCGCAACAAGCCGAACCCGCGGCTTTTCGAACCCAAAGATAAAGGAAAACAAGAGCACCCAGATCGGTGTCGATGATTTCACCATGGTATAAAAAGATAACGTGACATACATCAACGATGCATTGGCACAACAGATTTCCACTGCGGCCGCTACACCGCAAGGCACCACCTTGTATAAGTAATCCGTAGTGGATATACTATGCCCTGATGATGATCCACCATTATTGTTTGATTTCCCTGCAGCAACAGCCGGGTTCCACCGATCACCACCCAGGGACATCATCAGTGATGTGACAACCGCGTGTAAACCAGCATGGATCGCACTGAGCAACAGCGGGAAATTGAAATTGAATCGGTCCTTGCCCATCAAGTTCTTGTTGTATAGCGATAATGACGTCGAAAAGAAGTACCATAATCCAATGTACGTCAAATTCTCCAAAATACTCTTGTTTTTTAACAATGCGTGTGGGATATCGGATTTCGGATGAGCGATCTGAATCGACAGTTTTTCGGGAAGTGGTGGGATCGATGTGTTGGCAAGAAACGGCGATCGGATAGGCGAGCCAAAGTCAACGCTCGATAATTTGTTATGGCCTGCCCCTCCTACGCCAATTTGCAACGGTGGTAGCGAGCCTCGTCGCTGCTGGTGTCGTTTCGTTTTCGGTGTTGTTGTGGTATTGGTAGTATTGTGTACATGAATGGATCGAGTGCGATTGTGCTGACCATACCGTTTGGGTGTTGGCGAAGTTGACAATGTTGCTGTGTCAGCTTTGGTTGTTGTCGTCGCCGTCAACGACACGGAAGTAGTGGTGGGGGTAGTAATAGGGTTGTTTGCAATATTCGACGAAGTTGCAGTAGCCTTTTTTAATGACGAGGATCGCTGGGGCGTTGAGGACGGTGTAGCTGTGGCCGATGTAAAGGTTGTCATAGCATCAACACGATCGTTACTGGTGTACTCACCACTCTGACGTTTCTTGTCATCTGATGCAGAAATCGTAATGGCGGGGCTGATATCTGATGTTGCTGAAAAGTTCCCCTTGCTTGTAATGTCATCGTCCATTATGAATATATTGCTCTATAATAAACAGTTGGTGGTATTCCAGGAGCAGAAGCTACTGCAATTTGAAAAGTTCGCACCGGCTATAGTATAGCACTTGCACCGAATGATCAACTCCGCTTATAGTAGTGTACCAGGCATGACCGTTAAATTCCGTGAGCATTTTTTCTTGCACACAACACTACTACTATCACTACTACTACCGCAATGGCGCTTTGCTTAAATCAACTACTTTCAAACAAACGATCCTCGCCATTTGTATTAATTAACGACTCGATCCAGTTTTCTGGCCTACCACTCCTTGCCGAATTCGCTGCGTCGACGTTACGCGAGAATCATACACTGATCGTCGTATTGACAGAAACTTCACCCGAAGCATGGACAACGCGTCTGCAACAGCAACAACAACAATCAAGAGTCAGCGATACAACGACACCACTGTCAAACAATAGTAAAACCTACATTATTGATGCCTACACTGATCCACTGGGCTGGGATGACATTGATCAAGATCCAACAGCAACAGCACAAAAGGGTAGGGACTGCAACGCGCCTTTTGTGTTGGAACGTGTACATGATATCCGTGATATGGAGCGATCGATCCTGAAACCAATCATTGAAAAGATGCCAGTAGCAACCAGCAGCGGCGGCAACGATACTGTTAATGAATGCACGATCTTGATTGACTCAATCCATCCTCTTTTGATGGTTTCTCAACAACGGACGTATCAGCTTGTGAAGGCGCTCGAATCACTTACAACTGGTATATAATTTATGTAACACACTGTGTGTGTTCGTTGGGAAATGTATTTTCAAAGCTATTAAAGCATTTGCCTTTATCCAGATGCAATTCGTCTTGTGGTCGGTCACCATGCCGACACCGAACTACCACGGAATAAAAACACCATGATGGTTCCAACCGTCGACGCACTCAACCGTCTAGCTTCAGTCATCCTATCGCTCGAACCATTGCCTCAGCGCACCATGTACGATGCAGCACAAGAAGCATTGACTGGATTCACGGCACAAGAATCCTTTACATACATGAGAACGACATCCAATTTGGTTGAAAAGGGAGGACTGGCTCGGATCGAGTGGCGTAAAAAGAGCGGTAAAGTCCAATACGAAACAAACGGATTTTATCTTGGCAGCAAGAACAACTTGATCGTGGTCGAGGCATCGCAATTATTGGGTGACGAGACGGCGGAAGTATCCATGGATGTGGAAGATTTGAAACCTCAACAGCAACAGCAAGTGGATCCAATGGCCAATTTGCCGTTCAATCTCTCGCTCACCGATAATCAACGCCGGGCAAAGGATAATGTCGAGTTACCGTTCATGAAGGTTCAGGAACAACAACAACCAAGTGGTCATATTTATTACGAGCCGGACGCTGGGGATGATTTTGACGACGAGGATCCGGACGATGATTTGGATATCTAATATGGCTATGTCACAAAAAATAGAAGTTTTCTCTTTGTAAATAATGAAAGTGCATACCTTATGTATAAAAGCGCCCGGGAATCAGCTGAAGATAATCACTTAAACCCTATCAGCGGTTGTTGACTGTATATTGTTGGATTCAATTTAGTACATCGTCATCTACCGTGCACATTTGTATTGTTCGTTGGTCCTGTGCTATAAAGAGGATCCTAAGAGCCACCACAGTCATAAGTAGTAGGTGAGGGGGCAACATTTGCAGCCATGGAAATATATACCAGTCAGCAGCTTTTGCAACCAAGTGTATTACCATTTAATAATGCTATATGAATTTAGCAGAACCAATGATGTTAGCACGTGTAACTTCATAGATGCCTTTGCCCGTGTGCCGATATTCGCATTCACCTGAAGCCATCACTTGCTCCACTTTTTCAAGTTATGCTATATAATACTTAATCGTTCTTTTTATGTATTTTGAAACCACTGAGGGTGTCTATAGCGTATATCTGCATGCTCTGAAACACAAAAGAAGGGGTTGCACCTATACACAACAGCGCGATTCCTTTATTTTTATCTACGTATACGACCGTAAAACCAACATAACCGTCATTACTGGTTTGAGCTAAAAACGGTGGTATACTTTGCGGTATACATAACTGCTAAAACAACTGCTGAGAGAGCCGTGATGATAATTTTCTGCTTACGATCCGACGATTCGATTTGGTCCTAAGATAACAAGTAATAAATATAACAATGACTGATAAGTTATGATTGTCCACACGTGTGTGTCACGAAAGAACCAGTTCTCTCCCGTTGCGATTATTAAAAACAAGGCGTAATCACTGATATAATTCCTTTGATACCTTGAGCTGTTGATGTTCCTCTTTGAGCTTGCTGTTGGCCTTCAGCAAAAACTCATTGTACTTTTTGATGCCTTCTTCTTTACGATGTGTCCCATCGCAGAATCCTTAATAGTTTTTTTAGCATATGAGGCCAGTGTTAATCTCTTTTGGTCCTCCACTTTTCCCCTTTTTCTTGTTTTGACACCGCTTATTTTTTTACCATCTTTGTCGTGGCTATACTTGCATCCGCAGAGATAGTACGTTTTTGCTTCATCGACGACAATCTTCTTTGGCTTGAATGGACCGCCTCGATGCTATGTAGAACAAGATTGTTTGCATTATCTGGATAGGAACACACTCGCATTTTCCCAAACGACAGTGGGGAAATAATTACTTACGGTACCATCGCAGAAGGGTTGGTTTTTCGACTGACCGCACGAACACCTGGTTTTTTTGATCAGTATACTTAAGCGCGATTTACTTTAACTGTCCCAAGACAGGCAAGGGGAGCCTCTGTACATACCAATAGTACTCCTACAATCGTGATGATGATTGATAATGAGGCAAACGACACGCGGGGAGAAAATCAGCAAAAGATACACGATCAGTCGTCGCGTAAAATAAAGAAAAGAAAAAGAAAAAAAAGATGATCGATGTCTACCTTTCCAGGTTCTAAATCGACCTTGTAAGGCTTGGGCTGAACAAATACGGGTTCAGGTGTACTGGTAGTAGCGCTACTGGACATTTGTTTTAGTCAAGAGAAGAGTGGGGGTGGGGGTTGAAGAAGAGAGAGTAGGAGATATTGAAAGAGAAGCAAACATAGGTCAGCCCAGAGCCATCTTTATTTTGTCGATGTTTGGGTTACACAACAGATACAGCAAACTCGGGTCTTCTTACTACTTGTGACGTATATAAATAAGTGCGCATAATAGACAGACACGAATATATATGGCGCGCTTTGTCATTTCAGCTTGACGTTGACCGCACTTCATCCATGGCGTCTTATCAGTTTCACTTTGGCACGATCCGCGCATCACTTTGCTCCAACTATTTTAGCACTGGAGCGAAAAGTGAATCAAATCAAAATCTTGGTTGATCGTGGTAACAAAAATTTGCAACTTCTGCTCTTCTAAGAGGTATCCTGGAAAAAACGATAATGAGTGATTTATCCACCCTTAAAAGTTGTTGACTGTTATATATTCCTCAATGAGTCAATGAAATTTTTGCACTGTACAGTCTGTACCGCAGATCCGTTCATCATCAGTGAGAGAGAAATGTACCAGCTATATTCGATGCTCAGGATGAAAAAGAAATAGGCTATAGATATTGAACAAAGTTGGGTAGATGGACCGGTGCGATGAAAAGGTGCAAAGCGATGAAGTAAAGCTTTATCGAGACGCACAAAGAGCAGTCGACGTTGTATCCTATTATCTTGACGGTCAGTACCCGATCCGAACGTTCTGCTGCCAATGCCATAGTAAGGTGTTGTACTTTGAATCACTCACGCTCGTCGATAGTCAAAAATGTACATCAGACAGCGCCGTGTTCAGATCAAGATACCTCTAATGCATCTAGTGTTTGGTTGGAGGGATGCAATTGTCCAGCTAGCTCGGAACGTGAAAGTTGCTCGGCCACTGGAACAGGATAGCTTGAATGGCGAAATTTATTTTGAAACGCTTTCGCCACCAAGCACTCAATGATTCAAACCACTCATCATGTATATTCCCTGTTGTAGCAATAGCTTATCAACTTGAAAACTGTAGACATCCAGGATTAAATCGTCATATGATGCGAATGGCCGAACTACTTGCTAAAATAAACACACAATAACTACTGAAAATCTTCCTCATGTCATATGGCTCGTTATTTTGAGTTTGAGATACTAAACATCAGACATTAGAATACATAGCTCTTTATACAGCTTAGGAGTAAAATTACTTTGCTTCCCAAATATAGTAGTGCAAAGGGGAGCTGATGATAAAATGGAGCATGTGACAATGATGCACATCCAAAAGACAACGAGTTTATAGAAACGTAGCCCTCTAGCTATACAGTTGAGAAGGAACGTTCACGGTGATTCATAATCCAGTGTTTAAATAGTAGGAGCAAAGTGATGTGCGGATCGTGCCAAAGTGAAACTATTGAGACGCCATGGATAAACTGCATTGACAGAGCGCGCCATATATTAAACAACCATCGGCCAAGCTGAAATTCGAGCAGCGCCAAATAGAAATTGCCCGCTAAGTAGATTTGACATGCATGGTGGTACAAACAGGTCACTGGAGAGGGGGCATTTCTTCCTAAAACAGTATCCCCATAGAACCACCAGCAACAGCAGCAACAGCAGCAAGCGTACTAACATGGCGTTGAAAAAAATCTGCACCGCCTCTGTTATTGAGTACATGGCTGCTGCTGTTGCTAGGCCTAATCAATGTTTTTTTTAGCAAACTAAACCGCCAAGATTTTGGATTGCTTGTTGGACCATCATCAAATTATTGTATCAGTTATGTATACGCTATCTACCTTATCATCAATACTATGATATCTCCCTCATTCGACTTAGCCAGCAGCACTTTGCAATTTTTGTTGACCTGTTGAGCAGCGGTGGCACACTATGATGTATTATAATCGTGTCATCTTCACAATAATGACTGCATATCTGAACGTATGCGCTATATAATGAAGCATCAATGCCGTAATAGGAAAGAAGCTAGATACTACTACTAGGTTTTTATTGTTTGTTGTTTTGGTTTGACAAGCTGGGCCCCTCTTCTCTCTTTTGTTCGGAATCGTCATTCATGGCAATGCCGAAAACCAATATATATATAGTATCCCGGAACGCAACCACCTTATTTTTTTTCTTTCTTCTTTTTCAATCTAAACCATGAGTCCTACTCCTACTACTGCTACTTCATTGGCTCCCGACCATCACTATTACTATTACTCAAACAGCAGTGGTAATAGAATTAAAAACTCGCCATCACCCAACATCATCTTTCCAGCCTCTTCACCAACACCCAAATTATCTTGCAACACGCCCAGTATAAAACCAGTGTCTCCGTTTGACTGGGCAAGAGAATGTATGCTTGACGATCAACAAGAAGCTTCTGGTGCTGCGGGTACAATGGGTGGATGGAACCAACATCATTTTGAAGAAATGGAGCGAATTGGCAAAGAACTTGAACATGGTGATGCAATGGCCCTGGAACGTCTGCGTGAAAAAGCAAATCCAACACCAGAGGAACGGTGCGTGCTTTCCTGGATCGACTCATCATTGCAACAACAACAAGAGCCATCTAATTGTTCACCATCACCATTTACTCTTGACAGTCTTAATAGCAGCTCTTCAGCATCATTGCATCGTCAAGAAGAGCATCAACAATCAACACCAGCACAACAACAACAACAACAGCAAAGACCTGCAACGAGTTTTCTGGCATTTTTGAATCGGTTTAAAAAGGCGTTTAAAGTACAGTAGAACTTAAGCAGACCTTTACAATTCCGATGTATATATTCTTCTTTTTTTCTCTATTAAATAATAAATGTAAACTTATATCTTTTTGATGTGTGTTTGTGCATGAGAGAAAGAGAGGATGAGGATGTGAGTGAGAAGAGAGTATAGTATGTGTGTAATAATAAGAAAGAGGGTTTAGGCACAGAGTTAAGGAAACAGACGAGACAGCGAGTATTGACGAGATCAATGTCGCTTGTCACCCTTGTTGTCTACTACAATGTTGGACTCTTCGTCCCAGTCGGCAAAGTCTTCAAAATCATCATCGTCATTGTCTTCAGCAATTGCAAACCGTGTTTGTTTGTTGCTGCTGCTGTTATTATTGCTGTTCGTGGATAAATCGTTGTTATTGGTTTCTGGAGTAGCACCGGATCGATGCTGATGGTCGTCATCGGAGTAGTCTTCGGCAGCGAACAGCGTGGGTGTCTCAATTACCAACTCGTCCCTAACAAGCGGATTTACCGTTTGTTTTTCGTATGAACAATTGAGAACGAAAACTTTGAGTTTCTCGGAATATAACAATTCCCTGGACGTTTTGTAAGAGCTCAAAAACTTACAGTTCATTTGTATCATCTTGATCATCCAAGCGAAGTTTAGGTCGCTTGTTACGCTTGCCTTTGCCAAAGAGACCTAGAAAACCGCCACCAAACACAGTCGTTGACGATGCAGGGGCACCACGTGACGAAGCAGAGGGTCGACGCTCGTAACCATGTTGCTGCTTGTTTTTTCTGTTACGGTACCAGCAGTAGCCAAGCAATCCGGCAAACAAAAGAACCACAATAAGAGCAGACGTGCCCCAACTATAGTACTGGGCCCATGGATCTTCCTCTTCTTCTCCGGCGGAAGCAGAAGAAGAACTATCGTCGTCGTTGTCTTTGGGAGGGTTGGTCTCGTCACCTTGAGGTTTCACAACGGATGAATCACCGACACGACTCGCAACGCCATTAACTTGGTTATCGCCCACACCCATGAAGCGATTAATCATGTCCAGTGTTTCGATCGGCTTGTCGTAAGGTACCATGTGGCTACCCTCGTTGATCACAACCAGGGTCAGATTCCGTGCTTCTGTGTAGGAGCCCACGCTTTTTTCGTCAATCAGCCAATCTTGCGTTACAGCAGTCTACAAAAGAGCATCTTTAGCTATAACTGACTTGCCAGTACCCGGTTAGTAGCAGAGGGTGGGTTTAGGCTAACCTTAAATCCCTTTGCGCCATTCCACGTCATATTACTGATCAGGTACTGGGTACCGAGAATGTTACAAATAAGATCTTGATCACCACTAAAATCATGCAAATTATATCAACAAAAATGACAGGACCACCTTCCCCCAAAAAAGTTGGAGCTCATCCTTTCCTTACCTAAACAACAATACAGGAATTTCTTCCAATATTCCTGGGAGTAACTATCAGAATTATTCCGTATAAGTACAAATGAACACACACAACAGAGGAAAATAAGACACAAACTTACGCCATATGCAGACTTGCTGTTTTTGTCATCCAATTTCCGTGACACTGCACTTGCGCATTCGGTCCAGCCGCCCGATTGTTTATCCGCATGAACCGCTTTTACAAGTTCGGGTGTCTATAAAAATGACATGTTCCATATGTTAGAAAGGGAACCATCGGATGTAAGTTCTTTTTCATATGGGTAAGATTACGAACCCGCAAATAGTCTGTAACATCATCCAATTCATAAGGCCATGCCATACCACATGAAGGATATTCTTCATTGGTAAGTCGGATATCGTATTGATTAATGCAGTACTTTGCATTATCTTCACTACAGTTTTGAAAGCACAAAGGTATTTATCAGCTTGGTATATGTTCTGTCTTTCTTTGATGGACAACCATAGTAGATAACTTACATATAGACAGAGCTATCGATAATGGTTGTCAGAACACGTTCACAAGTATCCGAATGGACAGCCACATTGTCACCATCCTCTTTCAGAGCCTTGTGGCATTTGTCCAAAGTGGTTTCGGCTAGTTTCTTTTTTTTACAGTGACAAAAGTTTTTCAAGTTATTAGTCCATTCACAGAGGAATTCTTCATTCTTGTCCTTCAGAAGCTATATTACCTTATAATTATCATGCAGCAAATTGTTTGCCACAGCGAAATCATAATATGCGTCATACTACGATCATATACAAGCGCGATCTGTTTTAGCCAGACATTACTTTAAAAAACAATCATCTTTCCCTCTCTCTCTTGTGTGATGTATATCTATAGTACCTGATGCTCAGGAGAAATCCAGCCGTTACCAATGGCAACGCCCTTGATATTGTACTTGATATCATCTTCCGCTTTTTTGTTGTCTTGAAGTATCCGTGTTGTGAAATAGGGAATATAAGTGCCAGCATAACTTTCACCTGCAAGGTACATCTATATATATAAAGAGTGGCTTATTAAAAACGCAATTGGCCAGTCTTAAGACGTTCCTCTATTTGAACCTACATCCTGCTCCTTTAAATGTGGGAAGATATCAAAGAATTTTTCGAGAAAGACCATGAATCCATCGACAATCTAATAAACATGGATATCCAATGAAAGGTCTGGTTAGTAAAACCTACTCTCGATATAACTGGGTGCGCATACCATCTACTCCAGTCCTCTTCCACTTTGAGCATATCACTAAGAGAGACCTGATTCATATCCTTTGTATAACCATTCATGTCTGCAAAACTAAATCCAGTGCCGACTGGTTGGTCCACTAAGAGTATATATATATATATATATATATATATATATATATAGAGAGAGAGAGAGAGAGAGAGAGAGAGAGAGATAGTTTTAGCAAGGTGGCTCACAACAGCTTTTTGACAAAGAGAGAAAAACGTACAGTATACAACGGTAGCATGATCTTGCCATCCACCCGAGGATATATTCACTGTCAAGTCTGGATTGATACGATAAGGTCCGTTTTCCAGAAATAGACCATCCATGCTATAAATATAAAACATCAATTGTGAGTAAACATGTAGCCTGGTTATATTCTCCCCATCTCTTTCTCCCCTTATATTACCTTGAGCAACCCGGTCCACCATTCAACCAAATAATCTACGTGTTGTTGTGTCTTTAAAGGTGAGTACTTGTTTTCTCATCCTGTAAAGGCATTAGAACACATACCAACTTCTCAGTGTTCTTTTCATTCGCTTGTTCAATCATCCAAAAGAACAAATTGCTGTGAGTTTCTGGAGCAATTTCAATATGCCTACATCATCATAATCATCATCCGTCAGCCCAAAATCATACATCATCTTTGTTTTCAGTAAACATACCCAGCATATTGGGATAAAATTTCTGCTTCAGTAGCCTCGAGACCAGGAAGTTTATCAATCTTGTACGTATCCGCTAATTTTTTTTTCCATGGTGTATTTTTGTTTGTCACTAAGGAAACCATTCCTCTTGGTTGACTGTCTCCCCTTTCTTTTATGCTATATCAAGCTTACCTGTCTGCGCAGCGACAGTCGCCACCAAAGTTGTTAATAAACCCAATGTGCTTTTCCACATTGTGCTGATGTTATGTCGTGCGTATACAGACGTAGTCGTACGTTAAGATTGAAAAAAGCGCTAGTCGATCCGTTGGAATGTGTGTTTGCTTGTTGTGTGTAAAGAGAAAAGTTATTGTGCTAGGTGCTGCTCCCTTCTGTCGTTTATAAATTATGCCGCAATGTGAGAGAAAAAAAAGAAGAGGGAAAAGTATGAAGACCCACATGGTGAGTGTTTCTTTTGGAAATGGTTGATTCTCCAACCATGGAATTAGACTTTCTTTCGTTACCTTTTTATATACTTTCTTTTTGGTCTTAACGAAAGAGAAAAATGATAAAGAGTGGCAAAGGTACGGTTTAAAAAAAAAAAGAGGCACCCTAATTTTTTGTTGCCGCCAAGGAACAACTTTCAAATGCGAGTGAAACCCGGAATTGATACCCCGGAACGCAGGGTCCCGCTTCGTTCCCTCTGCAATTTGCTATTAAGCCTAATACGGTCCGTCTATGTAACGAGGTAAAAATAAAGAAAACAGTTTTCCAAGGAGAGTCTATGATAAGGAAGATCTTTATTCAAGTTTCCAGACTTGATTGGATGCAAAGCCCATCTGGCCCAGTAGTCCTCGTACTGAACCCTGCGAAAAATCGCGAGCACGTTGACCAGAGACATGAGCCAGCATGGCATCCGGCCCACATACAAACACAAAACTGTTTTCTTTTTGGGTGAGCATACTACGAATCATATCCTGCGAGACATAGCCACGACCGCCTTGCCAATCCTGAGGTGGATGGTCCAACACGTATAAGATATGTAGTCGATCCTTGTGGTTCTCCTTGAGTTCATCCAATTCCTTCTTTAGCAAAATGTCTTTTTCAGTCTTGTTACAGTAAATCAGCCATAACCGTTCAGTCTTGTCGTCCGGATTATTTAATACGCGTTTAATCAGTTGATACATGGGAGTAATGCCAGTGCCACCTGCAATCTATCGTAATGAAAGGAAAAGAAAGTCAAAAATCTTGTTTAAGAGTACACAAACACAGTAAAAGAATCTTTACCATGCCGATTTCAGACTTCAAGGAGTTGGGTTGATACGGATATTCTTCCATGGGACCACGAACAAATACGGATTCATGCAACTGCGTCCTTGCAAGCATTTTGGAAATGGATCCATGCGCATAGCGTTTTACCACAAGATCGACGTGGCCGTCTTTGTAAGGATCGTTAATCGGCGTATAGGCGCGCATGACCTGAATGTTGTCGTCTTTAATGTATAGACATGACAATATTGGGAATTCGTGGTCGGGTTGTGCTTCAGTGGCGAGTCGTAGTCGGTATGCGTCAGAAGTCAGTTGCTGCTTATCAATCAGTTCCAAGGCCACATACCGATCCGGGCTCAATCGTTTGTCATTGGTCAAGTGCCATTGCCAGGCTTTGTATCCAAGATACGACCCGCCGACGATAGCGACGGCACCACCCAAGTATACGTATATCCGGCTACCATTCGCTTTTGTTGTTGTTGTTGTTGTTGTTGTTGCATTAACGGATGATGACGCTGACGATGCAAAAGTTCGTCTCAGTAATGTTGTTGCCCTGAACATTTTTGCAAAGGTATCCGGTATTGCAATAAAGGAAATTTTTTTGACACATTTGGATCATTTTGCATCTCAGTAAAAACCACCAACGGATTTCTTTCAAAATGTCATGGTTGTTGTTAAAGAGTGCAAGGCTCTTTTTATTTACATGCCAATATGGCTTGAAGAGACAGAAAAAGAAGAAGAAATAGATGCATATTGTCTTTTTTTTATGTACACAGAATGTAGAGTACCAATAACCGGATATGAAAAGAAAGAAGTGGGTACTAGTTGGGACAAAGTGATGGATAGAAAAAGGGAGAGGGAGCATAGAGGATTTGTGTGCAGTAGGAGGATGTTGTGCTGATGTACATACTTGACGAAATGATGTCGTTTGCGCAGAGTTCAGCTGGGGTTATAACATTACTTGATGGTGGTGGTGGTGATTATAATGATGAAGATGATGAGGATGTTATGGTGACAATTGATGATATGCGTTGTTGTTGTTTAGAAAAGTAAATGAGTTCGACATGCTGGACACCAGCTATAAGCATAGTAGGTTTTGTGCAAAAGACAGTAGTTTTGAGTGACCAGCTCAATGCTGGGTGTTGTCTTTGTCCTCGGCATATATGATTTTATGACAAAGGTAGATGAATCGGGTAACCATCGTGATATCGGCGCAATTGCTTGCTGTAAAGAAGGTGGTTGGTGATGGTGATGTGGTCTAGGTGACGGCGGCGATTGTGGTGGTGTGGCTGTCGTTGTACCGGTGGTAGCCGCCAGTGTGATTGGAGTAGATGATGACGACGGGAGATGGTGTTGTTTCAACTGCGTCGTCGGCAACGGCGGCATTTACACACATGCAGTTGATAAGGTGCAGGGTTTGTGTATCTGTCAAGAGAAAGAGGTGCGAGGGGAGCAAAGAGAAAAAGAAAGAGAGGGCGAAGACAGGACCGATATCGAGGAGAAAAAGAAAGAGGGACAAAAAAAGCGAATGGGGCAGAACGAGAGGGAAAAAATACGCCATGTTGAACGTCCTCGTTTCTGCCTTTTTGTTCGGCACGGCACCGATGACAGAAATAGAAATTTGTATTCCAGACAACCGTGCATTTCGCTAATGGAGGATCATCCCTTTATTACTGGTCAGGGTTCACGCCATCGTCCATAAGTTTGTTTTCGCTTATCAAAATTATTTACATACTATACGTTACTCGTTGAAGACCACGGGTAGTAGTAAGTGAGTACGTACTAGATGCTTATTAGACACTGATATACCCCCGAATATAAGACAGATGTTGCTCCTGCTTTTGGGAAATCCCTTCTGATAATAGTTCTCCTTATCACAACAGTATCTCTCTGTCACCTGCTTGGTTAACATGAGCTCTCTTCTAGTTTCGATCGCCGTTTCAAGACCGGTCTGTGTTCCGTAGCAATGTCTATCTACCTATCTACCTATCTATCACATAATATATTGCGAGGTCCTTGTCTCAGATCTGTCTATTATTGCTAATATAAATAGCATTGTTGCGATTGACGTACCGTTAATAGCTACTTCAGCTGCTATGATACCAAGAACAAAGTGTTGGGGAGTAGAAGAAGAGCCTGAAAATCGATGCTCCGAATGTTTGGCAGCTTTCTGTTGTAAAAAAAAAAGAAGCTCAGACTTATCGCAAGCGCATACGCAACTTTTTTCGTTTCGGGGCTTGTTGATGATGTTGCTGATCTTATACGTCAAATATGCGTATGATGTACTAAATAACATTGTGCATGTAGGCAGATATTGACATAGAGTTAGCAACCATGTGGCTAAAAGAATGCCCTGGACAAATGAATTCTTGGTCCTGCTACCCCCTCTCTGTTTTATAGTATTATTCCAATTCTTGCTGCCATCATTTCTAAATAAAGGAACCATATAGAATACTATCGGGCGATGGATTTTGGGATAGACTAATGAGGGTGGTGGTGGTTGGATTCGGTTGGACGAACGGACGGGTCGGACGGACGGACGGTAAAGAGACGGAAGACGAATTTCAAAAAAAAATTATATACCAATTGATCTGCGTACTGATCAAAACACGTGGAGGGAGCGTTCCGGAACGATAAAAAAGAAAGGTCCAAAGCGCAAACTAAACCTCTTGAAGTCTGTGTTGGGTATATGCTTTTCCAGACAAGACAAAGCAAGATAGAGGTCTGATGTAGTAGCTGAAAAGCTGCTGTTATCATAAAACTCAAGTAGTACTATGTATATTTACGTGTGCAGTTAGAGTGCCATCATGTACGGTGTTTTTGCGATCAGATTATTATGCAGGTCCATCGTTGTTGTTGTTATACTTTAATCCGATGGATGATGATGGAGGGAGCGATAAGGTTTGTATAATACCGCTCAGTCTTTTTTTATTTCGCCGATCACGCTATCTCTTTGCTCCAAATTTTCCCGCGGTATGCAGCAACATTTTATTTTATTGTTGTCCCGCCCATTTAGTTGATGCTGTAATACTGCTGTTGGCCCGTCCACCACTTACTAATGCCACTATATTCCAGGCAAAGACATTCTTAAATCATCATCATGCACAATGTGTATATTATCTGATGCTTGTCACAAATTTTGTTTGTTCAGATGCTGATAAGCGCTTATTTTAACCATCCGATGGTTTTTTTGTTCCCGCTGACATTCTCCCAGTGATGACTATGGAGTTTTCTGGTCCTGGCTGCTGACTACACACTATGTATCAGTTCATCTTCTCGACAAAATCTGTAGCATATTCTGCTGCTTTAGTAAAGAGTAAATGATCTCTTTTTCGTTTGGGGTACTAGATGTGCTACTGTGTGATATGTTTTTCGTGGTGTGCGATCTGTCGCTAATATGTATAATGCAGAATGTGTGTGGATGTGTAGGTGTGGAAAAATCCATGCATATAGTAAGTAATACATGTTCGCGAAAGGCAATAGAGCTTTGATATCTCAACTTTGTTTTCCAGTGTGTGACTTGTATTCATTTATTATTATCATCCCGTTATTTGAAGAGAGGTGCCTCTACCGGCATCTGGAACACCAGGCCTTCCAGCTCCTTCCAGTTATCAGCACGTTTTTTCGAATACTGCATCATTTCTTGCACATAGCTTCGGTAAAGCGAAGATACAAATGCTTGCTGCTTATGCATGTAGATAAGCTCGCACCACATGCAAAATTGAATATACAATTGGCGACATTCTTGATCGTGAAGCTCTGCTTGATCCTATTACAAGTACAAGGAACTGGTCAGTTGTTTTTGACTATTACTACTAATTACCAGCTAACTTACATTGCGCAAAGACTCTTCTAATCGTGCCACTTCAGCTTCTAACCCAGGTACACCCTTGTGTTGATTCACTTTGGTCTTGTTGTTTGCTATCCGCTTCTTTAAAGATTCAATCTGACTGCCACCCAGCTTGTCGCGTCGTTCCTCCAATTCCTTTTTTTTTTGTTCAAAAAAAGTTTCAATAATGCATACATGCTTTGAAAAAAAGGGAAGGAAAAGAAGTATCGAGCTGCACTGCCTTACCCGAAAAGAGACCAGTAGATCTCGGAACCGTTTCAGATTCTCCAACACGCCATCTGCGGACGAGCTGACCTTTTTTCGTGCCTTACATGTTTAGTTTTAACTTTTTTTCATATGTAATAAACAACAGACAACAGCGTATAAACTACACCAAAAGCTCCTTACTTGATTTTCCAGAATCGTACTTTCACGTTGCATGTGTTTGGCCACATTTTCATAACCTTGAACAACTTGTTGGCATTGTTCACAATCAGAATGGTATCTATGCTCTGTTTCTGCTAAAGCACTATTATTTTGATAATAACAAAAAGGCCATTCCCAAATATTTCAAATTTAGAGTTTCTCTCTCTCTCTCTCTGTGCCACAGCATTCTTCTTTGTGTACCTACTTTAATGTGATGCTGTACCGCACAAAATCGGTAGCTTGGCCATGCATGCGTCGAATCATGCGTTCCATAATAAAGCAAAGATTGACGTAATGCTCGATACCGGCATCGACGCGTTGTCGGGCTTTTCGAAGCTGTTCTTCCAGAGTTTGGGGTATCATCGATTGGATTTCTTCAATATTATGCTGTTCTCGTCGATATTCTTCGTCTAATGAAGGTGGATGTTGTTTTCTCCATGCGGCGAGTTCCTGGTAAAATAAAGTCAATACCTCTCCTCCCTCCTTTCCCCACCCCCTGAACCCCTAGTACTACTTCTACTTACTGAAGGCTCTGTCAAGAATTTGATCACTATATCATCATTTCGAAGCATTGGATGTCGGATAACTGCATTGATGTAGCGTGACAGACCTTTTCGACGCTTTTCCAGAAATGCGGAATCTCCTACACGACGGCGTGGATGCGATGATACTGAGAAATTTAAATGTTGCTTGTTCTTCTTCCTTTCTTCCTGATATTGTTCGTTTCCTCTCCCTTTCTCGCCCCATCTCTTTTTATCGCTACTACCACTACACACCTCCGTTTGACCAGCCCTTTCCCCTGTTTATCCTCAATCGAATCCCCCTCTGCAAATTAAAGAAATTATTGAAACTCACTTCCGCCTACTTTTTTCGGTGGTAGTGTAGGAAGTGCACGAAACGGATATCGACGACCTAGCACTTCCATGAGCCACCAGAAATCACTGAACCGACGCAAGACGATGGATGATCGTTTCTGACTCTCGACAATGTAATTGACGTGTTTAAAAAAAATGAACCCTTCCCGTTCAGGCGCAATCGTTACTTTGATTTCTTCCACTTTTTGAAACCAGCTTTGTGTGTCCAAAGATTTCGTTGTGCGATGCTTTGTTTCGTTGCTATCTCGAATGGTCGTGGTGGTGGATGCAGCGTCCATGCCGGGATACGCACCATTGACCTTGGGACTTTTTGGTGGTGACGATGGTGTGCTGATATTGTCTCCATTCATTAATACGTTGCTTAGTGGATCGGATTTCGGTGTGGGTGCTGTTGCAGAAGATTGTCTACTGTGATAGCTGTTGTTGCTGCTGTTGTTGATATTGAAGGTAGGCTCAGGAAGCGCTAAAAGAAAAATTTACTCTGCTAGTAAGAATCAACATAAAAGTGGTTTCAAACTGGTAAAATGTAATCAAAGCTTTTACCTGAGCGATTACGATGAAGACTATGCAACGATACATCTAGTGGGACACAAGGGGGGTTTTTTTCAAAGTCAACTCACGATAGGTAACTTTGGATCACTTTTGCTTTGCTAATTGGCTAAACCACTAACCTATTCTGTTTTGCGCACACGCCACCAATGCTAATATGACGTTGAACTCTGTTCTTCCTATATCGCTGGTCATGCTGGGAACTGAGATGCGCATGATCTAGATTCAAATAGAACCCGGCCCGGCGATGACATTTTGTTAAATCGAACAAAACAAAAGATGCTGGAAGGGACAGGAAAGGCCTGTGCGTTTTTTCTATGTCGCTTTTTGGGAGCTTATAGCGCTACTATACCTTTTCAATATCCATAGCTGTCACACCACTTGATTCAAGCATTCTGTGCAAAGAAGGTAATGGAATACGGCCATAACGCTGGATTTGTGAATACATGGTATCATATATTTCCGGTAAGCGAGCACCATCTTAGAAGAGTAAAGTCAGTTGCCTCTGTTTCTATGTTACTTTGCTACTATAAGGGAACGGGAGAGTAAACACTCACATAGAACATTAGACACGGTGATAGCAGGACTACTGCTGCTGCTGGTAGTTCTATTTTCCGGTACCACTGTTGCTGGTCGATGCATAGTAGTAGGAGAAGTGATAAATGCATTCTGCTCGGCCATGGGGCTAGTCAGCACCGGTGTACTGGCTGATATTGACTGCTCATTAAATCGTGTGGAGACAGACGGAGAGCCGGCGATGCTACTCCATGGATCCTCTTCGTATTGCGAAGCATAGAATGACGTAGTAGTAGTGAGTGGAGAGCGGTTGACATTCGGAGCATCAAAGAATGAGGACGAGGTGTTTGGACCATCGAAAAAAGAACCCGAGAGAGGATCGTCTTCTTCGTGTAGCATTTGTATAGCGAGTTTTAGTTTTCTGGCCCTGTTATTTTACTCTCTCTCTCTCTCTCTCTCACTCTCTCTCTGTTTTGTGTGTGAACACGGGAAGAAGAAGAAAAAAAGATAAGAAGGAGTTTTCGGCTTATGCTTGTGTGCAGGCGCAAAATTGGAAACCCGCATATTTAAATGCTAAACGCTTGGCGCAAGCGCAAGTTACTTTTCTTTTTTTTAATATTGTTCAATTTCAAACTTCCCCCCACAATGCTCATTCTTCTCGGCGTGTTCCTTATAATTATACTTGGTAAGCATTCTTGTTGACTTTCTCAAGTAATGTTAGCTTCTTGTATATAACCAATTGTAAATATATGCTCAATTATAAATTTACATGTGTTCAGTATGCTTCCTTCTTCGGAAACAGATATATGAAGTTGCGAATCGCGGAGCCGATCAAATGAATCGGTTGCTAGGCTACCACCTGTTGCCAACAACGCTTGGCTCATTCGAAGACGACATTGATGATGGATTGACAAGCTCGCAATTCGACTTGGAAGCCAACAATGTCGAAAACAATGACCAGCGTGCGGGTCTGAAAGACAAGGAGGAGATACTGAAGATCATGAAGAAACAAAAGGTGTCGTTTGACGAAGCCCGACTCATTCGTCAACAGCGTTTGTTGAAGAAAAATGTAAGTTATAATATCCATTTTCTTGTGTGTTGGTTGCTTGGTCTAATGGTTGAAAGTAAGAATGGTATAGTCTATGTCAAAAGAAGAGAGAGGGCTAATTCAACTCTATATAGAATATTGATCCTGCTACTGGCCTACCGCTCGATCCTAAATTCGTTACATTTGGACCTTCGCCTTCTCAAAGCTCGTCTTCATCTTCATAACAATCTATAGCAGCATTTCCTCCCTCCTCTAACCCGTTAACTCATAACACTTTGTAGCAGCATAACTTATAAACACATCCCTTCTCATCGTGTCGTCCCCTTTATCCTTATCCCATGCAAATGCAATGTAAATCCTTTTGTCCGTCGATACCACAACCATATCTTCTTTATCAAATCTTTATGGTAATAAATACTATTATATAAACAATTGAACCGTCAACTATATCGATGTTTTATACTTGTAACAATGCACAGCGCATCCTAGCCGACTTTTTAAACAAGAGCATTGTGTAGAAATGACGACATGGTTACATAGGGACGGATGAAGACTTACCATATAGAGTAATATAAACGAAGCAATGGAAAGCTCTTACGACTTTACTAATAAACGGCAATCAGTTCATACCAGCATCAGAACCCCAGCCAGCCCATGATATATGATTAGGATAAGCAAGTCGCAGTTATTACAATAGTAATCGCTTGGTGCTTTAAACGCGGTGCACACGGCCTTGTCTTTTTGCATGATGGGATGGGCTGCACAGAAAATCCAATTCCTGGATTTTAAACAACGAAGAGTGTTGCCATGGAAATCAGAGAAACTCAGGGCGATATCACTACCAAATTACCTTTTTTTCAATTTACACTTTCTTTTTGACAATATGACGACCGAAGGTATGCAAAGTAAAAGCCGACAGTAGAAGATTAAGTTATGGGAGCGAGATGAACTTAATTATCCACATTTTCAACCTACCACACTTGCAATGAAATAGAACCTCCAACCAACACAATTCCAGAAGCACCAAAGCAAACACCAGCAGCAGATACTTCATCACCAGCAGCACCGACTGTTTCAGCAGGCTCACTGTTTGGCAACGTTACCTCGACATTTTCGTCATGGACGTCATCTATACAAAAAGAAACCGAAAAGGGATTTCCGGGCACGTTCAAACGGTTCAATGACCTTTCACAGACGCTTCAAGCAAAAGCACGAGAACTGCCGCAGAATATCGCCAACCTTCCAGGTTCATTTGAGGCTGAACGAGAGAACTTTATCAAGAACAATGGTGCTGTGCCAAAGACGACAAATACACGGGGTGCAGGTGATATATACTCTATACATATGTTGTACAAAAAGACGCACTATAGATTTAAAAGATTAATATTATGGATTTTTTCTAGAATTGGTTGCCCCGTGGCAAGGTTATGGTCCATATGAAAAGGAAATGAAACAACGCATACTTGCTTTATCAAAGGTAACCACGTCTTGCCAGCTCTAGATGATGATGATCGTCTTGAAGAAAATCATGGAACATATACATATAACATAAAATGGAGTAGGACGAACGAAACTTTTTATTCTCGCCACCGGAGGAAACAAGTTTTCAATTTGATTTAAAGGCATATAGTCAAACCGCCAAAGCAGTTTTGCAATATGACGATGAATTAGCACGGAAGCGATTCGAGCTTGTGCCGCAACAGTAAGGACGGGCACCTCTCTTCTTCTACTTTTTTTTTTCTTTCCGTGAGTTCATCTATCCAAGTGTCTTATATTTGGGCATATATCTCAAGGGTGCAGGAACCGATATTTTGGAGAAACTATTTCTATCGAGTCACACTGGAAAAACAAGCTGTGTTGAGCTCGACGGATATTGATCCAACACAGATACAAGAAGCGGATAATGATGAAGAAGCAAAACAGCAAGAGGTAGGATAAATCTATTGATGTGTGTTGTAACAACAAGATATGCGTAACAAAAAGAAACTTAAATTACGCTCCCCACCCTTTCATATTTAGGCAAAGGAAGGAAAGAATGATGTGCTTTTCGATTATCCGAGCGATGATGGCGAAGAGGATGAAAAGAAAGGTCTGTTCATGTTGTTATTTGCGATATTTGAAAGAAATTGCGCCTAATGGAATGACGTTTCTGGGGGTGGATGGAATTTTGAACAGAAGATAAGCAAAAGAAGTCTACTTCTACCTCTATGGGGCCAGAGAAAACAACAGCCAAGTCACCCGCAGCTGTTGCCAAAGAGCAGATATCGTCATCGTCACCAAGTAAAAAGAAAGAAGAAACCAGTAACAGCAAGACAGAGCAGAACTACGAGGATATGGAGGACTGGGAGCGCGAGATGCGAAAGGTTGCAGGCGATTCACTGTAAAAGAAGAAGGTTAGAGGAAGCAGCTGTTGTACATATTCATCTCTCTCTTTCTCTTATGTTCAATTACTTTCATACTATCTTCATCCATACATATGCTTAAGCCCTCAAAGAAAAGACTTCTTCCACTTTATATCTTTTCTATCATTCTTGTGAAATAGTAAACTATATTCAATACACATATATATTATGTATCAAGAAGACTTGCGGAAATGTTGATGAAAATGAGTGCTATCGATCAAGCGTGTCTTCTTGATTGTAGGCTTCACAGAGGCCTTGTGAATAATGGCCATTGCAGTATATCATAGCAGCCAACAACACGAAGCCTTATTCTTTACGTTATTTATTGTTGATAAAGCCACTCATCGCATCTTATGGTGTGCATACGATTGAACACCTCGTATTCTAACCTTGTGTCCTGCGACGAAACACACCGAAATTGATTTACTCATTTCAGAACTTTATAAAATCAACACGTTTGTTCTTCTTCTGAGCCTTTCGTATATGCTATATACCACGCACCGGTGTATTACTATGGCTATGATAATAACCTTCTTGTCGGATAATTACACGGTGATCTGTAGAAGAATCGACACTTTTGACACCATATCGTCCTTCTTTTGATCATCCATCAGGCACATTCAATGTGCGTGTGACCAGCGTTAGGAAACATGATATTAACTTCTCCTGATACTGCTTGACTGTTTCGTTGCTCCGTTCCTAGGTCGGTAGGAACAACGCTGCGCAAGATCTCTACCATATCACAAAAAGTAGAAAGTAAATGTGTACGCTGACATGAGAACAGAGCTGTATAGTATGAGTGAAGATCGATGGTCTTTGGGTAACCAGTTTACCAAAACAACAGTATATCCCTCAAAAGGTATACTCGGTCTAGCATCGGAACTGTAGCATCTTTTCTGAGGCCAGTGGAATAGCAAGATCCAACTACGACAGACACTATTAAGTCTTATTGTGGCTGTTCACATACTAGGAGGAAAAGGTGTGAAAAGAGTATATATATTTTGACGTATCAGGACATTTCATATTCTCGTGAAAAATAGCTTGCAGCTGACTGTTCAGCCATACGCATGAGTTGCGGGGTACTCAATTGATGATGGCCTGCTGTTGTTGTCCCATTCCCAGCCAATAACCGCTTGAGCTAATTTGAAAAAATAAAAAAAAGTTGCCATTTAGCCGTTTGAGCTCATCCTTTCCATCATCCTTTTAAAAGCATTACTGTCAGCAACACACACACACACTGTTCGCCCCTATACCCCTACCCCTCTACCTTCTCCCCCCCCCCGGGCCAACAGTTCAAGCTAACCTCTTGAGTAACAAGAATTTTTAACGTATCGCGTGCATGTGGAACTGTAATCGATTCGTTCTTCCGCTTCTGATCAAGAATAAATGTCTTGATGCCCTGTACACATATATAGCGTCATGGTGGGTTTGATAGATCAAGGATTATCTAGCAGTAGTAGTTGCCAAAAAATGATATGATAGTAGGTCTGACCATTACCTTGAAAGCAACAGCACCTGCCAGTTCTTCTGGAGTTACATCATCTATAGCCCTGTGCTCAAGGTACACAACCCTATAATAGTCAAACAGTTGTTGCGGTCTAGGAAACTCAAAATGTCGTTCATCTAATGGTGATGATAATGATGATGATATCATTTGCTGCAATTAATAAATTGTATGCAAAGATAATGACAGGTCCAGTCTGCAAAGAAATACATTACGTGGTGGTGGCCGTAACAAGCTCAAATCTTGCTTTGAACGTTCACTATCAAAGGACTGAATCAACCATTGTTGGGAAGCGCTGTTTGGATCCTTGGTGGTTAAAAAGACATTACTCGATTCTTTGAACTCGTTACCACCCTAAACAATAGGAAAATATCCTTGCCATTTCATGCAAGATATACCCCTCCACAATGTTATTATCTCGTGAAAATTGTATCTCCAAGACCAGTGCAATACCTGTTGATAAAAACGGCACAACACGACACACCCCCAAATTGTTTTTGTTACATACCCGAATATCCAGAACTAAATGCGGAGCCGCGTGCGGAAAAATATATCCGTCGCGGTATGCCCATCGTTGATTTACAGCCAGTCCGGCTTTGCGAGCGTATTGGATCAGCTGTTTGTCCTTCTTCAACTCCCCTGAGAGGCAATCGCATAAAAGACGACATACGGACGTTGGATGTAGTATGATCAGTACTTGAATCTTTTCTGACTTACAAGACAAGCGTATGTGAAAGAGAGTGATGGGGAGAAAGGGGACTGTTGCTGTATAAATAGACAGTAACAGAAGACCATCCTTTTGAAGCATACCTCCTTTTACGTCCATAACTATGTAAACACAAAACGAATTGATCAGGATATCACGCCAAGAGAAAGAGAGCACAAGGAAGCCCGGCCATGATGAAAGTATATAGCCTCCACAACAACATACCAAGCCCGGATTTCTTGTTGATCAAAAAGCCGTCTTCATGCATCCACAGCTAGTACAGTCCACGCACGCATACACATGTATGAGCAGCATGTAGTGCTCGGAAAAATTAGCATACACTGTGATCCAGGGGTGCTGATGGTGATCGTTCCCTTACTTGCTCCGGTGGCGTATGTCTCTTATTACCTGGTTGATACTGTCTGTCATTTTCTATGGAGGTAGTTTTTCTGTTAGCTGGTGAATGCTCTTCCGGAAAATCATATACTGGTAGTCTGTAAAAGAGTATGCACCTGAGTCCATATGATGATATTGGCATCGTTCTGTTGATAGTGTTTCCCCCGTCCCCTTTATAGGTGAGTATCATCAACCCTTTTGGAAAGTTTTTATTTTTTTCGGGAACAAGAAGAGGATATTACCGTCATGTCTCCACCATATACATCCACAGCCATCCCGGCGTCACGAGTCCGAATGAAGAAGAAGCCGTCTGGCAAGTCTTCGCAAAAGGCCATAGTAGTCTTTATACAATGTGTAAAAGTAGTAAAAAGAAGAAGAGAAAATGCTGCAGGAAAAAAAACCAAGGCACCGCTTTTTATAAGTAACATTCGTAGCAACTTTAAAAGTCCGTCAATGAGCTGACTCTTTGCTGCCAAGTGTGTGCGTATAAGTTGATGTCTCAGGCACACTCACTGACCAAAGTGTTTGTCCCCGTTGCTTTTTCTTTTTCTTCTTCTTTTCTTTTTCCTGCCGAAAATGCCCCTTGGCGTGCACTACTTGATCAGCTCTCCAGGAAATCTGCTACGACAAATCCTCGCAATACAAGTCATTATGGCATTCTCTGCATGCTTTCTTATTTTCATCACAACAAACACGGCTGTATATCGAGATGCTTCTGGTAAGGTGGAGGAAGACGTGTTTTGACGACCAGAGTACTTTGGAGAGGCAACACGGGTTATAGTATGAACGGTAGTCTTTCTAAGTCTTTGTATTCTGTGTATATAGTATATTACAGCGAACGACAAAGTACACCAATCACCATCATTCTCAGCGCAAAGGCGTTTGACAGCATTGCTTTCATACAGCAGACGCATCGACTTCTGCCAAGCAACGGTCATCAGCCGCCACGTCCACGCATCGCTATATACACCACGAATGTTTCAGACGACGACGGCCAAATGCTGCTCGATGTTTCAGAAGACATGACAGCACAACAGCAGCAGCTGGGTGACAATAGCGATGCTGTCCCTATGGAAACTGCGGGCTCGGTTACTACTGCTGGTTGTAGTAGGAGTCTCCTGGTAAAAGTACTGGAGACAATCATCACCAAGAAACAGTATGATGATGGTATTGTATTATGGATAGACCCCACTGTCACCCTAGCAAACGCGCATCTTTTACGCGAACTCCCGAGTCTAGTGCTGCAAAACAACAATAATGCTGGCATATGGGCTCCGAAAAGCAATAGTGTTCTTGCACCCGAGAAACCCCCATCATGCAGCAGTGGTACACTACCACGGATTGTTGGTTTCGATGCCAGTAACAAGATGGTTGTCAAACATCTCCTCACCAAACTTCGAGCGTGTGAACAATAGGAAGATGCATCTTATTCTTTTGATTGATTATACCTTTTTTTTTCCCGTAATAAGAAAAACAAAAACCCAGTGGCACCCCTAACAGTGGTCTGTCTTAGTATTATAAAGTGGTGGTGGTGGCCCTGACGATGAAACTGTGCGACGACGCAATTACGCCCAATGATTTCTGTCTTTTTTATTATTTACAGTGTATACAGAAGAGAGTAATGTGTGTTATGCAGATTATTAGAGTGTGTATATGTTTTTCTAAAACGGTTTTGCGCACTTTCGATATTCGATCGTCTTGGTCTTGGGACATTGCATTTCTTGCCATGAGATGGGTATCATTGTTGCACCTTATCCGAGCAAGAAAAAACACTTGATCAGCAAAATCTCGCCTAGACGGTCAACCCGTTTTACTAGAGACTTACCTGCTACACTCGTTGCAAATATGACACCAAGCTCATTTTTGGCTGTGGATAAGTAGTACGAGCGAGCAGTACCAAGAGAAATGACTTCGGCACGGACAATATCGCCTGGTCGGAACGAGTTGATGATTTTCACCTTGTCTTTTTCAACTGCACGGACATCTTGTGTTCTACAGTGGAACAACGTGTATAAGTACCTCACACTGCCACCACACTCCGCGGACATACACACAAACCAGCTTGTTGGCTTACCGAATAGTACCAGCAAAATCTTCTTTGCATGGTGTATCACCAACGACCATGATAGCAATCAATGCACTATGTGGCGCAACGCGAACCACTTTACCGGTAATCTAGTAAAATAAAAAAAAAGCAAGGAGGAGGGAGGGGCTGCTGTCAACGGAAGAGGAAAAAAAAGTTCCATAGTAGATCTGATCAACTTACGATGCTACCAACTTCTGGTACTGCTGATTGTTCTTTTTCACGCGACACAGTCATTGTGGGTAGCTTTAAAGAAAAAACGAATCGTTCAATAAGTAATTGATGTCTGCCCGCTTTTTGCAAATGTGGAGTCGATCGTTCCGTGTTTTTATGTGTGTTGGGTGGGTGTGTGTAGTCTACGAATCGTTTTTACCTCGCCATCCATGTTTGAATCAACAGATCGTAAACCGACAACACTAGCGTATAATAGGCCATCACGTTCATAGGTGCCTGCACCTGCAACATAATCTTCGGCGTATCCTAATCGTTGGCCGGGAGTTACTGCTGCTGCTGTTGTGGTTTCCATTTAAGATTGTGTGTAAAAAAGAAAGTTTTGGATTCAAAGAAAAACAAAAAGTCAAACGTGCTACTGCTGCAAACGGCGGGCTTTTCTGTTCTGGTGCACATACACCCACCCGAAAAAATAATTCCTGCAAAAAATGTAGAAACAAAACAAGTTGCCACCACCTTACAATACATCGATTACTGGATCTCTTTTTGACCTGCTACTAATGTATCCCATTACTCTCCCTACTAGCCCATACCACAGATCCAGTTATGGCAACAGCTCTCGACCGGCCCATGACCCGTATGTTAGATCACGTTGAAGAAACAACATGAAGTCTTCCTTTCTGCAAGGTAACAAACATCAACCCTTATTATCGGTTGTCAGCAAGCTCTTCGGTTTCTTTATAAACTGGAAAGATTAACTGTTTCGTGATAATAAAGAGCTTAAGTATGAGTAGCATAAGCTGTCATAAAGTAATAATTCAAGTACATCTTTCGTCCGTTGACATCGCGGTCATTACCGCGCCTCGTATAAATTTTCTTCCGATGCTTCTCGGATACTTCTTCTCAGTCATATACGGTATGTATACATTATGAAACGTGAAAGTGTGGCTTTACAGCACTCAAAAATTCCCGCTGCCTAATGTCGTGAAGCTCTTTATGTACTGTGCAAAACAGAACACCGAGTTACCGTTCTCCAAATCCACGGTAATAGCAAAAGCTTATCGAATAGACTTTATACCTACGTATAGGCATCATGATATAGTTTTTTGGGATAAAGGTGCCATTGCTTATCGTAAACTCTTAAAGATAATTGTCCGAAAGCACACACTACAGCCATTTTGGTATCCCCACCGCTGCCAAAGTGAAATAATCCATCACTCAACCGTTACGATAAGTCGAGATTCGACTCGTGTCTGTCAACGCGTCCGACACGTTTGTTCCTGAAAATGTGCTAGTGTAACACAGGCGCTTGCTACCTACGGAATACACCAGTAAGACAAGCCACGGGAAACGCGTATCGCCTTATCCCAATTCTTTGTCCGATAGCTCTTATAGCTCTTAGTAGTGGTTTCTCCCGTTCTCTCTTTCTCTTTAATTGCATCTGCAACCTCCCCCTTTTCTTTCTAAACAAAAACACCATGTCCGACGTTAAAATATTCACCTACGAGGAAATCGCAAAGCACAACACACGAGAAGATTTGTACATGGTCATCAGTGGCAAGGTGTATGATATCACTGCCTTTGTAGATGAAGTACGTTGTTACAAAAAAAGATGTAGTACTAGTGCAATATACACCAGAGCCAAAAAAAACTACGCGCCAAGTATGAAAAAGAAAGGAAAGGTCTCACACACGAACAAACATTTTAGCATCCTGGTGGTGAAGAAGTCTTGATTGATGAAGGGGCCAGGGATGCCACTGGTCCCTTTGACGATGTCGGTCACTCGGAAGATGCACGCGAACTGTTAGACAAGTATTATATTGGTGACGTTGATCCTGCGGTAGCGTGATATTTTGTTTATAGTGTCCTTGGAGAGAGATATATGAGTATGTGATGGTGACTAACCTTATTTTCGTCGTCGCCTGCTATTAGTCTCAACCTATTGCTGCTCCAAGTACAACCAACAATGTATCTTCCAGTTCGGCACCTCAGGGAAAGTAAGCAGTCATAATGGATGTGGGACGAAAGAGAGTGTGTGTTTGTTTTAGGTGTATAAGAGAAGGAAGCTGACTCCGTTTTATTACAGTGCCTTGCGCATCCTCGTTCCGTTGGTCATCATTGCCGTATGGGTGTACTTCCGCTTCCTTGCCTAATCTTATAATTTTCTCTAGATCAACCCTACACTCAAGCACATATACACACTACAATCACGCTATTCCACAAAAAAAACCTGTCAACAATCCCGTAGAGGCAGAAAACTGCAAGTCTTATAACCTCTTTCTTTCACTGCATGCTTTTTTTTCAGCCACTACTTTATATATATATACTAAAAAGGTTCGAAATGAGAAAAAATATACAAGTTTCAGACAAAGGGAAGAGAGGAATGCCTGGGAGAAAGACTGAAACGGATGTTATTAGGAAGTGACGGTAAAAGGATGGCAGGGGCGAAATGTGGGGATTTGGGGTTGACGAACGATGTGGAATGAAATAGGCTCATGATTCATCGGCTGATAAGTCGCTCAATTCAGGACCATCATCAAAGATATCAAGGTTCACTGAAAAATCATCATCGCTCATCAGCATTTTGCCTTTCGAGGATGATGTTGCTGCTATTGCTGGTGGCACCACTAGCTGTTGTTTTTGCTGTTGCTGCTGCAACTTCAGATCAACAATGCTTCCACCACCGATTTCAGAGCCAGCTTCTGATGATGATGGTGCTGTGTTCTCGTCGGGTATCACGTCCGAGAAAAGACTATCCAACGTATGACGATCATCGCTGCTGCCTCCACTGCTATTACGCAGGTTCTTTACCCTTACTGCATTTGCTCTTCGTTTGCAGATGTTGTTTTCGCGTACTCGATGAAGTATACTTGGCTCGTCGTCATCATCTCCTTCATCATCACCATCGTCCCGTCGATGTTTCAAGGTGCGTAAGCGTCGGCTTCGTTCTGCGAGTCGGGAATTAAAGTTGAGAGTTCGTGTGGGTTGTGGTGTACGAAAGGCGAACCGTGAACTCGGCGATTTGAACCCTGGGCTTGTAGCTGCTTTATTGTAATAGATTTCGGTATCGTCGTCCAAGTCATAGCGTAGGCGTCGCTGTTTGGCTGTCTTTCCATTGTTCTCCGTACTTTTAGACGACGATCCTGTGTCAGCATTCGGATTGATCTGATAAAACAAGCGTTATCACGAGTTAGTTCATGTTCTCTTTATCATCGTCATCAATATAATTCAAATAAGCAATTACCTTTTTCTTTCTTGCATTTGTGCCGTCGTCAGAAGACATGATCTGCTTGATATAAGGCTTCCCGTACACATAAAACGGATTTCCTGTCAGCACTTCATGCTCGACCAGGGCACGGACCAGTTCGTCTTTACTCTACAAACAATAGGGTCAAACTTTCTTTCTCCTATCTGTAATACACGCTGATCTTTGTGTCCGTTATCTTACCTTGGGCAGCTCACGCGCTATCCTCTTACGAAATTTCTCTTCGCGGAGCAACCGCCCAGGATCGCGTCGGCCTTTGCTGAACAGACGCGAAGGATCGTTCGTAATCTCCTACAGAAAAAGAACGAGTTAGAGCCGTTTAAACTTCTTTTCTTTGACCGTTTTCTTATTAACTATACCTCAAAGTCTTTGATTTCTTCCAAAAGCTTCATGTGGCTTTCCACCTTTTCGAGGATAGGTTTGCGATCTTGAATCAACTGGCGGAGCCGTGCAATTTCATTTTCATGGAGGCCGAGAATAGCATCATTGTACTCGGCTAGAAAGTTTGCTTGTTAGTTCGAACATGGGACCCTCCCAAATCTTCGAAATCAAACAACGGTAAGAGAGCACCTCCCCACTAAGAGCATGACTTACGTTTAAAAGCTTGGTCGAATTCCTGACGCTCTTCCACTGAGAAATACAATTGATCCCACAGCCTATTGAGATCTTGTCGTGCATCAAAGATAAACTCCTGTATTCGTTCTGCCTTGAGCTTTGTCAGTCTGTCCAGCTCGACTTCATACTAAAAGACGAAGAAGGAGTAAAATATATGTCAGATATGCATGCACTAATACTACTACTGAAGCCATCTGGTCTACCTTTTCAATATCCTCTTTCTTCAATCCATTGCTTCCAGCTAAGAAGCTTTCACGGTCATGAGCTGGTATCTTGAGTCTCTCCCACAGATGGCTCAAATGTTGTATCACTTCTTGTTTTCGAAACTCGCGTTCCTGCCTTATATCCTCAAGCTGAACAATAACAACAACCCCTCTTGCGTCAGAATTGTACTACAAACTTGCATGGCCTCAAATAAAAAGATACAAATGGCAGTTTTCTTCTGTTTACCTCTGTTATTCTTTGGGCGATGTATCGTAGGCCTTCATCTTTTATTAGTTCTGCATACAAAGAGTTCTTTTCAGCTTCAGGAATATCGTCGTGCAATTGATACATGGCACTATCTCGATCGCTTTGAGGAGCCAATCCAAGCATGAGCCATAAGTCAATCATCCGTTTTGCGCTTTCGTTGACGCGTTGTTTTCTTGCACGCTATATAATACGATTTAAAAAGGGCTTCCAGTTTAATATATATATGCTTTCCCGATGGTGGTTGGAGTTGTGTAGTATTAGATATCAATTTACATGTTCGTTTTGACATCGTCGTGTTTCTTCTTCTAAGGCAGTAACCGCCGGTAAGGACACATCAATGCTCTCGTGCACAATAAGGCTGGTGTTGACGAAACTTTCTAGGCTGTCAACAAAGGCATTGATTTCATGTTGTAACTCTATATTACAATATTTGTTGCTAACGTGTGAATATAGCTTGTATCGTTCTGGTTGTTACGGCACGTAAAAATACGAAACAATTACCGATGACGCCATCGAGACGCTTTTGATAATGCTATTGTTGTTATTTTCGTTATGAGAAATTTTGAAGAAAGGCCCTCCAAGAATAAAGAACAAAAAAGGTGTAATACCTTTTCCACAATCTCTCGTTCCACTTTAAGATCGTGTAAAGTCGACAGCAGCGAGTTGCTATAGGTAACACTGTCGTCAACGTATTCACCCATCAGTCGTTTTAAAGCAGAGATGCGTTGATATTCTGCTTTAATGGCTCCTTCAAGCGATTCTCGCTCGTATGCGATTTGGTCATGGTGTTGATCGGCTACGTGTAACATTTGATTAAAAAGCGTTCGTAATTGTTCGTCTTGTTTGTCGCTTGCTGTGCCAATTTCATCGTGAAGTAATTGAAGCTTTTGAAGTTTTTTATCGAGTTCGTTGATTAGTTTTTTGGTGGACATTTCGTACGGCCTGTGTTTTAATTAAGAGATTGAGATAAAGAAAGGGGAAGCTCCCCCACGCGCCTTTGCTTACTCAAAATTAGAAGCGCCAGTGCGGAACGAGAGAGGGGGCGTATTTCTCTCGTGTTTCAAAACGCGCTCTTTTACTTGGCGCAAAACTTGAATGTTGTGTCGTAGAAAGATATTAGCCAAGTGCCTGTATAACCCATGCAGCAGCTAATTGAGCTGCGTTCAGAATCCAAGTACGTACCATTTTTGTATGAGTGTATATCATTCAGTTGCTCGGTGGTAGACATTAACGGTTTCATGCTGCTACTGATTACTGTTGTTGAACAGCTGTGCGCGATATCTATACTCGAGTATTGAGAAGGACGAGAAAAGTCAGTTTAGGAGGTAGAGGCGGTCTTGTGCTTTATCAGAAAGCTGATAGCTAATTGAAAAAGAGATCGCGATTTGCAGGGATATGTTCAGTCTCCATAGTTAATACTGTAGTAGTACATAGTAGTAGCACATACGCTGCGCCTTGATTGTTTATGTGGCACTTAGCTGCTGACCTTGCGTGACACCCTATGATAAATTTAAAGTAATGATTCGTAGGAGCAACTATTTAAGGATCGGCCACCTGATCGTTTTGTATTTTTTGACTCATGTTGTAGTTCTCGGGTAGGATCTAATTTTTTTTACGAAATGGTGTAATGAAAAGTAATAAGCATTCGGCACAGTAAACTGAGAAAAGACACTTCCATCATCATCAATGATCTATGTGGACCATTGATTTGCCATCGGACGGCAATACTAAGGCTTTTCCGGTAACACGTAGCGTGCACCACTATATTACGTCAAACAGTAATACATACACGTCATTGCTATATCCCGAGCAATCAACATCATATTAACCACAATATACAAGTGGGATAACCGCTTAAAAGCAAATAAAAGTTCTGATCAGTAGCAGTAGCACAACATGCGTGAGCACGCTGTGTTACGTGACCATGCTCGGTGATGGTTTTGCCGTACACACTGAGAACCAAGTCGACGAATTACATAATAGATAGCTAGCTGTGTACTCTCGAAACTCGTACTTACAAACAAAAATATAAAAGGCTTTCATAAAATACCATTTTTCTTTTGGTTATTCACACTTCACATCCCGGAACAAATCAAAAATATTCTAAATGACATTGACTTTTGTTGTCACGGGCACGTCTCGAGGAATTGGTGTTGAGTTTATCAAGCAGCTCTCTGCCAAGGGCCATACTGTGTTCGCATGCGCACGTAACCCACACCAGTCAGATAAACTCCAGGTCTTAATCAATGATATAAATGTGCATCCTGTCGCTATGGACATAACAAATCAAGAATCCGTCAAGGTAAGCTTTAACTTTTACAACCATGTCACATGTGTACTTTGCGTTCTATGTGCGTTTCATTCTCATCCTCATGAAACATGATATATAATTTTCCTTTCTTTTCAGGCAGCTGTCGAGCAAATACAGACACTGGCCCCCGAAGGCATCGATGTACTGATCAACAATGCTGCTATTCCTGGCGTTTCGGGTGCTAATGTTACAAATACGTAAGAACTATATATAGAGCTTGCAAGAAGGTCTTCTCCTTTCCCACGCACGCACCCCGTTCTCAATTCGACACCCACTAAAATTGATAATTTTTTTTCCAGTACTGCAGAGGACTATATGAATGTTTTCGAAACAAATGTGGTTGGCACTTCGACTGTCACCATGTCGCTTTTACCATGGCTTCGTAAGCGTAATACTCGGCATATCGTGAATATTGTCTCGATTATGGCATCCATGCAGAATACTACCCGCGGAATTGGTGCAGCCGTAAGTCGTCTTCCTTCTCTAGTGCATTTGCTACTTAGTACATCTTTGAGTATTAGTAGCAATTATACAGTAATACTAGCTTTGTGAGTTAGTCTACCAAAAACTATATTGCTAAAATTACCTCCAATAGTACCGTGTATCCAAAGCAGCGGAAAACATGCTGACAAGAACATTGGCCGGAGAACTGGGTGAAGAAGGATTTGTGGTTCTGGCATTGCATCCAGGGTGGGTAAAGACAGATATGGGTACCGATCAGGCTTTGTATACACCGGAAGAGTCGGTCAGTGGTATGCTCTCGGTTATTGGAGATATGTCACTGGAAACCAATGGCAAATTTATATCCTTTCAAGGCAAAGAACTTCCTTGGTAGGACAGCAATAGAGTTTGTGTGTCAATGGAAAATAAAGCACTTTTTTCCATACTTGTAAATATAAATGAGACTCATCTGCATTTGCGCTACATAATTGACATGTTTCTTATTTTCTCTACTGTGCCACATGCATTATCTGTATACTAAAGAGGCATTTAGAAAGACTTTTACGTAAAAGATAAAGATTTACTGAACAAGGATGTAGTTTAGAGCTTTCATGATTTCAGGTCATTGGCATTTTTGAGGGCTGTGCACATTGTCTCCGAAAGTTACGTAAACATAGTGTTGATTGTTTGACTGCCCAATATCACCATCTCGTACTTATTACTAAGTTCCTCCATATACAGCTGTATGCGTTCATGTTATCTGAGAACGCTTGCCGTAAGTTCTCCAAACAATCTGGAGGCGAGTTGTACCGGCATAATTAACCTTCCCCGGCGCCATAAAAGGACAACATCTAATTGTTGCCGGACTGCATCTTATATCGTTGGTGATTTTATACAAAGATCGACACAAGAGATATGTACTTGCCGATGAGAACTTCAACATAACTTGTGGTAACTTGGCGAGCTCGTCGTACGAATATAGTTGCTCATTTTTACGATCGCCATATTACATTGCGCCGAACTCAATCGCAAAGCAAAAAGGATGCTGAACAGCTGCACGCTTAGTATGAGAAGTCCTTATTTACACGTGAATGTATGAGCGAATAATCAAGCAACAGTTGCTGTAATAGTATCCTGTACGTCCAACTAAACAAAGTACATGATAAAGTTCGAAACTTGTGGGAAAATATGGCGCCATTACCTGTGCTCGTAGCCCAGATGCCTCGGAGCAGCTGCCAATGACAAGTATACAACATATATACTGTAACGCTAGATACTCTGAACGCAGAAACAGTCAAGGTGAGCTATGTATAGAGTGTAGTCCAAATGTAGATTCTTTTCAAGGAAGACTTAGTGACCTTCCTCGCGGTACAATCAGGGGGAGAATATTTACAAATGAGGAATACCACACCTGAAAAACCCCCAGTTGTATAATGGGAAAAGCATGTTGAAATTGTTGGGAGACTAGGTAAGAAAAAGGAAATCACAGAGAAAGATACGATAGACACTTTGAAAATGCTGTAAAGACAAGTATATATGTGTGTGTGTGTGTGTGTGTCTAGAGGAGGACATCCTCTGGAGCAGATTCTGGATCCTTTTCAGCATTAAAGTGGCATATCTGCACCCACAATTATAAAAGTAAGAGCTGTTTTCCTCGGGTTTCCTAAAGACATTTATTTTTCACAGCTCTTTATTAAAGTGGCTTTGTGTTTTATGGCTCTGATTCATCACACATTAACACGGCTACTAGTGTCAAGTTTTTCAAATATTCAGTTGTTGCCGCTGATTGTAGTCGTGCTTGCCATCGAGGCGCGGAGGAGTAAAATAAAGAGAGCTTTGATTTTTTGTGGCAGGCACGAACTTAAACTTTTGCCAACTCCTTCAAGGAATAACAATAATAATGACCGAACACGAGCCGACGACCCTTTCTCAAGCACCTACATCACAACCCGTTAATGCTCTTACACCACCACGCTACACGCTTTCCGACGGCGTTAACTTAACCACCGTACCACCAACATTTGCTGCGGATGGCAACGACGATGCGAAAACAACTGAACATGCAGTGACAGGTCGAGCAAGCCTCAACGTAAATCAACGATTAGTGCTCATGACCGGCGTTGGTAGTTTTTGGGGATTCAGTATTGGCTCGTTTATTGGAGGACGACACGCCGGTCTTCAATACCTTGCCGAGAACGCACATCGACTACCAACGACAGTTCAGGGATGGTATTTCTACCACAAGACGAAAAATTATCGGATGGCATTGGGTGGCATCAAACGTGGTGCTCGGTATGCCGTGCGAACCGGTGGACTTTGTTTGATGTATGGAGCTCTTGAGGCCGGATTGGATCATATGCGTGGTGAACCGGACGTAGCGAATTCTGTAGCAGCAGGCGCTGTCTCTGGCGCCATCTTTTCTACCTTTAGTAAGTTTCCCCTACTCTTTAAGTAGCCGCTTCTTTTGGGAATTGCCGTGAATATTAACAAGGACCACTAGCTAAATTATCACGGGGGAGCGTAAGATATTCGCTGATGTTTGGAGCCGCATTTGGTCTGGTGACGGGTGGATTATCGGATATTCATCGGTGTATTTCTGGAAACTCGCCAGCGTATGTCGCATGGATCCAATCTCGACTGGACAATAAAGTACAACAACGGTAGAATACCTGGAACAAAGCTAGAATATGCTCGAAAAAGCCCGTTCTTGCGCTGCCTTGTGTGTTTCTAGGCAGAACCAGGAAGAAAGGGATGGGGGCTCGATATATAGAAAGAGAGGGGGTGGATTTGGCCTGAGCGAGCGGCATCAGGCGTCCAATTAGTATTCCATGGCTTTTTTTATGAGCCACCCCCGCGTTTTCATTAAAACATTGGGGGTGGGGGGTTGTTTAGTGCATCTGTAACGTCATCGTCATCATCATCAAAGTTTGGGAGACAGTGTGAGAGAGCTTTGTTGCAAAAAAACTACGCCGTTGCCTCTGTACTTATACTCTTATCCGGGTGGCCAGTGAAAGAAGAAAACGCTTTTGCTACAATACAAAGTACAGCTCGAGCCACAAAAAAAAATATAAGAAAAAGCAAACCCCTAATCGCTTTCCGGGCAAACGCTTGCCATGTTCAACATTGCTCCATATATTGCAAAAGCAAGTCCTTCGTTCTTTGTTTCCTTCTTTCTCATATCCGAAGCTTAAAAATGTCCATGACCTTTCATTTCGGATCAAATAAATTAATCAACTGTTTTAAAAATAGTATGTGCGATCGTTGCATGCCCTTAACGACCATTTGGAAATACCATACAGCCAAACCCAGTTTGGTGTTGTACTCATGGTGGATGTTGTTGGTAAATAAACGTCAAAACAGTGCAGACCTTGATCTTTTGGTCACTCCCTTCTTTGCTCTGCTGTGCTGTATAGACACATGCTCATTCCTTCCTTGTTCTCTTCTTTCTCTCCCTGCAGGTTTCAGCCAGGTAACAGATTCTTGTAGTCCACACTTGCAAAAGAAAAGACACACACCCATTCGAACCACTCGCAGATACACACGCACACACCAAAGTCTTTCTGCAGTCTTTGGCCGCTCACCCACACAGCGGTTTTTCTTATTTCGCAATTGCCTTATTCTGTAGTTGACGACCCTGGCTTCCGAAAAAGGTGAATCAGGTGCCGAAGCAATCGCATTAGAAATCGGAGCATATATGGGTGAAGTATGCATGAATCTTCCTTTTGGCCGTTTTGCATGTTTACTCCACCTGCATAGCGTGCATCTAACAACATGATTCATGAAAACTGCCCCTCTTTGTTTAGTGCATTCAAATAATCGAATTTTTTGGTGGCGATGTTGTCAAGTTCCTCGGTGATGCAGTCTTGGTGAGCTTCCAGCAGAATCCACGAGAACCTGGTGCCTCGAGCGAAGCAGACTCAGAATTAGACGGAAGCTTCGGTAACAGTGATCGAGAAACGACAGAACGGCAAAGAAGAGTGCTTGTACGACGTGCAGTAGAATGCGGCCAACAATTACTAGCGCGTCTTTCCCATTATCGCGTGTATCTTACTGCAGAAGAACGAACAAAGCATCGAACGACGTCAGGCGAAATCGATCGACAACAGACACGCGGTGCAAAAATGCAACGATTTTTTTTATTTGACGGACAAAGCTCGTCTAGCAATGAAGATCAACAGAATAGACGGCCATCCTCTTCCACGATAGCGACTCGTCCAGCCGGCGCAGATTCGATAGACCATCTTCCCGAATACCCTGACGAATACTCGATGGCGTTTGACTTTTGGAGCTGTCTGCCTTTCCTACGGCGCAAAAACCAGCACGACAGGTTGTATGCACGACGATGCAGTGTGTCTACTGAATCGTCAAACACCAACAAGAACGCAATCGACTTAGAGCTTCACATTGCAGTGTCTTGCGGCGACGTAACCAACGTCATCATTGGGGAGATAAATCCTGAATTAAAACCACGATCTACGGATCGGTTTCCAACAGCAACACACATGAATGCGAGCGCTGGTGGTGACAACAGCAGCAATCGGAAAAGCAAACGGATATCCAAGCTAAGTGCGGACGAACTGGATGCAGTCGACTCGTACTTTACGGAATACAATGGCAGATTGGAGTATGCCATATCTGGCCCAGCAGTTGAGTCGCTGGAGGAAGCCCTTTCAGCAGCAAAAGCAGGTGAGATGAGCATCACGCCGGAGATCTACTCGCTTGTCTTTACCCAGCCATTGGACGTATCGTATGAGAAGCGCAAAGAGTTCTACATTGTGAGATCACGAGAAACAGACGAGCACGGTGGCCGAAAAGGAAGCAGCAACAGCAGAGGATTAGGAGTGCATCACTACCATCACCACCGCTATCACCACAGCCAACATCCTTCTACCAGCAGCGAAACAACGCCAAACGCGAGCTATCTGTCGGGCCGGCCCGAATTGATGAGACAAGCATCAAAATTAAAGATCGAACCACTTGTGCCCAAAATACGCAACATGAACTACTTTGAACTATCCAACGAGTCGAACGCAAACTACTACAAGTATGTCAACCGCAGCGCGCTGTATCGCCTGCAGCACAGTCCAGATGGTAATTTCCCTGCGCATTTTCGGGACGTCACGATCATGTTTGTCAGTCTAGGCAAGCTTAATGTTGCCACCTCGGAGGGATTGGAATTCGCGCAAAAGGCGACGGTCCAGGGGATGCAGTTGCTCGTGAAATACGAAGGCATGCTGCAACAATTTGCTGTCGATGACAAAGGTAAGCGCAAAATCAGAAAATAAAAAGAAGATGGACTCTTTCCTGAATTACAACGCATTGATTTTACTTAGGTGCTACCCTCTTGGCAGTGTTTGGTCTACCTCCACTTTCACACGAACGTGAGGCAGTGTTTGCAGCCAAGGCAGCCATCGAGCTGCGCGATGCGTACCGTGAGCTACAAGTGCCCGATTTCTCGATTGCACTTTCAACGGGCATAATATTCAACGCCGTGCTTCCACAGGGCAATCCCTACCGCCGTGATCCCAGCATTTCGGGTGACACCATCATCCTCGCTGTACGACTCTTGAAATTCCCATTCGCCAAAAAGAACGTTGTGTGCGACGCGGCAACCAAGCAGCAGATCGGTGGTCTGTGCGAGTTTGAAAACATGGGCGAACACTTTGTCAAGGGCAAAGTCAAGCCAGTGCAAATCCATGAAATACAGAAATTCGGCCAGAGCGGCAGCAAGCCGAAACGCATCTCGCTCCACAACTTTGAAAATGATGCCGACTTTATTGGATATAAGCTGGAGCTGGCTCGTGCTAAGCAGCTGATTGATGATTGGAACGAGGCTCAGAACCATCATGTGCTCGTGATTTCGGGTCCTTCGGGCGTCGGTAAAAGCTTTTTCTGCCATGCATTGAACAAGAATATCACTTCGCAAGGTGTAATGACATGGTACGTGTGTATTGAAAATAGTGTCCTAGCACGAATCGAAAACGACTCTGTCTGTTCTTTTTGCACCACGATAAGAAACTAAATTTCTTCTCTCTCTCTCATGTGCGGGAATCAGGTGGTCATCATCAACCGAAGGTAATGTACCTCAGTTATATAATTCGCGGTGCCAAAGAGACTAACGATCCTCTATATAGTCGAAAAGAGCTCTAAATACTACCTGGTGAAAAACCTGCTGCTATCGCTATTTGAGATCATCGATTCTGACAAGATCCCCGCCAACACCAAGCGCCGCATGTCCTATCTGAACCCTACGGCCACAACTGCATCCGGAAACCACCTTGTTAATCCACAGACGAGTCCCACCAGTGTCAGCGCGGGTGGTGGTGGTGGTGGTGGTGGTGGTGGTGGTGGTGGTGGTGGTGGTTCTGCACCAGGAGATCGTACCTCGTCAGCCTCGTCTATATCAATCATGAGCAACCGTGAATGGCTGCGTCGTCTGGCATCGTATTCATCCGCTACACGCTCGACTTCCGGAAGCACGCACAATCTGGATACCAACAACGAAATGGCCGAATTGATCGTCCACTGTTTGCAAAAATGTGGCGAACAAGAAAGCCTATTGCCACTCTTCAAGGCCGCGTTTGCCACAATGAATGATGTATCCGAAAACCGATATACTGCTCGACTCGATGGCCGTGCACGAGATATATTACTTGCAGCAGTGATTACCCGTATGGTGCGATACGCTTCAGAGCATATCGGGCTGGTGTTGATCTGTGATGATGTTCAATGTAAGCTACCTTATATGAAAAGGAGTAGCTGGTATAGCATGTATTGACTCCGTCCTCCTGGTTTTCTATGCTTGGAAAAAACAAAAATTCGCTGCTGTTGCTGCAGGGGCGGATTCTGCATCAGTGCGCGTGCTTCTCCAAATACACGAGCAATGTCAGCGTGTGATGATCATCATGGCAACACGACCTATCCGCGACTACAATGTCACTTTCATGAGCAAGTTTTGTGACTCGGGATCGCACGAAGAAATCGCTTTGAATGGATTAGGCCCAGATGAAATCGGCGAGATTATTTTACAAGCTTTTCAAAGTGGCGTCAAACGCATAAGCCCGCAAATTGTTCGAGTTGTTCAGGTACGAGCTTGATTTAAACTACTGAATATCACAACCACTTAATTTATCCTAAATAGAAACGAACGGCAGGGAACCCTCTTTATGTCAAGTACGTTTTTGATGCACTACCCTTGCTCTTTCGTTTTTGCGCATACAAATAAGCTTACCCTCCCTAACACCACATATCTACAGGAACATGGCCATTATCCTTAAAGACTTTAACCACGTCACTGTGGTAAACGGAGAACTTGTACCAAGCAGCAACGAGTTTGATTTAGCAGATTTACTTGGCAATTTTGATTACAAACGGATTATCAAGATGCAATTTGATCGTCTGGACGCCAGCTTCCAGGAAATTCTGACGGTACGGTTCCGGACAACAATGATGGCTGTTTTGGACTTTTCTTTCTCTAATCTAAAGTACTGTCTGTCACAGGTTGCCAGTTGTTTGGATCAATACTTTACCTTATACGAAATCGAAGCCGTCATTAAAGAAAGTAATGCGATATTCAAGGACAATGATATGAGAAAGATTACAGCAAGCATTCAAAAGTACGACGTATATCACTTTCTTCAGCAAGTCGATACACCGAATATTCAAGAAAACGAAATCGTTGTGTACACATTTTCTCATATCACCATTCCACAAGCCATTTACGATATGGTATCCTACGAAACTCGCATCAACCTTCACCAGCAACTTGCGAAATATTACGAAGCCCAGCTCACGCGAGAAAACTACCCTGAGCTCCTCAGCAAGGTTGTTCGGCACTACATGAAGACGGACGGCCTCGGCAAACAACTATTTTATTTGGAGCAACTCGCAGATCTCAACATCAAATCGTATTTACTTCCTGAAGCAACCGACAATCTGAAGAAAATCGTCGAAATCTTGGACAAAAACGACAACATTGCAGCCCAGTTTGGACGGGTCCACTGTAGCGATATCTATCGACGTCTTGGCATGTGTTATACCATGCGGACAAAGCTAAACGAGGGTGAACGGTATTTGTTTATGGCACTTGAAGCGCTAGGCGAGCCATGGCCACATGGAGGCCTTCAATTCATGTACAAATTTTGGACGAATCGAGCAGCACAGTATCAACATCGTCGATGGGGTACCTGGAACAAATATACCAAACATTCCAAGAAGCTCATTTGGAAACGCGTGGTCGAAATCATGGCCCAACTCTCCAACATTTACTTCTACACGGGCAAAGGACGCATGTTTGTATATACCTGCTTGATCGGTCTAAATGCGTGTGAACGACTTAATGAGGACGGACCGAATTATACCTTATTCTTGGCACGCAATTCGCTGTTGTGCTGGATCAATGATCAAAAGGAGCACAGTATATTTTACATCACCAAAGCATTGCGGCACATGGAGGAAAAGAACGATCCTGGCACCTTGACAATATGCGCATTCCTTTGCTTTGCAGCAGGAAAGTTCAACAATGCCCGCGACTTGCTGTACCAGTCCATCCAAGCAGTACGCACGCTTGGTGTTATTACCGATTGTCAATCATTTTATCGATCTGTTGGCTTGGTCATCACAATGCGAATATTTGAGGGTCGACTGGATAGTTCGCCAGAAGATCTGCTTCTGCTTAAACAGATGGCTGACACAGCACACAGTAATGGCGACTATGAGGCAGAAATTTGGCTTGGCGTATACAATATCGGGAATGCGATTGTCATGGATCGACTACGCGACTGTGATCCATTTGTAGCGTTATTAGAGGCTCACGTGAAGCTGGCAGCTGATTATAACAAGATTGCGATCCATGGAACATTGATATCTTACTATGCACGCGCCAGAAACTACGAATATGCAAGACATCATCTTCGCAGCCTTGTCAACAGTCTTCCTGCGCTCACTGTGACACGTACGTTTTTTTTTTGCTGGGAGGTATCGATGATATAGAACTCGTTATTGACTTCAAATGTGTAGCAAACATATTCCCGATCTTTGGGCTGATTTTTGCTACCATGGGCCTTTATCGACTTATTGAGTACGAGCAAGTAGATTTGGTCTCTGTAGACGATGCACGAAACTATGATCGATTCAATCTCGGTGTTGCAAGAATCAATCATGCATTCCAACAAGTGAAATTTTGGGAATTCACACAGCCGTGCTTATATCTTGCTCGAGCATTGCCATATATTAGTACTGGCCGTACAGTAGAAGGATATCTGGTGAGCTACGTTTTTTTCTTTTTCTCCTTATACCTGACACTAATCACACAAAAATTGCTCATCATCGATATTATGTGTTTGTGGATATGCTATATGATACTAGGTATTAAGGCACGGAATTTATGAAATGCATTTTATCCAAGAAATACGGTTCTTAAAAGCATACTACTGGGCCAATCTCGGCAAGTATGCTTTCACACCTTCAGATCGGATTGAATGGACTGAGCGGGCCCGTGCAGATCTTGATAGCCTCAATATTCCAGCACATATTTACTGTAACCCAGACCCAGCCAACCTGTATTCACGTGGAAAGCCGGCAGATTTATGTGCATAACTCCTTTTGTCATCATTGATGGATTTTATGCAGGCAGTGAAAGGAAGAAGGTGGAAAAAACCAAGAATGGCAGGTTCCTTCTCACCGGTATTACATTTTGTCATCATTTTTATTGTAACTGTTGTTGTCTCCTCTCTTTCTGGCCCTTTATAATGTTTTGTTGTAAATATGTAAAAATAGTATACCCCTTACCCACCCTCCAGCCCTGGCTCTTCGAACTTGCTTTTACTCTCTTCTAATTTCATTATATACTACTGCTACGGCCCTTGGGTTGTTTTAATATAAATATATACTATTTCACCGTACAATATATACATTATATGTGTAGTGTCCATGTGATGTTCAGCAACATAAAGGGACAAGAAGTCTTCGAGATTGCTGCTCAGTTCAAAGAGACTGAATGAATCTACCCTTCACCTGTCTTCTACAGCTATTTATACATATCTGTGACGATGAAAAGAAAAACCAGATAAATGTTATATCTGCTCAGCTACCTGACCAATACATCTTGACGCTGGTTTCTAATCGAAACCGCTGTTAGTCATCCACAACAAGCTGCATGCACTGATTTCTCTGACCGGGATGTCGAAATTGTCTGTCGCTAAAGCTAAGACAATTGGGTAAGTCCTACGACTCGAATCTGAACCCATAGAGTGCTGTGATCATCTCTCAACAATTTATTGCAGCGAAACAAAACCAAAAAGGTTTCTCTAAAACTTTTAAAGGTGTGCAAACATCCAAGTGAACCAACTCGATCATCTCTTTCGCTCGCCGGGCAATATCCGCAGTCTTTCTTTGATCTTTCGGAATGAACGATTCTTCTAAGACACAGAGTAGTCAACTGCAACAGCTTGTGCAGCAGGTGGCACAGCAACAAGATTTACTGCAACAATTGCTGCAAGCCCCCGCCGAACCGATCAGGCCCCATCTATGGTGGTCCCAAGCCTCCATGATATGCCTACACGACAAGCTATTGAGTAGCAACCTTCAGCTGCACTTTGGGAACTGCTGCCTATGCTGGAACGAGGTGTATTTGCCCAGACCCTTTCCGAGGAGGAGCACAAGGCTTTGATTGAACAGTATCCACCTATGGCAGGTGTCAAGTATGCACCCCCCCCCCCAGCTACTTTTCCTTAGATGGCTTAACACTTCTCGGCTGGTCACCGTCATGAAGATCAATCCTCACGACAACTCCAGTATGCTTTGTCCGCTATTCTGCGCCCTTTAGATGTGTTGGCGCACTTTGTTGTCAGTTCTTCTTCCTGACCAAGTGGAGCGTATTTTTGCCATCGTTAATGATGTTCGTACCTTAGTTTTACATATTGGTAGTGTTGCTAAAGAAGCATGTAGTAATCTGGCCCTGGGGGCGGTGAACCCCTCTTTTACTTCTTCGCCCTTGTCTGGGGATTGTGACTATACCATGGGTAAAGATCAATTTAAAGAAGTAGTGTCCACCAACACGACTCTCCAAGAACCACTCAGAGATGCCCGACCTCTTCGTCGTCAAAATAATAGTTGGTTTTTTCGAGGCGTCCCACCACTGGGAGGTGGCGGCCAGCCAGCATACAATAACCCCTTCAGCAACCAATGAAGCTCCAACAACAGCTGCAACACTCACTGCAATCGGCAATCCCACAACAACGACAACCATAACTGAAACAACAGCAGCAACGGTCGATCCACCAACCTTTCTCGACAGCCAATAGGAAATGCACCTCAATAGGAGGTCGCCTTTCAAAATTTCATTAGGCTTGGGTACGCCTGACCAACAATTCATAGATTCACTCAGTCATCAAGGACGGTCTTCACCTGCATTTTCGCTCGAATCCACCTCTCACCACCAAAAGACTCGCCACCACACCCCACAACCAATCTCAACGTCAACAACTGCTTTGACAAGAAGTGGCTGACCTGCTTCTCAAACGCGCCATCAAGCCAGCAGATTCTTCCTATGGTTTTATGAGTACCATGTTCCATATCAACAAAAAACAAGGAAGTCATTGTCTGGTACATATTGAACTTGCGCCACCTCAATCAATATCTACATGCCCCTCATTTTCACATGGAAACACTCCAACAGGTTCTGCAGATTAGGGGTCGCAATCTGACCCGCGGGTCAGCCCGTCTAACCCTTGACCCGACCCGTTAACCCGTTGTGACCCGTGTATACATATAATATGTATGAGGTACTTGTATTCAAGTAGTCAATCTTCTTGTTGGGAAGCATCATTATACTATAGGATGTAGTTATCAATATGTCTGCTATAGAACCATAACATAAAATGCTTTTTATTGTGGAATTATCTTTTATATTCAAGAGTAAAGGATAAGTAAGCTTTAAGCAATATATGTAAAAGGAGTAAAGAAGCAGCAATAGTACATTATGAGAACGGACAATAGAGGGTGGTGGCAGTAAGAGACGAGAATTGACAAAAGACTGAAAAGGAATTGAGAAAAGAAAAACGAAGGAAGAAGGAAGAAGTGATAAGAAAAGGGAAAAGGAAAAGGATTATTAGGGGCATATAGGGAAGTCGATTTTCAACCAAACTTTAACCATTATGCTTTCTTTAATACATGTGAGCCCAAGCAAATTCTTTTGTGATGGCACAAAACCCTTAGCCTTTAAGAATAATCACACAAAACGTAGATGTTACTAGCACGGCTAGGATGCGTGTCATTATCTTGGAGAGCTGTGTATATAGGTATATATATGGAGTTTTGCACTTCCAGTGCTCAAGCTCAGGCTGATTGACACTTCCTTCATCATCATATCGAAATCAGTCTTGACCTGTCAACCCGAGTTTTGACCCGTCGGATTGAACGGGTCGGGTCGGGTCAGTGTTTTCTTGACCCATAGGTCAACGCAAGTTCCTTTTCGTAAACGGTCAATACCTGGTGCTTTTTTGGATGCGACTTTTCTAAAGCAAATTTAACCAGTTCGTTAGTAAAAAGACGGTCAGTGTGATTAGTAAGCTTATCATCATCCTCATAAACATTATGAGGACTGAATTCTGGTATTGGAGCATTAGGGCGGTGCCTAGGTAAGTTAGTACCAGCAAAGACTGTTTGTAAATGATGTTTCTTGCGATCAGCAGCAACCTATGGGCCAGCCGGAACCGTAAAACAAGGATGGATATTCCTATGCTGCCTAATACGTTTTATGGATGCTGTTGTTTTAGAGAAATCATCAGATGCAAGTTTGTTGCAAAATTCTTTCCAAGTTTGGCGACGGCGCTGTGCTATTAAGGATTTAAAGTGTTTACGTGCTTCTTCATGTTTAGTAATCCAATAAGCTTTTTGTATACCTTCTGCTGTACGACGGCGTTGGTAATAAGATTCTCTTTCATTGAAAGCTTTATCCAATTCATCTGTCCAAAACCAATTGGCTTTTGGCATCCGCGGTGATTTTCTTTTGACAGTTTGGTCTAAGATACTATGGATGACATCAGTAAGATCCATGATAGTTGTTCAATATCTGGTTTGTTGGTTTCAATCAGAGCCTGCTGTAGTTGTTGATGTATAGGCGGGATATTGTTGGAAAATTGCTGAATATACTCCTTGCGGATGTCATTATCAGCAAGTTTACCAAGATGCCATAATTGACGAGGATGATCCATGCGGTTAGGAGGGGAGGATGTTGTTGTGAATCGAAGGTGTACGGGTTTGTGTTTGGATCCAAGATCGTTGAGTATGGTAATGGATAAGGATGGGGTGGCCAAGTGTCATGTACTAAAAAATAAATCAATTATACTTTTTTCTTCACTACCATCATTGTGTTTGTCAAAAAAGGTATATTGGCCATAAGCAACTTATGCGTTTTAACAAAGCAAACGGTTTTCACTAATCCAATTACGCATAGCAGTGCCGCGCGGATTGGAGTTGTGATCACCAGTGAACCTTGGATCGCGAGCGTTGAGGTCGCCACAAATGATCGTGTTAGTAGTAGAGCTGTTAGTATGATGCAAAGAAATATTGTTTAGAAATTCTATGGCTTGGAATCGGGAAAAGTATGATAAGGAGGTAAGTAGACACAGTGGATTATCAAATCAGCGATTTGGTAGGATAATATATGTGGGGATGGTGATGGTAAGATATGAACAGGATAAGAACAGTTTGGATTGATTAATAAAGTTATACTCATTCGACCTCGGTTATTGTTGGCAGTTGGTCGACCGTAAGTATGATGTTGGATTCAATCTGTTGCATAACGTTGAGGTAGGAGTAACCATGTTTCTGTAAAATATAATAAAGTAGAGTCTGAGAATAAATTAATAATAGGGTGGATTGCCTGTCTGGTCAATCCATTGGCATTCCATAACGTTAGTTTTATATCGTTATATATTATATTAATTATTTATCATTGAGGAATAATCAATAATAAATAAACAATAATAAATATATATTTAAATATTTTACATTTAATTATAGTTATAAAAATTAGTTATAAATTTATTCCTTGAATAAGAATACATTTTTCTATTATATAATCTTTTAAAAGTTCTTTTTCATTAAATGCAGATAATGATATCGATGAACTTTCATCATCATCATATCCCTTCCATTTTACATAAAATTTATATTCTTTATCTTCAATAGAATGTTTTACTATCTTTTCAATTTCATATATATCATCATTTTTATTTATATCTCTTATTTTATTTATATCAATAACTTTATTTTTATTTTTATTACGTTTTCTTTTCTTTGTTCTACCTTTAAATTCAGGGAAATCATCTTTATTAACATCACTATGTTCAGTTTCTTCTGAATTTATATTATTATCATTATCAATTATCATATCATTATTTATATTTAGCTCCATAACTTTTTTCTGTATAAGTTTTATTTCGTTAATTTTTTTTAATTGTTCCATTTGGTTTATATATACAATATCTACTAACTTATGTTCACTTGGAAACTCAAAATTATTGCTTTCCCAAAGTTTATGATGAGATTGTGTTATTATATTAAATTTTTCTGAAAATCTCTTAATATTCTTCAATAAAAATGCAATCTTTAGTTGTAAATTAATATATTTATAATCAGTTGTTTTTATAGTTGAATTATTATTATTAAATCTTTTATATGTATTATTTAATTCACAAAATTGATTTTCTACTAAATTTCTAAACTTTCCAAATACTTTATTAAAATGTTTTTCTTGCTCATTTAAATTAATACCTGCTTCCTTTCTTATAGGATAGAAAAAGTTATTATCATTAAAATTTTTACCTTTTTCACTACATAATTCATAAAATTGATTTAAAAATAAAGGATAACCACCATCAAATGCAATACAATCTTCTTCTTTTATTATATTATATAATTTCATATTAAGAAACATTGTTCCATCTGAACTTTCTCCACATAATTCACTTCTACTAACAAATATAACCATTTCATTTATATCAATCAGCACTTGAGTTCGTAAACCACTTGTTTTTAATTTATAAGACCATTTTTTTTGTAATGATATATCAGGTTTATTATATTCAATTGTACTATCATGTCCATCAAGTAATAAGGTTATATGTTTTAAATATTTAGGATTTTTAATTAATGCTGATAAAATACGAATTTTTATATTAGAAAACATAGTTAAAAGACAATCATTAACTTTTTTATTTAATTTTTCATAATTTTTAATCCAAAAAGATTTATAAAATGTATAATATGATGATGATGGTAAATTTTTATTTATTTCTTTATGGGTTTTTCCTTCTAACAAATGATAAATTAAATATAGACCTTTATCAATTTCTAGATATGGAGCAGGATATTCTTTATTCATATATAATTCATTTAAAAAAAAGAAAATTGCTATATAACCTAATTTTTTTTTCAATATATCTTTTATTTCATTCATATTTTTAATTACTTTTAATTCTGACCTATGATTAAATTTTTTATTAATTTTTTTCCAATCATTTTCAAGAAATCCCCACTTATTTAACACAATATTATTTATTTCTTTTTTTAGATCCTCTTTATAATTTTGATGTTCTTCATAATTTTCTACTATATATTCATCAGCCATAAAGTTCATAGTTCCTTCCATTTTGTATCATATTTTTATATTTATATAAATATTCAATTTTGATTAAATTATTATGTATAAAATAATTTTTATGTAATAAAAAAAATAAAAAATAAATTTTATTTAATTGTTTAAATAGAATATAGTTATTTATAATTATCTCTCATTAGTGGATGGTGATGGACTATTGGGACGGGATACAGATTGTTGTTCGCCTATACCAGCAGGTTCACCACTGGTGTCTATCAGGATGTCGTCATCTAGTTCGGGCGGGAGATTGGTGCCTAATTGTTGTAAAGCAGCAACTGCTGCTGCTTCAGGATTGGATGGTGGCAGGGATTGGGTTTGGGATGTGGCGTGGATTTGATCATACTCATCCTGTGTAATTTTTTTCTCAAATAGAAACAACGTGCTACAGAAAATTTAACAGGTGCGTGGATGAAAGTTAATGCTTTCATTAAGTAGCCATGATGCACCTCTAGGATTTTAGCTTCGCGATCTGCATTGGATAAATCAGCTAATTTTGGATATTCTATTAAGGAAGGGTCCAAAGGGTTAAAATCATCTTTAAGATCAATGCCAAGTTTGAGTAATTTATTAGTAATAACGCTAGTATACTCTTTATGAATTAAAAGAGCAGCTGTTTTATGGTCAGGAAAATGAATATCAAGTACACACGAATTTTTGATTCACAAAGTGCGTAGGATATTAAGTAGATGTGAGATAGTCATACGATGCTTTCTTAGGATATATATAAATTGATATCCCTAGTTAACTGGAACTTCCGGTAAATGGCGTGCAGCAGCCACGATAGCCCTTTTTTTAGGTGGACTTTTGGTTGTCGATTTACCCTTAGCTGCTGCTGTTGCATAGCTTTTTTTGGCTGGTGTATCATTTGTGGTGGTAGTGGCTGTAGTCGCATATTTAGACGCAATCGATCTAGTTGGTTTGTCAGTTGAATCCTCCTTTCTGAGAATTCTTAGTAGATGTTGTTGGTGCTGTTGCAGCTGTGCAATTTGATTTTTTGCTGCCTGGAGCTCTTGAGCTAGATTCATATTTTCTCTTACCAATTTTGTGTTTTTAGCAAGAGCTTCTGCTAATTGTGCGACCATTTTGTTCGTTTCATCCATATGTTTATGTAAATTGTGAACAAATTCAGGGGTGTTAGGATGCAAATGATCATAACGGTTAGTGTCGTACTCCTCTTGAGGAACAGATAACTGTTCCATTTGATTAGCCCAAGATTATTGGTTAGTTGCGTTTTGGTTAGTAGTAGTAATATTGTTATTAATATCACTAGTATTATTCGTTACCAAATTTTTGTTGTGCTTCCTCCTATTCAGTTTCTATTTCTGAATCAAGGTCAAGTTGGGTGTGCTTTTTTTGGTTTTTTCTATTGTTACCTGGTGGCTGTGTAATTTTTGCCCTTGGCTTGAAATTTAAAGCAGATGCTTCTCCATCTGCGACAGTAATAGCCTCTAATATACCCATATGGGCATATTGTTTTCTGCACTCTTTGCAATGGAAAATAGGTCTAGGTAGATCATATTTCGGATTAGTATCGGTAGATAGATTAATCGTACCAATATCTTTGCAGATAGGGCACACAATGAATGGTTTACCATTCATAAAGTTTTGTTGCACACTTTTAATGAAACTTTTGTCCAGTAGCGCCTTTTTCTGAGCACTAGACCCAGGTTTTCCTCCTGAAGTAGCTAAAGGTACTAGTTGTTGTTTTGTTATGCCCATTGTTTGATCACTACCAGGTGTCAAAGTGGCACGTAATGCAGAGGTATAGTGTTTCTTGGCAGTGGGGACGCGCCACGTATAGGCTGGGATGACTGATGGCCTTCTTTTGTAGGTAGATAGGCTGTTAATTGCCTAAGATGAGTCTAAATCTCTAATAGGTGAAATGGCGATGTATGAATGTCCAATTTTGACCGGGATTTCGATGGGAGGCGATGCTTTGGACGGTTCTAGTTGCCCTGGTAAGGTTGTTGTATTTTTTACGGTTGTTTGTGGTACTTTTTTGATTCTTTGAAAAATAAAAAGGAAAACGTTTGTGTACTCGCACATAAAAGTAATGGAGAGAGAGGAAGAACCCATGGAGAGATGGCCGAGATGAAAGGGTTTGTTTATTAAAGAGCATGAAGACCCGCGCTCAATGGAGCATATGGTCGCCCTGAAGTGCTTATATACAAATAAATTATGTAACAGTCTAGAGATATAAAAACCCTGCAAGTTGCCAGGGAAAAAAGTAGTAGGTGGGAAGAGAGTGCAAGCGAAATTCAAAGTAAGTGTAGGAGTGCGCTAAAGAAGTATAAAATAAAGAAGTTCAGCAGCCTGTGTTTCGATGGTCCATGCACAGTTGGTTAGTACAATCTGAGTTGAAATACGAGTGTGAGCGTTAGTGTGAGAGTGTGTGGGGAGAAGGGGGTGTATGCGGGAAAATCTTTTTTTTGTCTTGTTTGACTATCTCTTTTTTTTGACTTTTTTCTGTTTTGCGTTCTTTTTTTTTTTGTTTCTTTGGTTATTTTTGTCTATAGTTCAGTTCTTTTGTTTTTTTTTTTTTTTTGTTTTTTTTCTTATTCTCAGTTTTTGTATATTTTTAACATTATAACGAAATGCGCTCATTATGAAAAAAGATGATCGACTGTTGCAAGAAGCGTGTCGGGGTCGAGTCGTGGTGGTGGTTCTGGGGACAACCAGTCCAACAGTTCTTGTCCGAGGTCGTCGGAGTCCGGCCAGTCATCATCCGGGTGGCATGTTCGGTCGATATCCGCCATTACTGCCATGAGCTTTGGCCAGTGGCGTTGTCAATAGTCGATGATGGTGGGGGAGCGCGGTTTCCGGCGAGGCAGCTTGTTCAACAGAAAGTCGATCGGGTTTGGTTCCGCGTCAGCAGGCACCCCAAGACACGACGCCACTTGGAGGCAGTCGATCAGATGATGGCGACTTGTGCGAGTGGTGCCACAAAGGCAAGAAATTGGACGACCTGGTAGCCAACCCATGCGCCAGCGCAATAGGCGGCTCCTGTCACGGGTTGTCATTGGTAACCAAAGAATGGGATCGATACCGAGGGAGGGACGTGCGGCCTTCAGTAGTTTCCCGCTGTACTGATCACTGCGAAGCATCTGCAGGTTTTCCATGCGGTGGGTGCGGATGACAGTGTTGAGTGCGCGTTTATCAGCGTCTTGTGGTGGGTCAGGCAGCTGGGACCATAGCAGGTTGTGCTTAAGAAGCTTGCACCAAAGACGGTCTTTTGCACGGAGGAGAGGACGAAGCTTGGACAATAGAGCATCGGCAGGCAGGAAGTGGGCACGGATGAGGAATTTGACGCCAAGGATCTGCACCCGTTCGGCCATAGTTGGTAACCCAGTCATATGACGGAAAACGGTTGTTGAGGAAGTGCGATGCCCGCCAAAGATCATACGTAAGCATTCATCTTGTGCTGTGTTGAGGGCTTTCGTTTCGTACTTGTAAAAGTTGCAGAGTGCCAAGCCATACTCCATTTTTGGGCGGATGAACTGTTGGTAGAGGCGGGTAGAAAGGAGACGCGGAAACCCTGAAGGATTGCAACCAATGGTTTTGAGGGTGGACATTGCTGCACGAACCGAACCCGTATTGCGTTGGATCAGGGCCTTGGTGTCGATTTTCATGCTGGTGTTGAAAGGGACGCCTAGGTATGTGAACTGTTGTTGGGTAATAAGCGGTTGGCCGTACAAGTGGAGTGGCTGAGAATTTGGTGAGGAGCTATGGGGATACAAGGCAACGCACTTTTCTGGGTTCCATCGATAACCAAGCTGGTAGGAATGTTCCTCAGCCTTGGCAAGTAAGCGTGGCATTTCTGCAGCGTCGGCCACAAGAGCTACATCATCAGCATACAACAAGCAGTTAACCCACTGCCCACCTACCGGTCGAAACACAGGCTGAACTGAAGAGGAAACAAAGTCATCTGATGGTGATGAAGAAGAAGTAGGAAAAGAAGAAATGTGGGTACGTAGAAAGGCGGGAAGAGAATTAATGTAGAGGGAATATAAGTGAGGGGACAAAATTGATCCTTGTAGGACACCGGTTGTTGGCTTGAATGAACTGGATTTGACACCAGAGAGAATAACCTCTATGGATACCTCATCGAACAGATTCCGGAGGAGACCAAGTAGAGCAGGAGAGGCCACAGGAGCAAGCGCACGCCAAATAATCGCACGATCAACAGTGTCGTAAGCTGACTTGATGTCAAGGAAAACTAGGACAGGCAATCGGTTACGTCCACCAGCACGGCGGTCTCTTTCGGCAAGTTCTTGTAGACATAGGGCTTGGTCGAGGGCACTACGTTGCGGACGGAAACCACCTTGGGCTATATCAAGAGGGGGAGAAGCAGCATGAAGACTGTCGGATAAGCAAATTTCCATTATTTTTCGAAATACTGATGTCAGGCTAATAGGGCGGTAGTTATTGGGCATAGTAGCATCCCCTTTTTTGAATATAGGAATGACTTGTGCTACACGCCATGCTACAGGAGTTAATGACCATTTCCAGCAAAGTTGGAACAAAGCAGTTAATGGTGGCAGCAGTTCATTGTGGATCGGTGAGAGCATTTCAGCACGCAGGTGATCAACACCAGGTGCTTTACGGCGAGCAACAGTTTCAATGGCAGTTTTTACTTGAAGGTGAGTGAACGGGCAATCATCCTCAATTTCATGTGGTCCATGTGCTGGGAGGGGTGCTTCATCTCGATTTGCTGGTAAGTTGGCACCGGCATATACCATTTCTAGGTGCTGTTTCATGCGTTCGGCTGCGACTTGTGGACCGGCGGTATCTGTAAAGGTTGGCTGTACTTTACGATTTTGGCGAATATGCCTGATGGATGCGGTTGTCTTTGAGAAGTCATCAGTGGCAAGCTGGTGACAAAAGGTGCGCCAGGTTTGACGTCGCCGTTTTTGGATCAAGGACTTCATGCGTTTTACTGCTTCTTGGTGCCGGGTGAGCCACACTCCTTTTTGTATACCTGTTGCTGTGCGACTGCGCTGATAACAATGTTCGCGATGATTGAAGGCCTGCTGCAATTTATCGTTCCAAAACCAGGTGGCCTTTGGAAGTCGCGGAGCTTTTCGACCCAAAGTCTCATCCAACGCGTTGTGGATGGCTGTGGTGAGGCTGTTGGCCAGCTGTTCGATATCAGGCTCAACATCAAGGGTTAGTGCATTTTGGAGACTTTCATGAATACTGCCGACATGATCTTTAAAGTTTTGTTGGTATTCTTGTCGTTTGTTAGTCTCTTGTAATTTGCTGAGGGCCCATAGTTGTCGTGGGTGGTCGAGGCGGTCGGGTGGTGGGATCGGGGTGGTGAAGGAGAGATGAACTGGTTTATGTGGAGAGCCAAGGTCCTGCTCTGTTGCTATAGTCAAATCCACATTATCCAAAGTATTAGTGCTCACAAACAAATCAATGATACTTTGTTCATAGATGTCGGTCCGTTCTCGGAACCGCTCAAAGGTGTTCTCGCCAAAGGTGAGTTCAGCATTCCAGCAATGCAGTTGTCGTGCACGGATCCAATCACGGAAGAGCACACCGCGGCCATTTGTAGTGCTGTCGCCAAGTAGTTGGATATCACGGGCGTTGAAATCACCGTATATGATTGTGTTTTGGCAAGTGCTATTAGGATCTAAAGGAAGGGAATGGAGGATTGCCATGGCCTCGGTATCAGAGAAAGAGCGGAAGGGGGGAAGATAGACACAATGGATAAGGAGGTCAATGACCTGGCATGATAATACATAAGAGGATGTGGAAGGGAGTACATTTACGGGGTAGGGGAAGGAGGGATTGACTAGAAGAGCAACGCCCATTTGACCACGATTATTATTATTAACCGGTTGGCCATATGTGTGATGTTGGATCCAGTCAGTAGGGTAGCGATGTGGGGAAAGTAGAAAGGTTTCTGTTAGAAATATTAATGATGAATCTGAAAATAAAGTAGTAATTGGTTGTATGGCCTGATGGACCATACCATTTGCATTCCATAATGTTAATCTGATATTATTTGTATTTGTCATATTAATTATTGGGAATCGTTATGAGCGCTGTTAGTTGTTGTGCTGCCACTTTGAGGCTGTTCGTTACCAATGATCGGGCTAGCCGATCTGCTATCACCCATGGGGGCATCACCGTCATCATCAGTGCCTCTGCCAAGTGATTGCAAAGCAGCAATTGCAGCAGCTTCGGCCTCTGGAGTAGTTTGTCGAGAGCGAGTTGATCCACGGACATCATCATATTCTTCCTATGTGATCAAATTTTCCAGAAAGAAAGAACGAGCAACTGAATACTTTACCGGTGCACGGATAAAACCCAGGGCTTTGAGTATGTGACCATGGTGGACTTCTGTGATTTTCTGTGTACGTTCTTCCACGGTTAGTTCAGCTAGTTTTGGATCTTTTAGTAGGTTGGGATCCAAGGGATTAAAGTCATCTTTGATATTGACACCGAGCTTGAGCAGGCGAGCTGCTATAGCACCAGCATATTCGTTATGAACCAATAAAGCTGCAGTTTGATGGTCGGGAAAATGGATGTCTAAAACACGCGAATTCTCGATCCGGAGCGTGCGCAAAAGACCACGCATGTTGGTGATCGTCATACGATGGCGGCAGGGGATATAGATGAATTGATATCCCTGGTTCGCTGGAACTTCGGTCAAGTGGCGGGCTGCTGCTGCAACTGCACGCTTCTTGGGTGCACGGACACCTTTAGCTGCTACTTTGGCGTAGCTAGGGGTAGTTTTTGATGCTGGTGGTGAAGAGGGTTTTTCAGTGCCAGGTGCATATTTGGATGCCTGCGATCCTTGCGGTGCTGGGTCCTCCGAACTGGTGATAGCTGCGTGCTCTTTTTGCTGCGGTTGATGTTGTTGCTGGAGCTTGGCTATCTCTGCTCGTGCTGCTTGGAGTTCTTGTGTTAGTGTAGCATTTTCTTTTATTAGTTTGCTGTTTTTGGCAAGGGCCTCTGCCAGCTGTGCGACCACTTTGTTAGTTTTATCAATACGCTTATGGATGTCCATAACATATTGTGGCATGTTAGGGTGAAGGTGGTCATATTGATCACTATCTTCTCTGGCAGTTTCCGTAGCAAGGCGTTCAATATGCTCGGCCCAGTTGTTTTCATCAAACTGTTGTTGTTGTTGCTGGGGTACAGGTAGGTCGATATGTTCCTCGTGTTCGGTTTCCATTTCAGTAGCAGCTGTAGTTTGTATAGGCTTTTTGGTACTATGCAGAGGAGAGGCGTTCTGTACCCTTGGTTGTTGGCGTTGATACGTACCTGCTTCAAGGGCTGCAACAGTGAGTGGTTCCAGCATGATGCTATTGGTGAATTTTTTGCGGCATTGCATGCAGTGGAAGGTGGGGGCTGGGGGGTCAAAAGCTGTGTTAAGGTCAGCGGACATGTTAATGGTACCAAAGTCCTTACATTGTGTGTTCGGGCACACAATATAGGGTTTTCCAGTGGCAAAGTTCTGTTCCACAGTTTTAATGAACTCGGGGTTCAAAGGCTGTTTGTAAGGGGCAGCTCCTTTTTTACCAATAGTGCTCGTTACTGCTGTTGTCTTCGTTTTCGGCGCTTTGGTCATTTCGTTTTGACAATTTTTTACAATTGTTGAGCGCAGAGATGATGTCCGATTCTTTTTGAATGCGGGGATTGTTGATGGCCGCACAGGTATGTGAGATTGGCGCAATCGCTTCGGGCGTGATGGAATGGGGGCTGCTGATGCTGAATGGTTTTCGCCAGATGGGGATGAGTGCAATTGCGAAATGTCGCTGGACACTTGGCTGTTAGTGGGCGTGTTGTTGGTACTGTTCGGTGGTATAGGTGTTGAGGGTGCTATTTTTACTGATTTTTGGGGGGTTTTTTTGTAGTTTTCTTAAGAGTTTTGAGCGAAAATAATAAAAAGTATGTAGGTCACTATCCAAAAAAAGTGATGGAGAGTGGAAGAAGCGGGGGAGAGATGGCCGAGTTGGTCTAAGGCGTCAGGTTAAGGCCCTGATCTCTTCGGAGGCGTGGGTTCGAATCCCACTCTCTTCATCAAATTGTGAATATAAAATTTTTGTCATTGTAATATCGTAGTAAAAATGACCGGCCTTTAATTATTCTGTTTTGGTGGCGCAACACTTTTGCCAGGCAGCAAACAATTACAACAGAATTCCACTGCACTAAAATACGTTGACAACATACAAACGAATATACAAATAATGAGTAGAAGGCAGCATTCGACAGCATCGTAATTATATTATATTATATGGTTGTATCATATGGCAAGCACTGAGGCACTTTATTAGAGAAAAAGATTATAAATAGTCACATAGTCACAAGCAATAAAAAGTATCTCTTAACAACCCTCTATTCTCTGATTACCCTTTGTTCCTATCCTTTCTCATTAGCTACGGATCTACCCACCAAAAAGTGACTCGACAGTATCATAGTAAAAATGACTGGCCTTTGATTATTCCATTTTGGTGGCACAACACTTTTGCCAGGCAGCAAACAATTGTTGTAGCCAGATTTGGCTGGTCTTTCCTTTTTCCTTTTGTGATACCTGTCCATCATTTGAATACATAGGGAACTAATCATTAAATATAGATTTATATTACTAGGATTGATTTTGAAATTATTTATTAATTAAATATAATTAGTAAAACATTTAATTTAATATTTAAAATCTGATATTATTTTTTATAAAATATTTTATAATTAAATCTTTTTCGTTAAAGTCTTTTTCATTAACCCAGGAATTTTGAGATTCATCATAATCCTTCCACTTTACTAAAAATATGTAATCATTATCATTTAATTTATGTTCTAATATGTTTTTTATTTCATAAAAGTTGTTATTTTTATTTATATCTCTAATTAAATTTATATTTATTTTTCTAGCATTTTTTCCTTTTTTTCTCTTTTTCTTATTTATATTTTTATATTCAGGAAAATCAATTTCTTCTATTTCATTATTATAATTATTACTATCAATTATATTTTCAGTATTTTCTAAATTTTCATTATCTATTATCATTTCATTATTATTTATATCTAAATCATCAATTTTTTTTGTATTTCTGATATATATTTTATTTTATCTAATTGTTTTATTTCATTATTTAATACTATATCAATTAATTTATTATCTGTAGGAAACTCAAAACTGTTTTCTATCCATAACTTATGATGATCTTGTGTTATAATATTAAATGTTTCTGTAAATATTTTTATATTTTTTTAAAAGAAATGCTACTTTCATTTATATTAACATACTTATAATCATCTGTTTTTGAAGTAGAATTATTATTTAAAAATCTTTTAAATGTATTTATTAATTCACAAAATTGATTTTCTATACTTGACCTAAAAGAGCCAAATACATCATTATAATGCTTTTCTTATTTATTTAAATTTTCATTAGGCTCTTTCCTAATTGGATAAAAGAAATTATAATCATTTAATTCTATATTTTTATTTTTACATAATTTTTCAAATTGATTTATAAATAATATATAACCGCCATCAATAGCAATAACATCCCTTTTATTAATTTTATTATAAATTTTCATATTTAGAAACATACCTCCATCACTACTCACACTACATAATTCACTATCCGAAACTGTAATAACCATATTATTTATATCTGATAATACCTGTGTCCTTAATCCAGCTGTTTTTAATTTACATGACCATCTTTTTTGACTTGAAATATCAGGTTTACTATAATCAATTGTATTATTGTGACCATCCAATAATAATGTTATATTCTTAAAATTTATAGGGTTTTTTAATAAAGCTGAATATACTCTTATTTTAATATTACTAAACATATTTTGTAAGCATAAATTGATATATTTAAATAAATGATCATAATTTTCAATCCAAAAATCTTTACAAAAAGCATAATAACTTAGATAGGGAATATTTTGTTTTATATCTTTACTAGTAATTCCTGATATAAGATGATAGATTAAATATAATCCTTTTTCAATTTTAAAATAAGGGGAAGGGTACTCTTTATTGGTATATAATTTAGTTAAGAAGAAAAATACAGATATATATCCTAACTTATTTAAAATTTCTTTTTTTATAATATTAATTTCTTTTATATTTTTTTATTTAGTTCTATGTTTATAATTATTTAATTTTTTTTTCCAATTATCATTTAAAAAGTTCTACTCATTCAATATGATTTTATCAACCTCATGCTGTAATAGTTCTTGATATTCTTATTTATCATTTTTATTCAAAATAGTATTATTGTATTCTTCAAATAACATCAGTGCATATTTTAATATATGTATAAATTCAATTTTCTTTATAAATAGTATGCAAGATTATGTAATCTTTTATTTATAATTTCTTTAAAAATATTATGATATTTATTATTTAAAAAAATGTTATTATCTAAATTTAAAATTTTAAACTCTAAATTGATCATAAAAAAATATTTAAAAATATTTAATTTCTATTTATATTAATCTATATATTATATTTAATTTATTAATTTTTCTATATTTAGTAATTATAAATTGATTCCCATAGTCGCTTCTCGTTAACACATGATTGTCAAGTCATGTACTTGAACACATATTAGTCTCTCATCATAACATATAGCCATCATAGCATATCTAGTAACAATAGAAAACATATAAATATCCCCTTCATCATTAAGCAATAAACATCATCTTCCAAATCATCTTTTATTCTTTTCTTATTCTTCTGTTATCTCTCTTTCTATTGGCTATGGTATTGATCTACCAAAAAGACTTCGACAATTGGTAGCAGAAGAAACAGTTTATGGATGGTAAGCGATATCCAGTAAATAAGTATAAGAACTCCCCAAACTTTTAAGCATTTTGATTAAGTCAAGATCCCCTTTCAGAAGAACCTACTATATGACAAGAACGTACATTTGAACCACTGCAACTAGGAATGAACCAGGAACAGCAAACGATACTGTTACAAGTAATCCAAAAACTACTGGAGAAAGACAGCTCGGCCCCTGTTTTCCATGCATGTACCATAGTGACTGCAGTCTGGACGCTGCATTGAACTAGGTCTCATCTTTGAATAGTATCTGACGACTGACGATGGCTAAACTGGGTGAACATGAATGGGTCGCATATGCAGTGAAGCAGAAACTTGGTGGCGACAGCAAGAAGCACATGTAACAATCGATGAATGGCGCGAATTCAAGAAAGATTACTGGCAACTTTCAACCTACCAAACGCCCTACAACTGGCTCGAGATCGACTTACTGCAGTAATACAAACAGGAACAGTGGTTACTTATGTTTCGTAGTTCAAGCAGCTTGATCCTCCGTGCCTTCCATATCAGATGAGGAGGCACTTGATCGTTTCCAGCGAGGGCTCCAGCCAATCATCCATATGTAAGTCTTGACCCAGTTCCTATCATCAACCAACATCATCAACCAATGAAGCAATGAAATTAGCACTTGCTGTTGAAGGTGACAACAAAGGAGCCAGGTGGTGTTGCACGAGGCCTAAGGATTTCCAGTGCCACAACCACAGATGCAGCAACAACATTTTATTCAACCACTGCAGCCTATTCCTGAGTACCTCTACTCGTCTGGTGTGGTGCCCATGGATCAGGATGCCATGTATACAAGGTCCCTTGAGGTATGGCAAGGGCCTCGTTGTAGTGGTAACTAGGGATCTGTATCAGAACCGTAGAACAAGAACCGAACCGAACCGAAACCGAGAAAATATGATTCGGTTCCTACCAAGAACCGAACTGGAACCGAACCGGTTCTGTATTTATAGAACCGAAGAACCGAGAGGCAGAAGATTGCAATCAGCGATTTTGGTAATTAGTATAAATTAGGCTATAATGGACGTTATGAACAATGTTATTCCGAAAAGACCACAAAGTAGTGTATTTGCAAGTCATACTTTATTGAAAAACTTAACAAAACCTACAAAAGCAGAATGGAGTGAAAAATAGTAAAGAAGAGAAGAAAAAAAAATAAAAAAACACTTCTGACTAGGGGTCGCAATTGGACGGGTCAAGACTGATTTCAATGTAGTGATGAAGGAAGTGCCAATCAACCTGAACTTGAGCGCTGGAAGTGCAAAACTCCATATATATATATAGCTCTCCAAGATGATGGCACGCAAATTCTTAGCAGTGCTAGCAACATCTACGTTTTGAGTGATTATTCTTAAAGGTAAAGGGTTTTGTGCCATCACAAAAGAAATTGCTTAGGCTCACATGATTTAAAGAAAGCATAATATTTAAAGTATGGTTGAAAAATGACTTCCCTATATGCCCCTTATCCTTTTCCCTTTCCCTTTTCTTTTCACTTCTTTCTTCTTCCTTCGATTTTCTTTTCTCGATTCCTTTTCTGTCTTTTTGTCAAATCGCGTCTCTTACTGCCACCCTCTATTGTATATTCTCATTGCACTATTGCTACTTCTTTACTCCTATCAAATATATTGCTTATAGCTTACTTATCCCATACTGCTGAATATAAAATATAATCCCACAATAAAAAGAATTAAGTACGTTTGATGCTATAGCTCTATAGCAGACATATAGACAACTAATGATGCTTCCCAGCAAGAAGATTGACTACTTAAATACAAGTACCTCATACATATTATATGTATACACGGGTCACAACGGGTCAACAGGTCGGGTCAAGGGTTGGACGGGTCGACCCACAGGTCAGAAAAGCATCAACCCGACCCATTGACCCGTCCTCAACCCATGGGTTGATTTTGACCCGTGGGTCAGATTGCAACCCCTGCTTCTGACGGCAGCTTGCTTTCTCCGCCCATGATGCACATCATTACTTGTTCCTCTACTTTGCTACCCACAATGCATTTTTCTCCATGACGTACTACTTTACTACATTTATTATGGCTTCTCGATCAGCTTTATCAAGTTTGTGCATTCCATTTGAGATTGCGCATTCTGGGGCTTATAACAGAATTATCT